GCAAGACCTTCAGTTGTCCGGTAACCATTGGCCGAGTTACTTTCTGACACTGGTGAAACTGACCGTTTCGCAGTGGAAGAAGTATTCGACATTGAGGTATCGGCTTCCATGGAGAAAATCTCATCCTCCTTGTCAGCGCCATAATCGTCGTCATCGAAGAACATGAGCTCTCCATTGTTGCGAGAGTCCATGCTGCCACGTCTCCGGAGGCCACTCCCAGAGTGCCGCCGTCTTGTGTGAGGAGCCCGAGAAAGCGAGCTTGCTCGGTTAGGCTCCTCTTCGGTCCGGATCTTCTCTAGGCGGTTTTGATTGGCGTCTAGGGCAGTCGAAGCCGACGATGAAAGAGCAGGACCTTCACTAGGTGGAGTCTTTATGTCGATGGCGTCTGTCTTCAGAGCTTCGATTGGCCCAGGGACTGGTCGTCGATTGCTAGCTGTGTGGTCTTCTGACAGGTTCTCTCGGCGGTGGGCGGTGGCGGGCATGTCGGAATTGGCTCTTGGCAGATGGACATGACCACGAGCACGCCGTCTATGATGGTGAATGGCTGGAGGGCTGAATACCTCGCGAAGAACCTGCTCCTGAAGCTTGAGATTGACGGTTGTGGCGCCCCAGATCTTAGCCCGCTTGCTCAAAGCCGATGTATCCGACTCCGCTGACATACCCCTGAGACCGTCAACGGACCGTGCGCGGTTTATTGAAGCATCTGCTGTTCGTGGTCGCTGCTGGTGGGTAAAAAGATCCGCAGGAATTATGTGGCGATTGTTCTCCAGAATGACCTTGGGGATGACACCTGTGACTTGGGACTGGCTAAAAATCCGCTGTGGCTCTTGGGGCTCTGCCGCCTCGTGAAGCTGAGAGCTGAGTGCAGAGGTTCCATTGGCAGGTGGCGTCTCTGGAACTATTCCATCGGCAGTATCGATCTGATCCTTTCGTTTGGATGTCTTCGAGAAGGTGACATTCAGCACTCCGATGTATCTGACCAGAATATTAGTATGTGTTACACTGATAACAGTCTGCTTTCCATAGGATTGATTTTACGTACTTTGGAAGAAACACCAACATATCTGGGTGCCTCAGTTCAATGCGTTCATAGAACTCATTCTCCCGGTTGTTCAGCTGCTTGCATACAGCGCGTCTGGAAAATCGGAAAACAGTTGTGTGCCCACCAACCTGATGTCGATAGGGCTTCAATTCCACGGCACCAAGAGGCCCCGGTGGCGGAGGTTTGGGGCGAGACAGAAGCCGGGAACGCTGGGTCGGTGTGGCAGTCGGGGTTTCCGTCTCGTCGGCAGATTGTAAACTTTCATCTGCCGATTGAGCTTCGACTTCAGATTCGTAGATTGAATCACTGTATTCAGAGATGGTACTCAAGGGCTTGTCTGGCACACTCTCTCGTGGAGAATGGATATCGCCAGAAAGGATCTTACTTTCATTCTTAGATCGAAAGGATATATCCACATGGCTGATTTCCTTTTCGGGAGAATGGCTACGCTCAGAGGGTACTAACATCAGTTCATGACCTTTCTCCGCAGCCGACAGCTGACCTGGCTGCACATCATCGGGAAAATGTTGTAGCCCATCAACCTCATCAGGCACTGTACGCTCGTGGGGGAAGTAAACGGCAGAAGAGATCTGCTCATTTTCCTCCTCCTCAACCGCAAATTGCCCTGATTCACGCTCTTCTTCCTCGAAAGAGTCGGACGGAGATACCTCGGCATGAAGATTCTTCTGGAAGTAGTCACGGCTGCGCTCTGAATATTGAGTTGGAATGCTTTTTGAGAAAGAAGACCCATGTCTACCGCCAGGCGTGAGATGAAAGTTTCGGATCTCCTCTAGCAAGCTGCGAGGCAACGCTGTTGGGCGACGCTTGGATGGCTCATCATCATGTATGGTGTGGGGGGTCTCAGACGGCGGAGGAGGTTGGACAGACGGAGCATCACCAAGTGCGGAGAGCGATATGCTTTTACGAAGCAAAGTTTCGTCTGAACGATGTGATTCTTGTTCATAATCCATTATGCGATCCCTCGACTGCAACGTCTCATCTTGTGGTCGGCCGCGATCCTCCCGTCGTTTGCGATCCGGTGAAGAAGCTGTGTTTTCTTTGAAAAGGCCCAGGTAGTGGCTAGACTTACGGCTGCGCACATTAGAAGCCGGCTCCGCGTTGGTCAAATTGGCTTCAATTGCGCTGTCAACTCGGCCACGCCGACCTCTGCTGGGGCTTCGTTCAAGCGCCACAGGGGCTTGAGGGGCTTCTTCTTTCGGACTGTAGGATAAGAGATCCCGACTGACCTGGGAGCCCTCGCCAGAAGATGAGGTGGTCAAAGAATTGGAGGTGCGAGAGACATCATCTAGAGGCGGGAAGAGATTCCGTTCAGGTAAAGTGCCTTGAAACCAACTGGGTTTCGTACCTGCGTTATCCGATGGCACCTTGTACCGCTGAGATCCCAGATGAGCCTGCCCCGTCTCTACCTCTGTTTTCTTTGGATCAGTCGGCGAGGTCGATGCGCGCAGGAGAGACAAACGGGGGAGATCGGTGGATGAAAAGAGGGTAGAGGAACGCAATGGAGAGTTTCTGTGGACGTCAACTTCCATGCGGGAAGGGTCGACGTTAAAACGGTGGGGAGAGACCTTGGAGAATGCACTTGGAGACACGGATGCATCATCGAGGCTAGGGATCAAGTTGACCTGGCGTTCATTGCCCAAGGTCTTTTCGGGGGTAATTGTGGGGTATTGGCGGCACTATCTGAGGGAAGGTAATGAGTAGCGAAAATACTGTCACGTTCTGACAGCTGAGGCCTGTGGACAATATCCGAGTGCGCGGTATTCTCCGGAGGCGTGGTTGCGGTCCTTTTTAGAGGGAATAATCGGGAGGCGGGCTGAGACCAGGAATGGGCGGTGGGGGATTCAGCGCGCGACGGTGAAGGAACCTCCCCAGACCCCTGAGACAGATGGGACTGTAAGTGGTGACGTGGGCTAACCTCATGGGTATTGGAGCAATCATGTTGGGCAGGTGTAGCAGGTGTCACCAGGGGACTAGGCAAGGTATCTTCGGGAACGGACGGCGAGTTTGACATGGGGATGACATTGGTCAAGCGCAGGACGGGATGGTATGGAAACGGAAACCGGAGTGGTTGGAGCGTAAGTTTAAAAAGAGGATTTTAAGACTAAGAGAGATGCCTAGAACTGGAAGAAAAGATAGGCGTGTCAGAGGAACCTTGGAATTCTATGGGGGATTCAAGGGAAGGGAGTGGGGAAGGAGTTTATGGGCACGTTGGGGCACAGAGGGATCTTACAGGCTAGCAAAAAGCCGCAAATCGGTCGGAATGCCGGGAAGCGAAAGAGTCAAGGGGAGTAAGGGAAAAGGGAATTTGATGGAAGTTTGAGAAGGAGCCCTTTGGATCGTCACCGCCCTTGAGTGGATCCGATTTTCAAGGAAAATAAAAAAGATCAAAAAAAAAAAAGATCAAAAAGGAGGTATTGAAGATTTGTTGAAAATAGAGATGAAGATAGAGAAGGAAGAGAAAGAGAAAGAGAGAAAGAGAATTTGTGTGATAAAACAAGTTTGAGCGGGGAGTTTTGCCTCTTTCTTCACTTATTTAGGTAAGTATTCTACAGCTTCTACATATGTAGTCAATTGCGCAACGTCTTACAGAGCTTTCTCTGATGAATTTCTTCCAGGATTCTATATTGTAGGGGATAATAATCATGTATTTGAACCTTTGGGATAAATACAGAGTACCTACTAGAGATATGACGATGCCCAGGTGGATATTATAGGTTCTTTACCTAAGATTCATTGAGATATTCCATTCGATAAATTCAATTTGATATCTTTATTTTGATTATCTTGCATGATCTGCCAATCATCTGGCTCAATTCATAGTGTGCAGCCATGTCGATCGCTAATAGGGGGGGGGGTTCGACTCTGTCACATCTTTAATATCTTGGTATCTTTTCACTCCGTATCTTAAGAATTTAATATACTACCTAGGTATCCCGGGCCATGGTTAATACTTAGTAATAGTCTACAACATAATCCGGGGTTAAGCTCCCAGACTAAAACGACGAGGCTAAAATGACCAAGGCTTATTATATCTTCAGAAACTAAAACAACTAAAAACAGCTGAAACAACTGAAACCAAATTAATTGCCCCCACTTTGAAAAGCCACGAAACGGACCTTATCTTGAGGGGAAGACATCTGGAGAGATGTACACATAGTACACATAGTACATAGCACATATTCAAGAGTAGACTAGGATTAAAATTCCCAAAGCTGCTGCCTGATTACCTAGGTAGTAAATTTTTTTTTTTCCCTAAAATGCATAATCTGATGACTTTGTAAATATATGTGAATATAGTAGAATGTATATTGTATACTCCGTACACTTCTAAGATGTTAAAAAGCTTGGGCATATAAAGATTAAATGCCAGAGAGAAATAGTAAATATATAAGAAACCAAGCTACCTAGGTGTTCCCTGATCAAAACCAACAGCGCTTAAGTGTGTGATTGTGATGGGATAAAAGTGATTGGGAGCCGAGCGGGTCGTAACCCAACCAGAACCCTCAGCGAGGTGAAGAAGATGCATTAGGGGCCAAGGGAGAACTGGGATTGTTCTTTTTCAACGAACCAGCTTCCCCATAGAAGGGGAAAAATGAGAGGAGATCCCCGCAGAGGACTTTTGTACTCCCCGCTTGACCTATGGCCTCTCGAGTTGGTTTAATGCCTTCCATGCACCTGCTTTCACACTCTGAGGCCTATTGGCACTTGCACCTTATACATCCCCATTTTCCATCGTCCTAACACAAGTTCTTCTTTTCCTGATACCCATGTTGATCCTCGTGGGTAAGCCGTTGAGTCGCGTGTCATACAGTTTCCCACTTCAATTATCTGCCTTATGAACTGGATCTACTATTTACTCTTGAGAAGATTTCGGGCAGAATTACATCCATTTACTCGAGAGAAGGTTTATGAGGGAAGCTACTCTCTTAACTTCAAAATGGGTCGCTTGAACGTGGACACTACAGTTGGAGGAAATCACCAGAGATATTCATTTATGGAAACACCCCTCGAAATGCACCCATCATCTCACCAAAAGGACCTACCATCACCTCCCCCAGCGGACCAGACTGCGTCCCCGCACCATCATGCAGGAGAGGAACCCCCGAAAGAGCGACAGCGAGCATGGTCATATGCACCGAGTGAGAAAGAGCAATTTCAGAACCAGGGAATAATCCCAGACTATGCCAACTGTCCGCCGCTTGAGCAGCACCCAGCCAATTATGCGCCTTTGGTCCAAAACCAGCAGCAGCATCAGCAAGAACAGCAGCAGCAACAACAACAACTACAGCCACAGTATAACACTTCGATGTCTCCTCAGACGTACGCAATCGCGCCCGAGCACCACCAGCATGCCGCTCAAGTTTATGCCCAACCCTATACAACTCAGCCGTATACAAACATAACCGAACAACAAAGTCACACAATGTCTCCTCAGGCATATGCGAGCCACTCGTACACAAATATACCAGAGCAACAGCAGCACCAATGGCACCAACAGATCGGCATGACCATTTCACCCCAGTATGCGAACATACCCGAAGCACAGCACAACACCCCGATGTCTCCCAACTCATACGCGAGTCATCCGTATGCGACACAGTCCTACACCCACATCCCGGACCAACAGCCCGGCATCGAACAACCCCAGCAATATGCCTCGTATACCGAACCCCCCAGTTCGCCGCCCAACTCACCAGGACCCCTGCCGGTGAAGGTAAATCCCGAAGCTCCAACACGAACCGAAACCCTTCCCATTGCCCCGGACGAAAAATCCCTTACAGTCGCCCAAGTCACCGTATTTCCCTCCACCTACCAGGGCGACAACGTCGCACGCTCCCCAACCAGATGACCTGAGCGCATACCACCAGCCCGGCCAAACCACCCATCCCAACCAGGAGATAAAGGGGGGGAGGCTGGAGCAACGGACTGTGCGAATTTTCGAATTTCGGAATCTGCTGTCTGGGAATGTTCTGTCCGTGCATTTTGTACGGGAGGACACAACACCGACTGTCGATGAAATCGAGAAAGGAGGACCCGACCAATATGCTTGGGTATGAGACATGCAACGGGTCATGCACGGCGATGGGACTACTATGCGGATGTCAATGTAAGTCCAAGTTCCACTCAACTTCAAGTCCGTTCCAAGCCTGAATGAGATCCGCGACATGGCGACCGAACAATTCCCAAAAAGACAACATTCTTAACACCATCAATAGGGCTACTGGCTACGGTCCAACACACTAGAACGAGAAAAACATATGGTATCCAGGGTAGTATTGCGTCGGACTGTGTGCGCGCAACATGCTGTACGTGCTGCACATTGATTCAGGATGAGAAGGAGATCCAGAAGCGCGAGGAGTACCGCTCTCGTGCGGCTAGGGAACGGGGGCGACTCTGCTCTCGCCGTATACCACTCCCGGGCCGATGTCGTATGGTCCGCCGAGATAATACACATTGTCTGGCGAGGAACATGGCTAAATAGCATCTGTTTTGTATACATGTATATAGTTTATGCATTGTGATGTAATAGCGTTTATGATATGTCTTGCGGTTGATCGAGGGCAGTTCTGCTCCGTAAGGGGTCCGGAGATACTCCGTGGCTTGTCAGGTTTGTTAATCTACAGATGTACGGAGTATGTGTGAGGGAAATGCTAACTTTCAAAATCAAGGCTGTTACGTAAATCCATTACTCTCGTCAATGTTGTATGCAGGTGGAATGTGATCTATCATATTGTCACTGGCACCTCCCATCTGGGCTTTTCTGGGATTTTCATTCTGGGACTTTTGTAAACCTTACTGTCTTAACATGATGCTGGATTCGAATATTTGATATCATCTGTTTGATAATCATAAGCCAGCTTTCCACATAACAAGACTATTGTATAAGACAGGGGGAACTATGTGCCTGAACAAAATTGGAATTTTTCTTTTGTCTTTGGATGGGGAATGCAATTTGGTTCCTTTTGCCTTTGTCATTCGTTATCTACGACAAGGAAGTCATGATCGCTTTGTTAACATCTTCTAGATCTTTACCAGAAGGAAAAGAGAAATGAGACAAAGAGACAAACAGTGCTATTGTCTGTTGTCTCAATTAGGTTATTCTCAGCCAACCGACAAAGTCATTGACTCAGTACAACTATGAGTACCGCAGACATGAAAGAATTGAATAACCAGCCCGAAAAAAAAGGCTAGCTAAAAAACAAAGGCTTCTATAGTCTTTGGTATCTTTCTTCAATGCATAGCTACGTGAACAGTAACCGGAACTCATAAATAGCTCTTATTCCAGCACTTTCCCGAGTAAGTTGATCGAGCAAACTAGCCCAAATCGCTAGAACAAGGCCCGCACTCTCTTTCGTTCAGTCTACTCGATCACACTTCATTAACAAGAAAATCTAGGTAAGTCCCAATCCCAGAATCCTACTTATACCCGAGTTACTTCCCCAGCAAAAGGATGCCTAAACCGGAGCCAGCACGCTCACCGTATCAGAAAAGCTTCCAAAAGGAATGCCGCGTCTTTGCGAAAGAAGCAGAGGCTCTAGCTGATTATGCCAGACAACACCCGGAAAATGATGAAGACAAGCAGAATTCCGATATCCATAGTGGGCTTATAAGTCTGTGGTGCCAAATATCGCGAGTGAAAGATACCGGACTCGATATGGTTGCAGAAACCCCGAGATGTTCTCTTGTTCTCAAGGAACGCAGCTATTGGTTCATCCGGGATCTGGCCGATCAGACCGAGTTCGAGGATGAATGCGATGAAGTAGAGGCCCGTCTAGAAAGTCTGGCGATAAAGGTCGAAGGTCGTGAGATAGAGAACCTTTGGCTTGCTGGATTTCTTGAGACGATGGCTTTACATTTCCAGGATAAATTTAACGTATAGATGGTTACCAGTAGAAATGAGAAAGGCCTTTTCTTCTAGAATTGCGTGTAAACTTGTAGTATTCGTGTTCGTGGATCCAGCCACGATTACATGTACAGGGGAAAAAAGAGAAGGTTCAGCCAGGGGGCGGCGACTTCTTATATACGCCAGATATCTAGGATTACTTATGTGAGGAGGAGGTAAATTGGGATGTTTTCTGACCAGGGTCAGAGATGGTCTCGTCACATAGCCATCATCGACAGGAAATTGCCAGGACAATATGGCGTTCCATACACCGTAAGCAATGCTCTCGGGGACAACCCGCTGATGCGCTTCGTTTCCCTTTGGATGAAATGGATTTTGAAAAGCTAGCGAGAGTTAGCTGAGGTGAGGTAGACTGGTTCCGGTTTGGTTTCCTTACGGGATAATGGGGCAGCGTTGAAGGAAGTCTAGTTCCTCCCGTGGACGACACGGTGTGTCTCCGTGGGTAGAGCAAAGGACTGTGTATGACTCCTGTGGAGAAGAGAAGAAGGAAGAGAGGAGAGAAGGGATCCGACGGGTTCTTATAGGAAAGGGAATTGAAAAAAAAAGACACCTAAAAAGACACCTAAAAAGACGTCTGAAAAGAACCCCGTAACGGACATCGGAGCGTTATACTACAGGATAATCATAGTCACGCCTAGTGCCCCCGCAACAGCCAAACCGCCGATAATTGCGCCAAATCCATCCAAGGTAGACGCTCGGCTACCGAGTCTATACGCAGCGTTCGACGTAGAAGCAGCAGTTCCCGTAGCTTCAGACCTAGCAGTGCCAGTTCCAGCCTCAGTCCCAGTAGAGTTGGCACTGGTAGATCCACCCGTAACCCCAGCTGCCTCCAGGTCAGACCGATGATGCACCATAGTAATCATAGGAGCAAAAGACATAGCGGTCAAAACATGCTCGACTCCAGCAGGAAAAGACGTCGATGAAGTCGACGTAGTAGCGCTCACAAATGAGTTCACATCGTAGGTGTTTGTCTCCGTGACGCCGGAATACACCTGTGTCCTGGTTACCTTTTCCCAGCTGTAGTCACTGTCCACGTAGACCTCGCAGCCGACGCTGGGCTTGTAGGCCGGGACTTGACCGATACATTGGCCGAGACCATTTGGTGTCATGGAGCTAGAGGATGAATTAGCTCAAGTTCGCTGTAAAGAAGGAGATGCTGACTTACCTCGGACAGCAAAGCGCCAGCGTCTGACTCGGCTCCAACAAACTCGCCAAAAGTGTCACAGGCTCCTCGTAATACGGCATCTTTTTTTCCGACGTGGTCAAGAACCCCGAAATACTCAGAGACTTGTCATCGCGCGCAGCCATACCAATCGTCTCCCAGCGGGAAGGACAGTACAGTCCCGGTGAGTAGTATCCGACAGAACCGACCCATTTTTTCTCGTCGTACCAAGTTGCCGACGTGGTCGTGCCAGGGGGCATACAGTCCCAGTCGCTCGTTGATGTAGGACAGCCGACTTGGAATTGGAGTAGGGTCCTATCATCATTGATCCAGGCGAGAGAGAGTCGATCCGTGGCGGTACAGCTGGGCGCGGGGGTGAATGTTGTTGTTATGGGGCCATAGTTTTCGAAGGTCCAGTATCCGCCGGCGACAGATGCGGTAGTCATGATCGCGAAAGTTATGCAATCCCGATGTTTGTTGAGATCCAAGTTGGAAAAGAAATGATCTCTCAAAAAGGGAGATTCGTGCAGCCAGCGCGCATTTTAGAACAGGGTCCTTTGGCAAGCCACAGTTGGATTGTTAAATTATCATCACTAGTACTCCGTAGTGCTCTTGAAATGATCGAATGAGGCTTAGAATGCTTAGCTTTCGGTGGATAATCTGCTCCGTTCGTCTCGCTAGCCAGGCGAATTGCCGGTCCGGCCGGCTTGGCAAGGACCGAGCCAACTTAGATCTTGAGGCTATCGCTCGCTTAGGTTAGTGGTGTCTTACATGTATGGTATAGAGGGAATGCGTTCTTGCCCCTGACTTTTGGGCTTCTCAGGCTCTAGGTGGGATTAAGCGAGGTGTACTCCGTAGACTAGTGATTCTTAGTTTTGGAGAGCAAACTATATTTATCTCCCTCACTTGCGGGATTTATACCTAGATCCCAAAGCTATCAGGATTGACAAAATTTCGGCTGCATTGGGGCATAAGAGAATTACTTCATGTGTTTAGAGTCCTTGAATGAGGGCGATACAGCCGGTACAGTTGACGACGAAGAGAAGAAGAACCAACCATGTGAGTTTAAAGCTTTTTATTAAGCGCTATATTGAATATAGGCCTAACTAATCTAACGCATCAGTCCACGGATATTCGCTTAACTTCCTGACTTTATTTGACTTCACTCGGCCCTGGTCACGAAAAAGCATTCACAAAGTTGAGATGATAGTCATCGTGCAGTTCAAGCCTTCATTGTTACATCACTATATAGAGTTTCGATCCAGCCCTAATATAACGTACATCGATCTAAATCCGATATAATTATTCATGACCATGCCAACTCGACACTATATTCATCGCTAGTACATCCATGGCCACCAGTTTGGACGATTCGGTGATCGATCATGATGAGATCGAGGATTATTGGAAGGAAGAGATCGAAGATAACAATTGCCTTCTATGCGGAGTGCGTTGAGAAATATTTTACTCCAAAATTGTGAGGCCAACACGTCCCACTGTTTTGTTCGGGGAAGATAAGTGGAAATACCGCAGGAAAGCCAAAGCAGAACATGTGATGGTCCCATCAAAGGAAGTTGAAGAGGGAGATTTCGCGAAGTACCCCTCCACGTGGTCATCCACGGGTCGAGCCCACTGAGTGTCATAAAAGCGTCCTAGGTCCGTAGTCTACATATGTATTCTAACAGACACAGTAATCAAACAGCCTAGTAGTACCAAGTACTTCCTGACCGGTATCACTACGATTGAATACGCGAAAGTTTTTCATCCTTACGTGATTCCAAAAGACCCCAACGTGGCCCGAATCGGCGGGAAAGCAGGCAATCTCCAGTATGATGATACCTTCGTTCAATTCCATGCAGCAAACATCGAAACACAAGCGAGTGAATTTCAAGACGAAAATATCGGATTCATTGTCCACGCCCACTGCTGGGCTCTTTTCAACCACATCATGCCCACGGCATTGGTTGAAAAGAAGCTGGAGAAATTTATTCGTGCCGGCCGAAAATACTGGCGGAACAATAGGTTATGGGGAATTCAGGATTGGGAGCAAAAACAATGGAAGTCCGGGCATGGCCGTACTTATAAGGGGTTCGAGTTCGGCTGTGATATCTACAAGAATCCTCTCATAGTACCCGAGGTTCAAAAAGTAGTTGACAACGCAAGGAAGACCAAGAAGGAATACATTGCCCCTCGTTGCAGTCACGTACCATTGGAAGTTGCGACTATGATCGCCGAGTGGACTTGCCCTATTGACTACACACCGGCTGATGTGAAGAATACACGAAATATGCTTTCGGCATGGCAGTGGACATTACCGGATTGCTTTTGGAAGGTGCGACTGAAAGAGGAGTTATTCGTTGAACTGACCTCACTGAGGGAGTCGAATTATTCAATCGATTGGCAGGCCTTACGGCTTGATTTGATGGCTCTTGTTTCTGATCGGGAATGGTACGTCTCTAGCGGCTTGCCGAATCGTGAGCGAGTGATTGGATTTATGACTGCTATCAAGTCTAATTTCCTGAAAATAGCCTGAGGATGGGGAAGATTGATGCTGAAAGTATTGCTATATCGCTGTATGTCAAATGGATTGCTATTTTGGTATACCTGATTTTGATCTCTCTTTATAAACCGGACTGACCTACATATCCTATAAGTGTAAACTTGCAGCTCTGGATGGGGATCTAGCCATGGATGTTGATTAGAGAAAATGTACTCAGTACTTATCACAAGGCAGCATTCCCCGCATAGTGCTAGGTACAGGATACCTATGTATACTAAAGCATCATAAACCCAGCCATTTTGAGAGCCAAGCAATGCCTTCACCCAAAGAAGAGATGTTTATTGTCCACACCGTCAGTACAGTGCGCCTAAACTCTTAATAGTGGACTATAGGGGTCGAACTGTCCAGAGTACTAAGCCGCCAAGCTAAATCGCATCCCCGCCCAAACACACGCACATGACCCGCATGGATGTCAAATCTCTGAGAAGTCCTTCGAGAGGGGTGTTCTCCTTTGCTTTTGCCTAAATGTTCTCTCTTGATTCCCGAGCTTCACAAGCTGCACGTAAACCCAATATGCGCGGTCTCGACGAAAGCACCGAAGCTCTTTTACGTACTGGCCAAAAGGCCCAGGAGCAAGTGCGACATGCCTGGGATGGCTTCATAAACTTCGCTGCGCGGGATAATGTCCTCGAGGTTGCGTTGGGTTTGATGTTAGTTCTCCCTTTGCATAACAACCTAACCACCCTGCTAACATATAGATCCCAATTGAAGTATAGCTAATGCGTTCACCAAAGTCGTCACATCATTCGTAACAGACATGGTTCTGCCGATTGTCTCTCTGCTGCCATTTTTGAACCGAAACATGGATCAGAAATTCGCCGTTCTCTCCAAGGGTCCGAATTTCGACCAGCAGAATGGGTATAATACCCTCCTTCAAGCGAGAGAAGATGGAGCACTGGTTCTGGCTTATGGGTATGTAGACCTACCCAGCTACTCATGTCCCTTCAGGGCGTTTTGATACAAATAAATGGATGCAGGGCGTTTATGGAGACCGCTCTTAACTTCCTGGGGGTCAGCCTTACTCTGTACGCGGTCGGACATCTATACATGCTTATCTTCCAGGACAAGATCATCAAGCCTACTGTCCGCTGTCCATACTGCAAGCAGTATATCAGTGAATCGGTAAGTGGTTTGATCCGATATGTGTTTTGCCCTGGCTAATTGTTCAAAGGCGCTTCGGTGTCGACATTGTTCAACATGGCAAGACGGAAGGGAAGATGATCCTGGGAGTGACGAAAGTTCTCGCTCATAACTGGCTGATGCCGAGTCAAGTTTTGTTGCGGGAATTCCCTAGGAGGTACATGTGTTTTAAATGACGGCGGACTTTTCGGAAATATAGATTGATTTGTCGCAGATGAATTGGGATTTGAATTAGATGTACAAGAAGTTCTATAATACAGTCGCCAAGAATGCCAGATCAGATCTAAATATCTATACCACTAAATCGACCACCATTCGAATTCAGAAATATCCTGTACCGGCAAAGTATGTTGTTTGCGGCGCCACGTCCTGCGGGCATGCTCGAGGAATGCATCTGGAGGAGACCAGGCTGCCTCCCAGGTCTGAGGGTGTCTCAGACTAGTTTTAGATTGGAGAATGCCAAAGCGGAAATCAAGCGGATTCGGAGTGCCTGCGGGAGACGGCAGTCGCATGTAGTAGCGGACGCTGTCAGGAATCTCCTCAGCAACATGGCTAGTCATGATCAAGGCTTGATCCTCCGTGAGACCAGTGAACCGTAAATCCACCTCCATACGGGTTACATTGGAGGCACGGACTTTAGCTCTCTCGCCCTGTCTAGGAAGTGCAAGCACATGTTACGCTGTGCTGCGGATAAGCCCGAGAAAGCTTCGTCGAGGATAACAATATCCGGCTTGGCGACGAGGGCTCGCATGAAAAGCACAATGCGTTGTTGTGCGGTGGTGAGTTCACCGAAGAGAATTTCATCCGCGTATCCAACAATGTGATCCAGTAACGCGTATCTATCTAGCTTGACGTGAGTCTGCTTGGTCAGGGACGGGAGAGGGAGACGGGCAGTCGATATGTTATCTGCCACCTTGCTCGTGGTGTAATTTGGATCCAGCTGGGGCCTGAAGTATTGCAGGATTGCAGATATGTCTAGATCTCGTTCAATGTTCAGCTTCGGCTTTGATAGGAAGGTTTCGGCGAAGGCAGTCTCGAGAGCTTGACGGATTGACAGTTGACGCGGGAAGAACGCATGGATTTCCGGTGACGAGTGTCCAATGCGGGACTGCAGTTCAAAGATTGAAATTCCTGGTTTTCCAGGCTCGGGAAGCCTGGATCGTCCAAAAAGTTTGACAGGCTGCCCATACGCCTGCGGATGGTCCGACGTGATCATCGATAGCAATGTTGTCTTGCCTGATCCATTGGGACCAAGGATCGCCCAGCGCTGCCCCCGACGGACTCGCCAGTGCAGCCCGTCCTTTATTTCGTCCTTCACCTTCTGTTGCCAATCACCGAGTATTACCTTGTCCCCATACTGGACACGAACTCCTTCCATATCAATAACTGGCTCTCCGCCTAATGACGCATAGACTTCTAAGGACTTTATAGGGTTCGTATGCGCCACCAAATCCCCAAGGAGTTCTTTATCCAAGACACCAGCCTTCAAGTCTGCTTCACATTTCTTCAATATTTGTGTTTGCTGTTCGGGTAGAGAGTCCCGGTCCTGCTTAGACTTATTTGCAACGTAGCTCCAGACATTGAGCGTGTCATCGATAGCTGCCCTTGGCCCTTGCAGGAGAGGACCTTGTTGGAATTACCCACAACCATAATGTGTGTGATCCAGTCCGGCACCTTGTCCTGGGGGCGCAGAGCCATAATGAGCCGCGGGGCGTGTCTCTTCGCTAGCTCATGAAGAATTCCAGAGATCTTTTTCACAGCCACCGGGTCCAATCCCACTAAGTAGAGGTTAGAAGGTCACAGCCATCGAATGTGCAATTTAAACACTCACTGAATGGCTCGTCAAGAAGCAATAGCTCTGGTTTGCTTAAAACCGCCTTTGCAATTCGCGCTCGGCGGGTTTGACCATTGCTCAGGCTGGAGACTGGCAAGTCGAGGATATTTCTGAGGTCAAAACCTGAAATGGTCTGCTGGAGCAAATTTTCGTCATGTAGCGTGCCTTGCTCGTCGCCCTCCATCGGATTCAAGGAGGTCTGGCCACGCAAGTATTGCAGCACGGTCCAGTCGGTTTCCTCCCGATAACTCTCATAGCGAGCACTAAGATATGCGCCACGGGTTCCCCCAATAGCCCCCGAGCCCTCACCACTAAATCCAACATATTGGACTGCATTTTCCACCACGCGTAACTGCGGGTCCTTGTCGGCGATCTCGTCTGTGAGGAGGTACGGATATGAACGTGCGTTGGGCGGGATACAGATGTGTTGGCCACGGAGGATATGGAGGAGGTCGGTTCGGCCAGATGGGCCAATTATAGCCCAGTGTTGCGGAGGTGCTGCCTTGACGGCGCCGTCAATGTGAATACCGGGTAGAGTGAGGTTCAGGTTTGGGAAGAGAGGTGGATTAGACGAGTCTTCGGCGGTTGGGTATTTCTTGTAAAAAGTTCCATCCTGAATGCGCAGGAACGGGATTTCGGAGACGAACCGGGTTGGGCGATAAGCTGCGAGCCGGAATGCCCTCGGCCGCAATTTAGTTCGGAGTAGCATCGTCGCCTACTGGAAAAATCGCAAAACTGCGGAGATTGGAGATTCGGGCTAACATTTTGTAGGTCACGTGACTACATGTTGCGATTCTAGATTGTCATGCAGAGGTTGTACCCGAGCTCCAAAGAGATCCATCAATTGTGCCACAGCGTAGGAAGATTTGGCACGATATTATGAATACAGACAGTACTTTATGCGACATCTAATCGAACCATGCTGTCGGAGTAATATAGACAGAAACTGTTTTTCCAAAGTTGTATGCACATATGTACATGTCGTCTGATCTGAAAAAGCTTCACTTTTATGCCTATCCCACTCTTGAATCCGTCAAGCATCATTAAAAGTCGCAAAATGAGCTGAATTTGATATTGCCCACCTGGGCATCTCATGCTGTTTGTCATATCATCACGTGACGGTTCCGATCTAATCGCATCCGATCCCGATAGCCGTCTGTTTCGGATCTGCGTCGTGCGGGGTGTAGCTTGACTCGAGGTGATTCATATCCGCTGTGTATTGCGATAATTTGGAGCTGCAAGTAGACAGCACTTGGTGAAAAAGCACCATAAATTTCTTATAACCAGCCAAGTCGTAGTAGATCCCATAGATGTAAGCCGACGGCTAACCCGTGGACCTTGGGGTAATGGGGCGGGTGTGGTCACCCGACGGCCAAACTCTCGGGACCCGATTACCAGAGGTCGTCATGGACCCTTATATAGCCGGCTCTTACTTCGTTTCCCCACAAACATTCTGCGCATCTCGTGCTTCTAATTACGGACTCTCACGTGGCATGACGCGTGTTGATCCGATATCAAAGAAGTCACCTTGAACCTCCATCCACCCAACATTCAAGTGCAAGTATCTACAGAGAGGGAGAGAGAAATAACATGACAGGCAGCATGTACTCTCCGGTCCTCGAGACCAGCCGCATCTTCTCCGAGCTTTGTGAGCAGTCGGAACGCTTCGACTTACCACCCGAGGTCCTTGCAAACAAAGACCGTGTCTCGTTCTCTACCAGTCATAATGAAATCTACTTCCCCATTCCATTTAAAGAGACCGAGACACTTGCAGCGCTGAAGGGCGTCGAAGGTTCCGTGGCCGCCGCCATTGCTGACCTGCGCTTTGGTGCTGGCGCGGGACCTCGGGGCATTCAAGTCAACCTCGAAGCTGCCACTGCGTTCGGATGTCAAGCGTACATGGCAAAGGTGGATGGCTTGTCGAAATTGGACCCGGACGTGAAATCAAAGCTGAAGAGTATGTACTTCCGTGTCGATGTCGACTGACCTATCGAGCGACAAGACAATACTGACTGTCACAGATACGGATTTGCTGGCTGCCCAATCTAACGGCTACCGACGTATGTCGGCGAATCTCTACAAGACTAAGAATCCAGACGAATTCTTCCATATCCATGGTTCGCTAGAGGCTACGACTACCTTGAACATGATTGGACTGGAAGGCCAGCGACCAGACTTGACTGACTATGAAGAAATCATCAAGGTTATTGAGAATAAGGTACAGCAATACACAGCTGCCGAGCTTGAAGAGATGAACAAGGAGAGACGCCAGGCTGGTGTGACTGCTTACAAACATGAGGACTTCATCAAGACTCCCCATGTAAGTTTTGCAGTGCTGTATCCGAACGCAACAATCAGGCTAATCATTTCACAGGGAAAACTCAACGTCGAAGAACCTGCATGGAAAGTCACCAAATTGCCCGGGGATCTTCCTCCAACTCCTTTCCCAGCTAGCAGCAATGGCAGTAACAAGATTCTCGAGGGCATCAAGGTACTGGAGATGTGCCGTATCATCGCAGGCCCGACTGTTACCCGTATTCTAGCCGAGTATGGTGCCGACGTTTTGAAGATCACCAGTCCAAACCTTTCCGATGTGCCGTTCTTCCAGGTTGATGGTAACATGGGCAAGCTTACAGCGGAACTTGATTTGAAGAGCGAGGCTGGACGAAAGCAGTTTGAGAAGCTACTGGATGATGTGGATGTTATCGTCGATGGCTACCGTCCTGGAGCTCTGGATAAGCTTGGCTATGGAGCAGAGGCCATGGCTGCATTGGCCAAGAAGCGCGGCAAAGGCATCGTTTACGTGAATGAGAACTGCTTCGGATACGAAGGCGAGTGGGCTGGCCGCGCTGGATGGCAGCAGATAGCGGACTGTGTAAGTTACCACGTACAGTCTTCAATATTCCGATCACAACTGACCTTACCTACAGGTGACCGGAATTGCTTGGGCCCAAGGCCAGTTCATGGGCCTCTCAACACCCGTTGTACCCCCATTCCCCATCTCTGACTACGGTACGGGCTGCATGGGTGCCATCGCCGCGCTGACGGGTCTTTATCACCGCGCGAAGACTGGAGGCTCATACCACGGTAAAGCCTCGCTGATGCACTACGACCTTCTCCTCTTTGCAATGGGTCAATACCCAGCAGAGGTGCAGGAGGAGCTTCGTAAGGTGCAGCCGCCCGAGTTCTTCAAGTTGCGTCACTGCGATAGCGTTGACCGCATCTCGTCGACTGTGCTGAAGGGTATGCAGGAGCGATTCCCGCACTTGTACAAGCCTGCTGGTTCTGAGTCGGAAGGCCGCAAGCCATTGACAGAACTATGGTCATCGCGCGCATATGGCGCGGATGTCGAGATTGTCAAGCCAGTCGTAGCCATTGGCGGAGTGGATAATCAGTTTGCACGGTCCAGTCGTCCGAACGGATTTGACCAGCCTGCGTGGGAAGAGTTTAACATCGAGGAGACAGATGTGAAGAAGTGTTAGTGGTCTCGGCGCTGCCTTCGTTTCATTTCCTTTGCCCTTGAATAAGAGAAATGAACTATGCATAGATTCCAATTGAATACTAGTCCGCAAGTTACCTTCAAGCCAGGATGTCTGACTTAGATTCAGTATTGCCCAATTGAGGAGGTTAGCCTTAACATAAGATAGGGATCTCCCGCTTGATTCATTTATTGATAGATTCAGCCAAAATACATTGAGAGAGCTGGGGTACGTAGCCGTCACGTCAGTACAGGATACATCTTTCGCCAATAAAGTCGTCTCCAGAGCCTAACGATATACCAACTTCCCTGAAAACGCTGTCTCTCCCATTGCTCTGATGTTCCTTCAACTAAGAGAAGATTGCGATGCAGATCATCGAGGGTAAGAGCGCGCTTTTGGGCATGTGTTAGCAAGAGCTGGATGGCCTCTTTGTGGTTCCTTTCCGCTGCCTCTGCCAGCATTGATAACCCAAACTTGTGTTCGGGAAGAGGATTAGCCCCTCGTTCTAGGATGAGGCGTAGAGAGACCAATCGCCTTCCTTTATGACCCACGCGTGACCAGCAATAAGGTAGCTCCTCCCATTTGTCTATATCAGCGCCATAATGCAAAAGTACATCAAGAGTCGCTGCTGCTGCTTCAGGGTCAGGAGCCTCTGCAGCATTGCTCAGGTAAGGTCTTATATTGTGGTCGTATGAATAATACTGCCGGAGTGCGCCGAGATCAGAATTCGGGTCAAATCCTTGGTTGAGGAAATACTCCGTGGTTATTGAGTCTCCCCTTCTCACAGCAGCTACCATTGCATACTGGTCATATATGTCGCTGGGAACAGGTATCACGCCATATGGATGCAGAAATTGAAGCATCGTTGCCCCTCCTACGGCTGCGGAGGTGAGAATCGTTCTCTCCGTGCCCGCCAGGCATATGTTCAATGTGACACCGTGATCGAGCAGTCTTTGAACCAAAGCAACATTTCCACTCCGTATAGCCCACTCGATTGGGGCAAACCCTTTTGTGCCAAACCTCGCCTGACAATCTGCTCCTCTCTCGAGGAGCATATCGACTATTGACGGGAATGGCATGGCTGCGACAAGGGCAGGGGTGGCATTCCAATCTATCTTAACCTCATTAACGCCATGCTTGAGTAGTAATGCCACCATGTCGGTGTTCCCACTCCTAAAAGCCCTCGTCAATGGAGGGTCGGTCCATGTTATCGATTTATTACGCTTAGCTCCTTTCTCGAGAAGAAGCGTGGCGATTTTGATATCACCCCTTTCCACGGCCCAGGAAAATGCTGTTTCAGATTCTTTGAAAAACCATGGCCTGCAGGGAGCGCATGTCTTGTCTGGACGACATCGAGCCCTGAGTACCTTTTTCAACATCTCTTCAAATCCACAGGCTGCAGCCACAAGCAAAAGCACAGCCAAGTCCTCGCTTCTGGCCCTAATCTTGCTCTCTACGTCGACATAGCCCAACAAATACCGAACCACTTCCACATTTTGCCGCTCTGCAGCCAGCCTCAAGGTACCCGAGTGTGGCCCCATTTGGCAATACGGGATTGGGACAGGCCCCGGCCTCGACTAATAACCGAACAAGGCTTTCGTTTCCGGATTCCACTGCTCTTCACAGAGGACTACACTCCCAAAAGTCTGCGATATCCACAGGAACCCCGGCTTCGATTAAAATCCTAGCAACATCCGTCTGGCAGGCCATGGACAGCAGCATTTGATCATTTTCAACATGAACCATGTAGTCGATCGTTTCGGGATATCTTTCACGGAGGAATCTCACAACGGCTGTATAGCCCTCTGAGATAGCAACAAGCATGGCCCAGGCAATCCTGGGCTGCCCAAAATGCGCCATTCCACCATAGGCACGCAACAGATGGACGACAGAGTCTTGCCCGTAGCAAAAAGCCCTATCCATTGGGTCGTCCAAGCGAGTAACATCCGAGTCATAGCGGAGTAAATCCTTGTTCCATTCTGGCTCTGGTCCCTGGGGCCACCACATTTGTCCTCCATTTAGACGAAGAACCCATTCCAAGAAAATCTTGACTACGGCTTCATGCCCCCCACGAGCCGCCAAGGATATTGGCGGGCTTTCTTCAGGGTATGTACCCAAAAGCGGGGCACCGGCTTCGAGTGACTTTCGAGCGACAGTTCCTCGACCATGTCGAGCTGCCCATTCCAGAGCGCAACCGTTGTAGCGGTTGACATTATTCTTGTACAGGAAAGTGTCGAGTGACATATGCAGTTTGCGTGGTCGTTCGTGACAGAGCGCTGATATCGCTATCAAGTTCTAAGAAGTCGGTGATAATGTAGATTATCTCCAACGGGAGATCTGGAAATTCCATGATTATAGAATTGTAAGAGAACAAGTTGTCAGGCGAATTGAACAGTGGAGAGAGAAACGTCTGGTATTCCTGCAGAGACGCTTTCACTTTCATACTGCTTTGTCTCTGGATCAATTAACGATGATCTACGTAGTCTCCGAGTCCCTTTTAGGCACGGTGCTGATGTGTCGATGGAGGTGTATGAGATCTGGACCTTTAGAAAAGAGAGTCTAATAGAGTCTAGACTAGTCCATGTCAGTCTTAGCTCTAACCGAGGCTCCACTCCCAAGGTTTCCCCAAAAACAGGGGACTAACCTGTCTTTTGGTTTTTTTCGTAACTCTTTATTTTTATCTTACTTCTAACATCTTCTTAACTTCTTAACCTCATTCTTATGTGGAAGTGACCAGCTATAGATCAGCTGGCCCATCTAATATGGGTCAGCCCGAAACTGATGTCGAGCGGGAGAGAATTCGAGATTTGTCTAAGTTTGTTCCCCGCCCTGCGATCGCGATCCCCACTAACACACCCCCGATCTCGACAGATATTATTGTACATTTGATCAGCCAGTCTCTACAAGCTCAGACCAGGACGTACATGATATACCACAGGACATACCCTCCCCCCGTCTTCCCAACGATACCACTTTGACCGCGCTGACACAACTGGGAGTCTATCGCTTTGGCTGTAATCGGTCTTTCGTTTCAATCATCGACGGAGAAAGTCAGCACGTCATTTCAGAGGCAACGGCCTCGATCTCTCTTCGAAACAAAGATCTTCATCGCCCAGACGATGGCATCTTCCTGGGTGTCAATACACTTGACTTGGAATGGGGAGTGTGTCCCCACGCCATTCGACTTTTCACTGGACAAGATTCTTCCCAGGTGCTAGACACGGAGAATATAACAGCCAACCAGACACGCAACATCATTCGCGATTTCACAAAGGAGGACTTCTACAAAGATCGCCCGTATGTGCTTGACTGGCCTTTCTTTCGATTCTACGCCGAGGTGCCATTGTACAGCCCTTCCGGGTTCGTACTAGGTTCATATTGTGTGGTGGACAACAAGCCACGAACCGAATTTGGAGATGAAGATGTGGCTGCTCTCCGGGAGATTGCCGACTCAATTTCAAACCACCTTGAAAATGCGCGGATCGTTCAATATCATCGTCGGTCAGAGAACTTGGTGAAAGGGTTGACAAACTTCGTCAAAAGTCATTCAAAATTTGACCCTACTGGATCCTCCACTCAAGGTCTGATTGAAGCATCTGCGAAGAAGCTCAATCCTGAAGATTTAGGGCTAATAGTTCAGCCAGGCGATGTGGGGGGAACGCTTGATTCTTTATCCACAGAAAAGGAAATTAGTGGCTATGCACCCCTTGACCCAAGGTCATCCACGAGTCTTAATGGAAAGGAAACGACGATATTTTCTCAACATATACCTTCCGCGTCAAACTATACTCTGCCATCATCTCAAACTTCGGACCGAGCCGAACCGCTTCCCTGTTCTGTAGAAGGACCCCCGGAATCGTTAGTGCCAGACAATGTGCCTATCGCTGAACGCATAGCTGCAACTTTTGCCCGTGCCAGCCTCCTACTGAAAGAATCTTTGGACTTGGACGGTGTGGTTTTTCTTGATGCCTACCGAAATGACCCGCAATTGTTAGTCACTCCATCTTCAGATAATTGACATTTTCTAACTCCATTTTAGCGAACCTTCTGGACGGCATGATGATTGGGATGCCTTGCTGAATTTTAAGACACGTTCGCCCATCGCTTCGCACTCTGGTCCTTGGGGTCTTCCTGATGAAAATTCACCCAAAGACGCAAAATACTACTGTGGTTCCTTGGGTCAGGCTATAAGCTGCAGGTCAGCTAAAAGCAACACTGACTCCAAATGCCAGGTCAAAGTGACCGAAGAGTTACTGCATTCGTTGATTACACACTTTCCAGACGGCCGCATCTTCAACATGGACAGCAGGAGTAACCTGGCCAGCTCCATTGACTCTCCAAGTGGCAATTCAGAGATCCCTGGTCCCGATTTTGAAATCATCCGGCAGATCTCTCTTTGTATCTCTCAACAGCTCCCTGAAGCCAAATGTGTACTCTTCTATCCTCTATGGGATTGGAGCAAATCCCGATGGCTTGCAGGTACACTGGCTTGGGTGAATGGAACCCATCGCCCTTTGGGTGTAGAGGACCTGCACTACTTCAAAGCTTTTGGAGATTCTATGATCTCCGAAGTGTCTCGGATACACTGGACCGCCAGCGAGAACTCGAAATTCGACTTTGTAACCTCGATCAGTCATGAGCTCCGCTCCCCGCTTCATGGGATCCTCGCGAGTGCAGAATTGCTACATGATATTCCGCTTCAGCCTGCGCACCGTGATATGGTTAACATGATCTCGACATCGGGATTGACTTTGCTGGACACAATAGATCACCTGTAGGTTTTATTCACAGTCCATCTAGCGAACATGTTACTAACTAATAGCAAGGCTGGATTACTGTAAAATCAACAACTTGGCCACTACGCAACGTCTCAGCGAGGCCAACGCTGAAGATTGTGGAACAAGCCTAGTGTCCAATTTCAATCTCGATTCCTTGGTTGAAGAAGTCACCGTGATACTCCATACCAGTCGAAAGGCACCCGGGCGTGTCTCGGTCCTTGCAAGTGAAATGGCTACTGCTATTCCGCCCTCTCAACCCACCTCTTGTGTTACTCGAAGTGGGGATGAATTGTCGGTGGTAGTAAACGTTGAGCAGTCCAGCACCTGGAATATCCGATCAGTTGCTGGTGCCTGGAGGAGAATAGTCATGAATCTCCTCGGCAATGCAATGAAATGGACGCAGACTGGCCTCATCGAGGTATCTTTGTCACAAGCCGCAGCTCAGACCGAAACAGAACCACATCTTGTCCATCTCCGCGTTACAGACACGGGCAAAGGAATTGCACAGGACTTTCTTAGAAACTCCGCATTCTCCCCATTCACCCAGGAAGACGCCCTATCAGAGGGCGTTGGGCTTGGACTCAGCGTCGTGCATAAGCTAGTGACTTTCCTGAGTGGTCATCTCAAAATAACCAGCGAAAAAGGTGTTGGTACCCAGGTCGATGTTTACATTCCTGCAGAGCGTCCCAAGGACCATGTCCCCGCCGAGTTATTCGACAACGCTTCATCGCTGGAAACTCAAAGACGCAAGGACACTCTGAAGGCATGCCTCATTGGGTTCAACGGCTGTCCTGACTTGACGGAGACGCCCACTGGCATCCTAAGCCCCGATGCGAAACGGAAGATTTCGATTGAGGACACTCTATCCAATATTTTCAGGGTGCAGTTTGGATGGCATATTGCACTGGCAGAGTCACTCGAGAAGGGAGAGGGTGACATCGCGGTTATCGAAGAGGCAAAGTTCAACGCTATTTTGAATGATCAATCACCCTCTACCATGAATGCCGGTCATCATTTCAAGTTCTTCATTGTCTTGGGCAGCACGACACCCTCCCTAGGCTCCTCTCTACCTCCGAATGCATTCCTGATGGCACAGCCGTACGTCTAGAGTCCACCCCTTTTGCCAATAATCGAGCTGACCTTCGATGCAGATATGGACCTCGGAAGATCCGTGAAACCGCTCAAAGAATAATGGATTTACACAGGTCACAAGCTCAAATCGGCGGCCTTGAAGCTCCAGTTACCATTCCACCTATAAGCCATGAAATTCTTCTGTCAAAACCTACCCCACAGAACATACCGGAAATACCAAAAGGTCTTTCACAAAAGCCTCCAGTTGAATTGATCAGTCCGGGTCCTCTTATCACGGACTTGCCAATTCGATCGTTCAGTCAAACGAACGATATCCATGTTCTCATCGTGGATGACAACGACATCAACCTCCAGGTAAGTATTCTCCCGCAAACTCGGTTACGTTAAGGTTGCCACTTTCTCGTATATCGGTCCTTTCAATCAATTCCTTGTGATGTGGCTTACAACCATGGAACAGATCCTGGCTACATTCATGCGAAAGCTTGGCTGTACTTACGACACGGCTTCTAATGGACTGATTGCATTGGAACAGGTTGAATCTTCAAGTCGAAGATATGACTTGATATTGATGGGTTAGTCTACAAGTTCCTTGAACATCTCTAACCCCAATTTTACTAACTGCGTGGTTCCAGATTTATCAATGCCTATAATGGATGGTCTGGTCTCCACCAGTAAGATCCGACAACATGAAAAAGACCATGGTCTCCAACCCTCCCGCATCATGGCTGTCACAGGCGTCGCTTCGGATACCATGCAGCAGGCGGCGGTGACCGCAGGTGTCGACGACTATCTAGTCAAACCTCTTTCTCTCCGTAAACTGAAGAAGCTCATGGAACCTACACCCTAATTGGATACCCTCTCCCGTGAATACAACAGTTACCTTCGACGATTTTTGGAAGGCTCGTTGAAAATTCCCGTTCAGCGTTAGCCTTCAAGATGTCATGATACCATAGCATAAGGCCCAAAGCAAGACAACGAAGAGCTTAGAAGTCATTGTTGACCAATGAAACATATATTTACATTCATAGTTCCGCCTCATCAATATCATAAACTAGATGCCTTTGTCCAGTTCCCCGTTTATCCGGGACGATAGCTCTACAAACACTCGAATTCTGTCACCCGCGAGAAACCCCACAACCTCATCCCTATTCGCCATACAGGGATTCACCACGGCCGATCCTCACCCTAGCCCAGCCCACGAATCCCGCCCCCAGAACCACCCTAGCCAACAAATACATCGTCAGCTGCATGCCACCATACCTAACCACGGACTCGGAGGTCGTGATACACAGTCAAACAGCCATAAGCCGCTAGAGACGATTCCAACTGCGCCGCCTCGAGTCTCAGCCCGGCGCGTAACTCGCACACCATGCATGTGTTGTGCTTGTGTAGGCGCAGCACCGTTGCGAGACCGGCCGGTCAAGCGCTGATCATTGGTGCCGTGCGGGGTTAGCGTGGTTTTTGCTTTTGTGTGCTGGCAGTCATTGTTTTCATATCTACATGGGAATGTCGTGATTGGCTTATCTGTCCCGTCTATTGGATAACGTGTCTGGGTGGGTGCTGTTTTCGAGGTTTGGACATGGGTGCGATGTATGTGCTGGTTTGGACTGTGCTTACCTTGCGTGGTTCGGATATTGTGGTGGGCTAGGTGTAACGTTGGAGTTTTTTTTTTAGTTCTTGTCATTTGAATTGAAATTGGGATTTGGGTTTGCACCCGGCTATCGAGTACTGATTTTATTTCTTTTTAGATGATGTTTTGGAGAGATATATATTTTCCCCCGTATACTTCGTCCTCTGGGTATTGGGTATGTGGTCCGCAGATAGTTACCGAATCGGGTAAGTACCACCGAGGTCGCAGGTTGAAATATCCTTGACTATAACGGACTATACAAAAACGAGATATAGCTAGGGATTGCGAGAATATGCACGAAATCCAACTTAAACTAGAGTACATAAAATCTCAAACTCGACACACGAATATAGACTAAAACAGAGGCAAATCTAACAAACAATCTGATTCATGTAAACTTTAGTACATATCACTATCACCGCCACAATAATTGGCCCCCAAGCCCGGTGGAGATGGTTCGTATTATTTGGAATTGTACGACTATCACGTACATCAATATTGCCTTCTATAGGGGTGAAGTTTGTGGCGGTTGCACTCTGTAGGTTGTTTAAGGAGAAATTGTCAAACGGATAGCAGCAGGGTCATAGCGCTTGATTCCAAATCCCCCTAGGAAGCGCTGACATATGTACACAGACAGGGCGCCCCCCTGAATAGGAGACTTGCAACTCAGCATCCTTCGAAAATGTCAATTGGAATAAAAAAACAATGTACCGCCAATAAACGCCGCAAGCCGGAGAGGATATATGGCAAGATGCTCAAAAGATACAAACTCCTAAATGAGAAACAAAAACAAAAGCAAAAAAACGACAAGGGGCCATGAACAACACGAATCGAACAACAGGTATGTACGGTCCAAAGACAGACAGATAATCTTATGAATCAGGAATCGAAAATGGGGCCAAATGCCGGGGTCCCTCGACATTCAAGCTCATAGACGATTCGCGCCGTCAGCCTAGGGTTACTGATCACGCACACCGCTTCAGCGTCAAAGTCTTTGATTTGCTGCAAGATTATAGGCACCATGTCCATACGCCCACACTTATCGGTGTCTCAGGATGATGGGGGCATCATCCATCTTGTGGACCATATGCATCACCCCGTCACCGTAGGTCTTCCGAGGGGCACGAGTTTGCCAGAGTACACGCAGTGCAGGTCGGTTATCATCACCCAGGAATGACAGACAGGGTCCGATGCCGGATCCGGTAGTCACGACTATTACTTCTCCGGAACACACGCATGGCATATGCGAAGCCATAGATTAGCACACCGCGCTTCCAGAGATGGGTAGGCGGGTTCTGGATGGTTTCCGCAGTCCAGTCTCCCGCTTTGGACACCAAAGAAGAGAAGCTTGGGTTGCCGTGGACACCTGCGGGAGCAGGGTCAGGAAAAGTTGCAAAACCATGCCAATCGCGAAGTGGGTGCTTGGCGAGTTGGATGCCCTTGCCAAAGGTGGTAACAGCATGGTCAAAGTGCAGACGAGTGGCGTGGGTCGAGAGTGGCTCGGCCCGCACCGCGACCTTTCGGAGGAACAACCAAGGCTGGACAATGGCTGCTACAGTTAACATCAAGAACCAGAACGCTGGCAGTTCGACAAGGAACCTTCCAAATGGTTGGCCCATGGCCTGGCTAGCGCCTCGTGAGAAGACGAGCAACAAGGCCACGAACAAGGCCACGACAAGCCAGCCCGAAAAACGGTGGGTCAGTTCGAAATAATCATGCCGTTTCATCCGGAAGGCGGGGTGGGCCACCACGATGATTGCCAACAACAGGACCAAGATGACATAAGCTAACGCAACTGGTGCTGCTGAAACGCCGATATCCGGACCATCCGCGGATGGTTTCCAGTATTGGTGGGATAACACGCCCACGAACCCCACGTACCACACCAGGGAAGCGACTCCACAGCCGCTATGGACACCACCATAGTGGTAGACCTTCGCGGCGATCCGACGGAGGAGAAGCGGCGCTGAGCGCGGCATTGAACATACTACCACGAAGATAGCATTGACCACCAGTGGCTGGCGGGCTAGACCACAAGCGAGCAAATTGGCAGCTGTGGCATTGACCAGGGCTAGGAGTTTTTGTTCCGTGCTCATGACGTACACGAACATTGCAACGTTGGCACAGAAGACTAGCGTGAAAAGACGCCGGTATAGTGTGAGAATGGCATATCGGGTGGATGCGAACAACTTGGGTTTGCGCTGGCTCTGAGTCTGTGCTTCCACATCGATCTCCTTTGAGAGGTCAAAATGTAAGGATTCGGTTTCCTTGGAATAGCACTTCTCATCGATTTTATCATTGGTAAGAGTGGCTTCGCTCACAGTCGGTGAGTGCCGCGCAACCACCTTTGGAGGCATAGTGATGGGGGATTTCTCTGACATAACTATGATGGGTTCTCCCACACTCATATAAAAAGTTCCAAAGATGGCCGGAAGGGTATGAACTAATCAAGCCAGGGGATTCCTTGAAGTGAAAAAGAGAAAGAAATAGTTAACAATTCAACCAGGGCGAGTCTTCCATTTTTGAATCATGATCAATGTTGACCAAGACTTTGTTTTTTTAATTTATTTTTCCCTTCAATGTTCTCACCTGAACCCACCAAGATCAGCCTCACATCCCCTTCTGCATGGCTCCTGTCTTCGCATCCTTCTTTCCCAATTGAGCTTCGTCTTTCCCTTTCGGGCGTCACCGGGCATCACCGCGATGCCCTTTTTCCCATCTTGTCCTATTCGCCCATTTTCCTTTCCCTTTCTCTTTTGAGTTTGGCTCTGAAAATCAGGAATGCATTGCATATGATCCTATTATTGTGCCATTATTTTCCCCATCTATGTGCCGTTCCCCTCTCGGTGTATGACACTATCACCTCGGGGTCCAGACTGCACACTATTGCAAGTCTTTCTTGCCAATCAGCAATCAGAGAACCATACCACTCCCTTGCTTTCAGCTGCTTTCGGTTCTTCAACACCTCGGGGAAGTATCTGACGCAATTCCCGGAAGACCCACGCTGTAGCCTGTCAAAACTTTGACGGTCTATCAAAGAGGGAGTGGAACCTCCTTCCGGGGATGAATCGGAAAGGGAGATCAGAGAATGAGCTCATTGACGTGTGATGCAACCTAATTAGCATATCGATATCTCCACAATAACCGAGCCGAGGGCCAGTCAAGGCGAGATTTGCCGAAACAATATCACGGGGCCAAGTGCAACCTGACCAGGGTTTACTTTGACTAGCCCAGATGGGATGCAAGCGCCAGATATGATGGGCCAGTGCTCCTGATCATACGGTCAAGAAATCCTTCAATAAAACAACCGATCTGCAGCCTAGGGATGGCGTGGGCTGGCCAAAGGTCCCTTCGACCGGATGCGCACTCGGAGCGCCATCAACAATGCCAATGTGGATCTATGGATCTACTGGAGGTGTGGCGGAATCGTGCCATGAGTTAATGCAGTAACCCGCCGGATGATACAGCAGTTCATGTTTGTTGGGAAGGTTTTTTTTTTATTTTTGCTTTTTTTCCGACTTTTGTCTTCAACGCGCGGTCGATCATCGACACAGCTAAGGATGTTCGCGCTATGTCCAATTCCCGCCCCACTCTTCTCTCAACCGCAAGGCGAAGTCCTACGATGATCATAACCCAACGCCGAGGTACTGGCAACAATGCACGGGCGCAGTACATAACCTGGATGGGTGTGGAGTACGGTTTCGTTAGTCGATCTTTAGTCGATCTGGATCGGGATCCGGGTGCGGAAGCCGCTCCCAGATTCAGACTCCCATGACTCCACAGGGGAGGAGAAAGAGGAGATGGCCTCCACTGAATATCAGCTGCAGGTATTGGGTATCCATTGGAATATTGGGCCCATAACTACCAGTAGAAGTGGAAGGAGAGCGCATCCCTTCATGACAGGTACGTCAGAGATAAATGACAGGAGCGGGGAGAGGTCTGTTCAGGCCTCTGATACGGTGAAAATAGACCATGTGAAAGGATATTCTAGGCGAATAGGGCGGGAATATTGGATGTAGTAGCATCCCTATCTCAGCTCGTGGGACACATTGAAGAATATGACGTTTTTCCTTTTTGGGAATTCCCTAAAGAGGGAATGTGAGTTCATGGGATTAGAGTTTGGAGCATATCTCACGATCCGGTCGATCCTCCAAGGCAGTATGAACCCCATTTCTAAACTATATCTTACGCAAGGAAAGGGAGGGGAATCACGGGGACACGGAAGGGCGATCTGATGTGGCTCAGCTCTCAAGGGGACAATATTTTTGGACTATTTAATTTTTTAATTAATTTGATTAATCGGATTTCAAAACCCGCCACGATGGATGGCGCTAACAGCTTTTAGTGTCAAACATGTTTGGTGGAGACACGATGGAGTAACTCCATGGTGCTCTTTTTTCTATGACATAGTATGATTCTACTCGCTTTTTTTATTTCTTTTTTACTTTCTTCCCTTGCTGTTGGAGATTTGAGTTCAACTCTTTTTTTTCAGGTCTTTTTTTCAGCTCCCTTGTTTTTTTTTTTAATATTCTATTGTATAGTCCAAGTGGTCAAAGTGTATAAAATCTCACCTTACAGTTCCCGGGTGGGGACTAGCGTACTTACATAAGCATGTATTCCAAATCCAAAGTGGAACAGGCCGGGGGATGTCAAGGTAAAATCAAATCAGTAGGGAAACCGAAATGGAATATACATTTAACCTATATAACCCCCCGAGGGACTCGCTTGACTTGATTTGGTTATATACTACACTCCAATTTCCTATCTCTCCTACTCTACAATGGGTTGGAACACTATGTCTTCAAACAATATGCTCCCCCAGGAAGCTTACTCTGACTTGTTGAGTTTCACATTCGATGGCCCCAAGCCATACAACCAGAATCAACCGCTGTTTATTGATGCTGAGGATCCGTCCCGATCATTTACAGCTGCCCAATTCCGACAACTAGTCCGGACCTTGATTGCTGGTCTGAAAGCCCATAATGTCCAGCCAGGGGATTGTGTATTGCTACACTTGGGAAATAGCGTGAGTTAAAAAAAAAAAAAGGGATCCTTGAAATCAGAAATCAGAAATCCAAGATTGGACTGAAGATTTCCGGAAAATAAAGGAAACAATGCTGACTCAGACCTGTCATATGCAACAGATACTATATCCCGCACTCTTCTTCGGTATAATTGGCGCCGGCGGTGTCTATATGGGATCAAACCCCCGAAGCCACCCCCAAGAACTCGATCACATCCTCAGCCTCGCCGAACCTAAACTGATCCTCACAACACGCGATGCCCTCCCCTCCGTCCTCGACGTCTCCGCTGCCCGAGGCATCCACCCAGCGCAGGTCTGCCTCGTGGACGAACACGCCATCGACCACTGTGCACAACTATTCCTGTGGTCCGAACTGGGATACTCATCGGCGGGACAATTCTGCGCCATGAATGGCGACGCGCGGCACAACAATTTCGCCAATTTACTCTGCTTCGGTGAATGCGACTGGCTGAAGTTCGCGGACCCTGTCGTCGCACAAGCCACGCCTGCAGCCATGTATCCAACCAGCGGTACAGGCGGACTTCCCAAAGCAGCAATCCTGTCCCACTATGCGCTTGTATCACAGCACCGTACTATCTACTACGAAGTGCCGCATCCAGTTAGCCGGCTCATCTCGCTGCCCATGTTCCATCTGTTTGGCGCGCTTTGGACACATCTGTTCCCTGTCCGATACGGACACCCGCTGTTTGTCATGCCGCGCTTTGAGGTCAATGATTTCTTGGCCGCTGTCCACAAGTACCAGATCTCCGAGACTTACCTCGTCCCGGCTATCATCCACGCTATCAACCAGTCATCCGTGCCCATCGGTGATCTATTGAAATCGCTGCGCTATGTTGGCGTTGCTGGTGCTCCTATTGATGGTCACTCCATGCAGCAGTTTCGCAGCCATATCAACCCTATGGGGTATGCTTGCCAGATCTGGGGGATGACAGAGGTCGGCGTGACATTCCAGACTCGTTGGGGCCAGCAGGGTGACCCTGGAAGTATTGGCCGGTGTATTGCTGGGTACGAGGCCCGCTTGGTGCAACCAGATGGCAAAACCGTGCAGGGTGATAACTGCTCGGGTGAACTGTACGTCCGTGGGCCGGGTCTGCTCACTGCATACAAGGGCCGCACAGACGCACTGGAGCCACATGGATGGTTCCGGACTGGAGACATAGCGTACGTCAAGCAGGGTCAGTATTATATTGTTGGACGGACGAAGGAGCTTATCAAAGTACGAGGGTAAGTCTATCAACCTCAGTTTCTTCGTCGGAACAGAAATACTGATTATTCTGCAGGTGGCAAGTAGCCCCAGCTGAAGTTGAAGGTGTCCTCCTCCAGCACCCGGGCATCCTTGATGCCGCCGTGATAGGCGTGAACAAGGATGGTGTGGGCGAGGTCCCACGCGCTTTCGTCGTGCGCTCTCGCGACCCAGCCGTGCGCCGCCTAACCGGCGAACAAGTTTACAACTATTCACGCCAGCAGCTGGCGAGATACAAAGCCCTCGATGGAGGCGTTGTATTCGTGGAAGAGATCCCGCGCACTGCAAGCGGAAAGATCCAGCGCTTCAAGCTGTCCCAGATGAACTCGTACCGGGAGATGGTGGCGTCTCTGCTTTCCCGATTCGAAGGTGAGGGCTCTGCTGCAGCCACCGCGGCCCGACGTGGACTACCCGCTGGGGCTGAGATGTCACCTGTTAGTCTCATTCCTGAGGGACGGGTTGCGGTCTAAATCAAGAAAGTGGGGCACAGTACTTTGCACTGCCAACAATGCATATGAGATATATCGCACTCATTCGGCGGTGAAGTGTGCGGTGAATGGGACAGGGAACGGCGTTTGGGTTAGATCACGGCGTTGTCGGACATTTGGTTGTTGTATCTACTTTTTCTTCTTGTTTTCGGGCGGTCATCACATCTTTACTTTTACGAATTAGATCTAGCCTCCTTATGATGGTTTTCCAAATGGACTTGTTATTATTCATTCACATCAGCATTACCTAGTATCTGGGTTCTCTACATAGTACTACCTACCTATTTGTATTTGGACATTATAAATCATACCGCATCCAAGTTAATGGACAAATATATAGTCGCCAAAGTACGGTGCAAAAGAACCTACCTAGGTAGAAAGTAAAGAGCCTAGACCCTTCCAGATGATTCCCAACCACGGAGCCACAAAAGCCACAGCATGCAGCAGGACTCTAGAACATCCCACACCGCACTTCCAAGTCCCACGTCCTATCCCAGCCCAAGGCCTCGGTTCTGGATCTCGGATCTCGGCTTGCATCCGTCGAACTCGCAGAAGAAATATGATGTATAAACAATCGAAAAGCAATGAATATATCCCAGGGCCCGGCGGCGATCCCGTTCGCATCATGCACATGCGAGGTCCCAACGAACAAAGTACTTTGTACGTGGGGCTAGGTTGTACGGAATCCGAATCCGAGTCACGATCTTGAAAATCCCACGATGAAATGCATCCGCGCCAATACTTATGCAGGCGTTCGGGTGGATCTCGGGAACACCGTGGACGTTCCGATCCAAGGTTCCCTGCAAGGGGGTTCCTTGGTACTGGCGCGGGGATCGACGGAGCTAAATAGGTTAATTATTGAGTCCCGATTAGGTTGCATTAAGACCCCTTGGTTTTGGAAGTTTACTTTGTGCCTTGTTTCTGCTTGGAATTTTAGAGTTCGCAGGGAACTACTCCGTACGTAGCTACATACGTACATACCTACGGAGTACATAGTAGGCAATTAGGTAACGAGGTATTCAAGTACAGCGGGTCCTGTCCCAAATCTCATCCAGGCTCTTGTGTTCAAGTCTTGCTATTTCCGGATCGGATAGGGTCCCGCGGGCCGCCTTTCACGGATTCAATCCGCTTGACGAAGTTCGGGATGTTAGATCGGCCCGATGGGACTTTTGCACGTCAGCTCTACCAGGTCTACGGGATTCCATTTTTAGGTCGTGTCCTTGCTTTTCTCGGGGGTTATAATATCTTGCCCTGCTTCGGGTATAAGGAGAAATATAAAATCACACCTTGCATGAGGCGAAAACAAGGATACAAAGGTCCCTAGGGAGACTGATACATATGACTCAGAATAAGATGTCATGAATAGAAAGCAAAAAGTACCGAGTCAACCCATGTAAATATCTTCCGAATCAAGAGGCCAGCTACCCTGCAAAGGATTTACAATATTTATTTTATTTTTTTAGTTGGGTGCTGCCGAGTGCATTGCACTTGCATTTGTTGAGCTTGACCTGTGCGTTGAAAAATGCGCGCTGAAAAAGCTCGGCCCAAATATCTACATGTCAAATCCAAGGCGTCAACTTGTCCAGGTGGTCGGTACGTCCAGAACCAAAGTACCGAGAAAATTCAGATTCCAAAATACGAATCAAAATTGAGTGGATTTGCGCTGTCTATGCATCTAACATGTGAAAATAACAATCGCATCAAGGACAACCCTGCAAGCCCCTCAACCAGTCCTCGAGGGTAAGTAGGAGTTCTAGTAGTATATCTATAGAACTCCCAATTACTTCCACTAGGATCCCTTGGGCACATGAACAGGAAAAGCGAAGTTTCGCTCTCGCTCTCGCTCCTTGTAAGAGCCACTTGAACAAGGATGTCTATCGATGGAGGTGTGTTGTTGACCTGGATGAGCCTCCACGGAGAGGCTCCACTGTATGTTAAGGCTGTCACAGTCGGTGAGAAAAGGTTGGATGAAGAGGAACGCCAAGGCTAGAGGTCTTCCCGGCTGGCGAGGTTAGGCAGGAATGATGACAATTAGACGGAGTCTGCGTGCACCGAAAATAGTGACGATGATTCTTGTCTGAAGTTGGTCGCATTGACAGGTGAGTAGGGAAAGGGATCATGCTGGCGTTCAGACATTGGGACTTTGGAACATTTGTAGGGGAGTTTCGTGCGCTTGGGATGGGCTGGTGAATTGACTACTTATTTGACATCAATATTGATATTTTGGACAAGGGGCTTTATTTACTCTGCTGCCATTGTACCATATCTGTCTTCATGGTTGCTTCGGTATGTCCCGTTGGTTGTGGTTCATGTTTCAAAGTTCACATCAATATCTTTGCAGACGTCTTGTTGCTTTCACAAAATCGGGGTTGATGGAACCTATCTTAAGATTTTCATCTCCGATTCTCATTGAACCGATCCTCCCCATTGCAACTCCTGTACATCTCAACCATTCTTCATGGTAGATCCATACTCTCCGTCCCTAGCCTCAAACAATACCATACCCCATCCACCAAACACCCCAAACCAAAGGTCCCAATGCCCCAAAAAGAGCTGCCCCAAACGACAACTCCAAAATACACCAAATCCAAATAGTCCCGACAGCAGGCGCCTTCTTCATAACCGCATAATATGGCTCTCCATTCGTGATAGCGATAAGGTGCGCGCCCAGCACCGCAGCAACAGGAAGAAATACCAGAGTCTTCAGCGCAGGCGGGAAGACCAACCTTCGTAGGAATGAAAATGTTAATTTCTCATTTGTCAATTGGAACAAAGAAAGAGGAGCAGTCTCTGCCTTTGCATTCTTTGAACTGCGCTTTTTGAAGGAAATGATATGGCCATGTGCAAGGTGGACGAATAAAGTGAGGAGGGGGAAGGCAGTTGTCACGGATTCTTTCAAGAGTTTTGGCAGGTCGATTCTTTCGGCGTATTGGTGGGCTGCAAGGTAGCTCAGAGTGAAGTGGAGAGTGGTAAGAGGCAAGGACAGGAGGATTGTATCGAGGAATGGTGGGAGGGGTTTGTCGGGTTCGAAGTCAGGGTCGGATTGTTTGATAGTGTTGGCATTTGTACCCTGTTCACGTTTCTTGGTCTTCTTTTGTGAGGCATTTGACGCGAGATGGCTGCTGATGTCGCCGTCGGTGTCGACCAGTTCCCCAGACGCGTCGACTGTCACGAATCGGGTCCCCCCCTGACTGTGGCGGTATGCCTTGTGCTTCTACCGAAGCTGGAATTGCTCCCTCCTTTTGATGGAGTCCGCTCTGTCGCTCTGCGATGATGTCATATAGTGTGCGCTCGACGGTTGGTTTGTTTTTGGTTGGATCATTGCGTGGGGGATGGGCCATGGCGATTTCGGGTTCGTCGTTTTTAGAGGAAGGTCCAGCTGCCGCACGGCGCTGTTTGCGATTCCTTGGAGCTTCCATCTTGCTCAGGCTTGGTGTGGAGGGACAATGGGTGGCAGGTCAAAAAGTTAACAAACACTGACGTGGAGAAATGAGTTTGACGGCTCGGCGATAAGCCCGATAACCCGGGGTTAAGGTGATCGCCAGTTGGCTTCCACATCTACATTTAGATCTATTATTTCGCAGGCTTAGGATAGATAGTAGATGGGATATTAATATGAAAGCAAACTTTTATAAATTGATCATCCTGCTAATACTCTGCACTTTTGACACACCCAGTAAATACACGAGCTGACCACTCATTCAACCAGCCTGGTACAAAGCTGGACCGGCAACCACATGTGGGTTAATCAAGCTCAGATTGAACGGGCTCACGTACGGGTCGCTGTCTGTGATAGCAATGAAAATGGTACCATTGAAAGCTGGGTTACCTTGGTACGTCTCCAAGTTGGGCTGGGTAGTATATCCTCGAATGCCATCAACGGTGCTGTTGGTACCGTTGCTACCGTTGATACTGCTGGTGCTGTTGGTGATGCTGGTACCGTTGGTGCCATTGATAACGTGTAGCGGGGTATATGTAGCGTTCAGCTGCGACACCCAAAGGACGTATTTTGCGCTACCAGGTTTCGTCTCTGTTGTGGTGATGTAGCTGTTGTTGGGACCAATTTTCTTCCCAGGAAGATCCCACTGCAACAGCACCGTCCGACCCGGGGCTGTGAGTGGTAATGGGCGAACCTTGCTAACAGAGGCGCCGCACCCATTAGCTGATGTAGACGAGTTGAACTTCCCGGTACCTTTGATTGACTTGGGGATGCTGACGCCTGGCCCGACAGTATTGTTGTTTCCGGTGGTCTGATTGAAGCCGAGTCCCGCAGTCTGGTTGAACCCGGAAGTCGTGTTGAGTCTTGAAATCTGATCCTCGCTCGAAGTAAAATTGAACCCCGTAGAATTATACCCAGCAGAATTATGCGTAATAGCAGTATGCCCGGTGGCATTATACCCAGTAGCATTATACCCGCTTGTTACGTTATTTGCGGAGGAAAAGTTGCTCGAAATCCCCCAAATCCACGGATCGGGCTGATTGACCACCATCAGCGCCGGGAAATTTTGCCAAACCAAGCGAGTCTGATTTTCAGGACAAGAGCTGATGAAAGGTGCCAGCAGCGTCCAACCCCAGGACTGCGGTATGGCGGCTTCAAACCACTCAACCATCGGGAAGAGACCCTCGAACTGGCGGAAGATCATTTGCTGTCGTGCCTCGGTGGTGATGGCCTGAGTCAAAAGATTGGCCGCCTCGCGAGAGTCAAGATGAGGCAAAAACCCATACACGCTGGATTCACCCCACCGAGTGAGTTTCTGACAGAAGTCGACAAACTCCTTGACATTAGTGTACGGGTAGATATAGCTGCATTTCTGCGGAGCACGGGCTCCGAGGATGTTGCTGAGCATAGTGGCGTGGCCTGTCTCTTGCTCGGCCATGAACGCGATCAACTCGCGGTCTGCAGCAGTCATACCGGCAGCTTGGAACGCTGAATCGTTGAATCGTCTGAGTCCGTCTTGGAACAGATCAAGCTCAATCCATTCCTGGTATAGGGCAAGGGCCTGGTGGTAGGTTAGCTTCTGGTTCACAGCGCTGGTTCGCCAATTTAGTGGGATGCATACTAAAGACTCGTAGTCGAAATCGCTCTTCGTATTGTATACGGGCGTGCTTCCGTTGGTCCCGAGACCACCTGCTGGGACATGTGGAGCAGGCTCGCTATGGTAAAGCTTTCCATCTGCGGGATATGTTGTCGCCCCGGCTGCAACACCTCCGTGAGATATACCCGTTCCGATAGAAGAAGCTGTCAGCGCACCTGTGGTAGTCGGAGACTCTGTAAAGGGTGTATGTGGCATGGAGTTATTGAAACTCTGAAGTGGCGGCGCTGTAGTGGACGAATTGGATACATCCGAAGATGACGGTGACGGGTCAAGGGTCGTTGTTGCATCCTTTTGGTGCTTCTTTGGAGAAGCAGCCGCGAAATTCAGTGAGCTCAATAGGCTCAGCAGAAAGACACTCTTCCAGATCATTTCTGCTCAAGCTTGAGTCGTTTATTCTAGACAGAAGAAGAACGTTTAATTACTGGCCATCAAATCATTGGGTTAGTTGTGTTGTTCAGATGGCCATCGGATAAGTACTAACCTCCTGTAGAGAATAGATATATACTGATACTTCAGTCAATATCAGCATATGAATGATTACCAGCCAAAGCAACCCAAAGTCGGGTGTCCTTGTTTTTGATGTAGGAAAATCACACAATTTTCAAGACGCCATCTTCAGGGCTCAAATGTGGGTAGCTTCGAACGGGAATGAATTCCGAATGGTGGAATTGCCACATGGTAATGTTAAGGTTCCTTTGGTGTAATTTTAAATGGCAATTTATTCTCGTCGGGGGCGTTCTTTTGTACACTTGGCTGTCGAGTAGTTGCAAGATACTGCAATTCGCACTTACAGAACAACCCCGGGATGCTTCGGCAACAGATGACGTCGGATTAGGTTTCCCTGCCGACATTCCATGGACCTGAACAGACTAACGTACAATTCAAGGTATCTGTGGGGGTGGAAATCGAATCCGGCCGGACGATGCCGGATAGCTTTTCAGGAATAAGGGGAAAAATCTATACGAAGCTCAGTTGAACTATCAGCATAATAAGTATGTAGCAACGAAGGAAGTAATTGAAATTTGGCAAAACTGTAGAAATATAATCGCTCTGTCGACAGAATCCACGGAGACGCAATATTTCCCATATAGATGGTCCCGAAGCTGCAATATCAGAGTACCTAATGCCAGAGTCAACAACCTCACTCTATAAGCACCAGACTTCACGGCGTCCGCCAGCCACCCTCTCCGGAAAAGTAACCATAGGTGTCGCAATGGGGCACATTGGCAGTGATCCTCACACCATTAGACCAAATAATCTCCATAGTAGAGCCCATAATAGTCGCCGTGAAAGGCTCACGACTTTGCAGTGACTGGCGGATACTTTCAAGCTCTTTCCATGGGATATTAACGACTGCAGGAGCCCGTTGAAATGGAACCGCTGGTTGGCCGCGAGCATTCTTCTCGAATACCCATGGTTCACCGTTAATCATGAACACACCGGCCAGGGAATTGCCATTCTGGCTGGTTAGGGATCCCATCCATTGAGGCATAACTGCATAGTCAGTGGGCAATTCTGTAATATTCCTAGAAGTGGAGCTTACTGGGCTTTGGGGGACCTTGAGAGCTGTGACAAGGAGAGAGTGAGGAAGGGGTTTGAGAGTAGGGAAGGGGGTTGGGAAGATTTGTGTACAGAGTTAACTCAACCGCGGATGCATAGTTTACCCCTGTCTTCGTGATGGCGTATCCAACCATACCATGAATGTTCCACAGCACCCTCAACTGCGGGTGTTTCTTCTTCACCGCTCGTTTTCGTTATGGGCGCTTAGGCAGATTTGGGGCATTATATTGTGTACGATACGAGGATCGTCGAAAAGTGGTATGGATTTATAAGTTGAGAATTCTTTAACCGAGTGTACGAGCAAATCACATCAACCTATCAAATCCGGGAAGTACGAAGTACCTGCATAGTAAGCATATAGGCATCTGACCTGTCACAGGCTCCAGCGGAAAGTGGATGATCAGCAAGCGTTCATGCAACTAGTTTCCGCATTTCAATGGAGCCTTATGTATATACCCGTTCCCGTGGACGTTTTCTATGCTTAGCACTCTGTGGTAACCACGATAATAGGGCATGGGGATGTTATCACCACTTAGTACTTCTTTGTTATTTGTTAAGGATAGAATATGAAATGACCCAATTACTGTATGCATTAATAGAGATTAACCTGACAAGTGGTTTTTTTTTCTTTCTTTTACAACTATAGAGATACCATAATAATTTACACAGCTTGGTTGAGAACTGTGGCCAGCGGTGGGCATGCATGAACTAGTTAGGACGTGTAGTCCTTTTCCAGGGCTCAAAGGCTTGATTGAGATCTATTAGATGAGCCCGAGGCTCTTAGACTAACGTCTATGTAACCGGCAAGGCACTATCCGTGAATGCGGTTTATGGCTCTGCAACTGAAGCCCTGTGCAAAGGCAGGTTGCCGTAACCAATTCCCAAGACCTGGGAATTAGCGGCGGGTGTCAAACTGTCGGATGCATAAAGAATGAAGAGTCGAATAGGACATGAGTAAATGGGCTGATTCCCGTGTTGTGTTGCACGCATCGCACCGCTAGTGTGTATAATACAGGAGGACGTTGTACTTGTTCGCCTATCTGTGGCAGTTATAGAAGATCGAATACTGGAGAGTGTGTACTTTTTACTTCCTATAGAAGCGCAAAAAATCGGGCCAGTACGTTATTAGAAGCTAAGTCAAGATAGGCAAAATAATGCACTCAACGGGCGTCGAATAATCTCCACCTAGGTACATAGTATATAGTAAAATTGGACTCCTGTCGACCGCGTCTAATGGGTCATCCTACTCCTCACCTACAATATCGACAAATACACCACCCAGAGCCGTCAACTCAGCAATAGTTTCTGCACAGAGCCTACATCCTTAATGTCAGACAAGTCCTCAGAATTCCTAGGACGCACATACTGTAGACCAAATATAATTGGGGGCAAGCTTCTCGTGGAAGGGTAAGTTGATTCTCCAGTGGCTTTCTTCAATATGCTTAGGACGCGTTAGCGGTAATGCCAAGTAACAAGAAATATTATACACACTTGTCGACATGTTCATTGTGCTCTTCCCATGCTTCTAGGCCCTCAAAGCGGATTACAACTCCCTGGATAATTACCGTTAGTATTATTTTAACATTATATCGTAGGGGTGGGAAATAGCCGACCTGGGTACTCATAATGTAGATAATGTAGCTTTTGATGGAAATCTTGGAAGTGAGCAAGGTGAATTGGGCGGGATTGGTATTTAAATAATATTGTATACCACATGGAGATTTACCAAGTAGCAAGAAGGTCCACCTACAACATATCACCGCAACAGGCGGTGTGCAGATCTTCAGCTAGCGAGGTACAAGACTAAGAGACTATTAGTGTGGGACTATACACTATAATTGGGTCGCCGGATCGCGATCATCCGCTTCGTAACCAGATTAAGTGGACGTGCATCGGATCTTCAGTAGCTGAGCTCGAATCTTTGGTTAAGACAATGTGCGTCATTAGAATTTGATCTGTCAAATTGCCGGAATCGTCGAACGTAAACCTCATTCACTCGGCCCTCGTCGAAACGAATATAGACTTGCCCTCCATTCGGAGTAGTGATATACAAGACAGCCGGACCAAGTAGTACAAGGGATGAGGGGTTGGGGATATTGTGAACACTTTATTGGCTTGCCCTTTGGTCTAGCGAATATAATCGCCGTGATACGGGCTCATCACTATATTTTATAATAAAAGGATTACAACCTTTCAATGTGGGTATCTCCGTTTGGGTGTTGATTACTTGTGGAGTTATGCCCTCCGTGAGCAACAGGGCTTTATCGCACGACTCTCAGAGTAGACCTTTTATGAAGATGGTTCTTGTGTAGAATCAGCAATGCCTTGAAACTAGACTCGGCGTTGCAACTCATATTCGTCTCAGAATTGTGATTCAAATTTCAACATTATCCATAATGTCCCATTCCCGTTGCAGAGACTGGTAGGCCTTTCTCATAGGCCAGGCATGTAATTCCATGGTTTGGTTGATGATACCAAGGAGGGCGTCTCGCTCCTCTTGATGGACGAAATATTCGCCGTACAGGGTAATTGCTATGACAGCATTAACTAATGCAGGCTGACATCGAGGGTGATTCAACGCGATGCCGCAAAGATATAGGACGATAGTCCGAACTTGTGCCTCCGCTTTACGATGTAATGCACCCCTCGCGTTCCTAGGCATTGATCGCGTGTTAGATATAATAGGTATTCACCAGTGCCAGCTGTACTTACTCGAGATAGGGGCTTTCGGCAATTAAAATCATTTCAGCCAATTTCAAATGTTGGATTGCCGTCACCTGGGCATCAAAACAGTACCATATAGTAGGAAAGATGTTTCCCCTGGCTCGATCGGCGTTTTGCTCCAGACTTGGTTCTAATTCATGGAGGTGATCATGATAAAGCTGCTGCTGTTTTGCCTTGAGTTTCTCTAACGCGATTGAGGTATGTTAGTCAATCGATGCAGGCACGTTTCATCGTTCATAACGATGATAACAAGTGGAACTTACCCCATTCTTGGGGTTGTTTCGCCCCCCCAGCGCCACTTGGCAACTTCACTAGCAAATATGATCATTGTATTGGCAACGGAAGCGTTTTGCCAGCGCTCCGAGCTAAAACGGAACTGCGGAGCTCGTTGCCTTGTCAAAGCATAATATACCTCCTGTCGGATGGCAATCCAGTAGGCCGCGGTGGCTAAAGAATGATCAAGTGGAGTTGAAATCAAGGTATCAATGATTGTTTGGGTGATGGCCAGGAAGTTGACTCGCTCATCGGCATGGTTTCCAGTCTCCCCCTCCTGCATTTCCTCCTCCATCTCTTCATATTGTCGTAGAATAATGGTGGCCGCCATAATATTTTCCTGATGTATTGGATCCTGTATTTCGGGAAACTGGATCAATTCCGGAATACATTTTAACATGTACTCAAGCGATGTTGACTTTGTTAAGCTAGGCAAAGCCTGCCCGTGATAAACAATTCCCTGCGATGTTGTGTACTGTGGTAAACGACAAAGGTGCCGGGACGATACCGCAAATACTGCATTTCGTAGAGCGAGGCAGTGCTCAGCTCGTCGAGGAACCACCAGCTGAAAGTGACGTCGCTCATCACAATGATCAAACTATGGAGTGTTAGTTTCAGAGAGCACATAGAAGAAATTAGTTGCAGTACCCATGGAGACAGCTCTTCGATAAAATACCGCATTAAGCAAGATTCTTGAATATTGCTGGAGCCCTTTGTCAACCCTTGATTGAGAGAAAAAGAGGTGTTGACGGATCTCGACGTATTATTATCGTTTTTCGCCAAACAGAACTGTTCCCTTTCTAACCCGTTGTCTTGACCTGGGGATATCGAAGAATTCGAAACATTGGTGGGTAAGCTAGGGGAACAGACACCCGGCATCGCACCGTCTAGTCGAGACTGGCCCGCATGCTGAGGCTCACCGTGAATGTCCTCATCTGGCTCAACAGACCCGAAGATCGGCGTATTCGAGTAGCTGTCCGTTTGTCTTTGATGCGTATTCGGCAGGCCGTCCAATGTGAGTGAGCTCTCAGGATCTTCGCTTGACACAGTCGGGCTAGAGCGAGATCGGGACAACCGGGCTGCACCTTTCAGAGGTCTCCAGTTTCTAGGCCTGCTATTCACCCATGTTTGGTCTTCCCTAAAGTTCGTGTCCAAATTGGCCGTGGAGCCATGTCGGAAGACTCGCTTTCTTTGCGCAGGTTTACATTCAAACCCTTTTATCTCACATCGCTGGCAAATCGGTTGCCTCCTATCACCTGCAGGAGAATAATTAGCACGAAGAGAAGGGGCCCAGTGACCCTATTGGGGGCGTTTTTCTGGGTATCGCACACTTCTGATGCCTGTCTGTGGGACATATTAGTGGAGATCAGGACCATGAGGATGGAGAGTATTACCGCGGCAACTGGAACAAGGCGTGGCCAATAAAGAACGAGTTGACATGTCTCACAAAACACAACAGTATTACAGTGTCAGCTTGAGCAAATGGGACTTTCAAACTGTTGGAAGATCTTACCTGGGTAGACTGGATTACCCCGCTTCGGGTAACCGCCGCCGATGGACTGTGTCCAACACATGTGCTTTTCATATCTTACGAATATTGGCATTTAACCAAGGTATTTGTTAATTCTAATTCTGTACATAGCAGAATATTCTAGTTCAATCTTGCCCCGTTCTCATCGAATCTTGTAACTTCCCCAGTCAACAGGGCTTGCTGGAGTGCCTGACCAATCTTCATAACAGTGATTCCAGTCCCAAGCTTGAGAGGAAGCCCTTTGTTCTTGACAATGGCTTCAACAAATTTATTCGCCTCCAATGCAAACGCGTCTTCGAATCGCTGCCAATACTCCGGCTGAACCTCGTGTCTCATACCAAGCTTGTCGGCAAGAACAGCATTATTTTGCTTCGGAATCACATTTACCATCGACTTCCCATTGGTTCCGGTGATCTCAGTGCACACATCATGTCCATGGGCCTGGGTGCGAGAGCAATAGAAATACGCGATCTTGCCACCCCAGAATTCAACAACGCCCACGGCGTTGTCCACATCTGAGAGATCTTTCAGCTCCGGGTGATGCTGAAGAGTTCCGGTTGCCCAGAACGCCTTGGGGATAGGGTTGTTGAGATACCAGAGTGACAAGTCAATGTCGTGGATCGCGCAGTCGGCGAAAATTCCTCCGTTTCGAGCTGCGTATCGAACGAAAAAGCCGGTCTCGTCACGTAGATCACACGTGTTGGATCGGACCATGAAAGGCGCACCAATGGATCTCTGTTGGAAGATTTTATCCCCCGCGTCGCGATATGAGGCATCAAACCTGCGAGAAAATTCTGCCATTACCTTGACCGATGGGTTTTGGTTTGCGGCGTCAACAACAGATTGGGCCTATCAGGACCCACGAAGGCTACGTTAGCATTTTTTATTATTATTAATGCTTCAACTAAACAGGAAAGGCCAGAATACCTCAGCAATGTCTGTGCTAAGAGGCTTCTCGCAAAGTGTGTGAATGCCCTTGGAAATTGCCGCCAGCGACTGACTCGCATGGACGTCAGTGCTGGTGGATATCCAGACGGCTTGAAGCCCCGGATGAGCCAGCATCTCATCATAGTTATCATAAACGTTGATATCAAATTCCTGGTATTCTTTGTTGCTTTTAGCCCACTGGATCTCGTTGCTGTCCGTGGTGCACACAGCTACACGCGGGCCCGAGGGACGGGGTACAGTAGGGTGTGAACATGGCGTTTACCCTAAGAAGAATATCAGCAACATGAAGCTTGCAGGTTCTAAATGACACAACAGTATAACTCACCATTCGGCCAAGACCAACGACGGCAATGTTGAGTGGCTCCATTTTCGACGAAGTGGAAGTGGAGAGAAGAGTGTAAGGATTTGAAATGCAGTAGCGTTCGCTGTGCGTGATTATCGTTCTTATAATTAATAGAGAGATTGACGGGCAGATATGGCCATATTCATGTTGGATCGAAGTATGCTTGTTTACAGTATGGAAAACTAGCATCGCCGACTCCTACCGGATTGGGTAATAGCATGATGGGGAATATTAAGATAATCGATTTGTCCCCGGTATCCACATACAGATTCCAAGTCTTTGCATAAAGTGAAATTTGCAGCATGGGCTTGATATTCAAACCAAAAACCAAAAAGCCTAGAGAAGAACCGCCGAACACACTGGCCCACGGCATCGAGATGACCCGCCTTCGGTAACTACAGCTGGACAATAATATAAAAGTTGTTTACCATTAGCTATCTTCTCAAAGCGACAAATGGTAGGTCCTTCTATTGCCGTTATGCCAGCTGGCTATTGGGTAGACAGCAATATAGGTCTCACGGAGCAGATCTCGTATTACATGACTCTAAAAGCAACAGTCCAGTGAGCGTGGGGACGACTTACTGAAAAGGAAATATGCTTAGATAGCCTTGCAGGAAGGCCATAAGGAATATGCCGGGATTCACCAAGGCGAGTACAATATGCAGACATTAATATGACAGCTCGAGTAAAACCATCGAGGATCAACTTGTTATTCACGACGCATCGGAATATCACAATCCCTTGTGAATGGGGACGGACATGGGATATCCTACTCAGAAGCGAAAGTACAACAGACGGAGGTTCTCTAAATTTGTGTAATATAACTACTAGGTAGTTTCAATATCAAGGTCAGCATAAGTGTCCGCGAAAATCGTTCCCAAGCCACACATTCTATGTCGGAAAGTCGGCGTTATTCCGATATCATTCATTCTCGGCAACATCGCCGATCCAAAGAGGGGAACCCCCAGAGTGACGATATCGCGGGGAGTTGATATAGAAACATCACTCTCAAAATTAATTCTATTTCTCTTTTTTTCAAAATCCTTAAACTAAGCTATTAATAACCATGGCTCATCTCCAAGCATCGAATCTATTCTCAGTCAAGGACCGGGTGGTCGTGATCACCGGAGGCGGAAGTGGTAAGACCAGACGACCACATCCTACAAATACATACACGTACATATAAACTAATAGATACTGAACACAGGCCTCGGTCGTATCATGACCAAAGCCCTAGATGCCAACGAAGTCTCGAAGATCTTCATCCTAGGCCGACGCGAGAACGCGCTAAACGAAACCATCTCTCAAACCACAAACGGCACCGTGATCCCAATCCAATGCGACATCACCTCAAAAGAATCCCTCGAGAAAGCCTACAACGCCGTCGCAGCGCGAACAACACACGTCGACCTCCTAATCGCCAACAGCGGCGTAATGGGTCCCCCCCATGAAACCCCCACAACCCGCAGAAGACGGGTCCCTCCCGCCGCTGTCGCAACTCCGGGACGAACTCTTCAACGTCCCCATGGAGGAGTTCAATACCGTGATGAATGTAAATGTCACCGGGTCGTATTACACGGTGTTGGCATTCTTGCCTCTCCTTGAGGCGGCGAATAAGAGACGTCCGGCGCCGCAGGAGGATGTTCTTGCTGCCCCGACTGCGCAGATTATTATTACCAGCTCGATTGCTGGGTTTAGTCGCAAGGTACCGTTTAGCTTTGCGTATAATGCTTCCAAGGCGGCGACGACGCATCTCGTCAAGATGCTTTCCACGGCGTTTGCTTATTACGGTATTCGTGTTAATGGTATCTCGCCTGGTCTTTACTCCTCTGATATGGCCGATCATATCTTCCGCGCATCAGGTATTCAGGGTCGTGCTATTTCGGATGGCTCTTTCCCGAAGGAGATGATTCCTGCTACTCGGGGTGGTAGTGAGGAGGACTTGGCGGGTTTGATTGTTTGGCTGGCTAGTAACTCGGGTGGTTATATCAATGGGAATATCTTGCTTACTGATGGTGGTCGGATTTCTGTTGCGCCTGCTGTCTACTGAGTGGTGTTTTTGTTCGGGATAGGTGCAGTTTGGGTATACATAGATGGTATGGATCTGAACTTCAATGAAGATAGACATTGTAGACTGCTTGATTTCCAGATATGAAAATGTAATCGCTCGTGAGCGAAAAGCAAAGAAACGCAAAACGAAAAGATACCCATCGGGCCAATCTCAAGACCATGGTCCAAATCTTCAGTAAGTCGCTGTCAATCGCTGGATCAGGTATTCGCCTGAAGTAATCGCCGAGTATTTCTTGGCCACTTGGATTTCCTCGCCAAAGGTTCCGGGCAGTGCTTCGATCAGTTTATCGTTGTTGGGCTGGCAGAAATACGCAACGCTGTACCGAGCAGGGTACTCCGAAGCATCATCCGAGCTTTCAACCGCGGGTGGCTGAATTACGCGATGACGGGTACTCTTGATAGTGTCATTGGACCATCGAGCGAGCAGATCCCCAGCATTAACAACAATGGTATCAGCAATGGGAGTCGCATCCACAAAGGTTCCTTTCGGGCTGCGTACTTGCAGTCCGCCGTGTCGATCCTGGAAAAGCAGAGTGATTGAACCGTAGTCGCTGTGCTCGCCCGCACGGACTTGGTTAGGGTTATTTTTGAAGACTTCCTTGCTGACGGTAGGATAGTGAAGCAGACGGAGATTATTGTCACCAGCATTGAGAGAGTCGTCGAAGAAGTGCTCGGGCAGATTCATTCCCAATGCAATGGCCTGCATGATTTGCTTATGCAGGTTCTTTCCCATTTCAAAGAATGACTGCATGGTTTCTTTGAAATCTTTTCCTTCATCGTCGAGATGATCGGGCCAGCGATTGGGGAGACCTTCGACTCCCTCACGACCAAGTTCCATAGTTTCTTTGATGTCCGGTGCGGAGGCGCGGAGTGTCTCGACTCCAGTCGTCTCGTCGACGGTGGTTAACTTCTCCCGCCCGATAGCGACGTAACCACGGTTCGACTGTGGGGTTGTCCAGCCCAGAGAATCCTTCTGACTCTGGGGGCGAGCGAAGAAACGGGCAGATGAGGCGAATACTTTGGATACCACGGATGGTGGAATTCCGTGGGCCTTCAGGTAGAGAAAGCCCGATGTTTTGAAAGCTTCCGTTATGGAGAGAGCAACGGCATGTTTATCAGATGGGGTTCCCGTGAAGAATGGGCCGAAGTCGATCAGCTATACAGCAGATTCATTAGTCGTGGCTTGAAATAATCGGAGACAAAGCATACTGGTATCTTCAAATCATCCTTATCTACCGCAGCAGACGAAGGATTCTCTGGAGAGGTGTTGGACGCCATTTTGTATATGGCTCCTGAGAACTGGTATGAGCTTGCTGACAGCGAAAATGGAGACAAGGCGAGAAGCTTGCAAAGTGAGTTTCTGTCCGAATGATAAGGGGAGACCTGAAGAAGAGGGGAAAGTCGGGGGGGAAAGGAAGATCACCTCCATACATGTAGGTCAGCTGCATACAACCTTGGAAAAGATAAGCACGTCTGTGTAGATAAGCCATAAGATAAGTGTTGACATTTATTTCGACGCTATCAGACTGGGCAATTTGTTTGATTGCTACATTTAGACTTGAACTGACAGCGCAGATCAATCCACATCTCCCCCCACAGTGACCCCTGCATTGTGACATGGCGTCTGTCTTTATCGGTCCCTGGACCATGACCTCAAAGCTGAAAAGGGCCCTCTCGCTCATATCACTCTAAAGAGCAAAATAGGAACTAAATACTCTGCTCACATATGGTTATAAATGGCGAGACGACACCCCCAAGGAACAAGCGGTGCGACTTCACATCTTTCACCGCAACAGTCGAACTAGGAAGCCATTTGGCATCTCTGTCCTCCACAAGCTTCGAGACCTCACATCCCTTCCCACCATGAGTTCCCAGCTGAGTGGATATTCCATTGACCGCGAGAACGGTAGCAGGAGCAACAAGCTCACGTGGGTTCTCTATAGACTTCACAAATGTAATGGAATCCGGAATTGCGGCAGCCAGGAGGTTCCCCTCTGCATCGAGAGACAGGTTATCCAGTGGTAATCCCGTGTGGATTTTGTCAACTTGAACCAACTGTTCGCCCACTAATTTGTGCACAGTCACGAGTCCAGTCACTGAATGAGCCACATAGTAAAGCCCGTTCTCTTGGGCGATTCCGTTGGCAAAGGAAAATCCCTTCTTGGCAGCGACATGGCACTCTCCTGTGTCAGATCGACAATAGGTGAGGCTTCCGCCGCCAATCAAAAATTCCAATTCTATAAAAGTGCCGACCTTGGCGTTGTGGTCATTGGTGATCACGAAGCCCAGACCATCATTGTCAACAGCCAAGTTGTTAGGCGAGATGATCGCGTCGCTGGCTACAGTCTTGACATAATCCAGTGTCTCCGAGGCCTCATCCAAATCAAATATCTCAATCGTGGAGTTCGCTCCAACGGCGTAGGCATCAAGGAACTCCCCCCGTTGTAGAATCGACTGGAGGTCTATGATTGATCAACCAGAATCGAAGTCTGCCGTCAATACGGCGCACATCGAATGCAATAAGATCCAGGTCGTCGTCATAACCACCAACTTTGAGCTGGTGGAGGCCGTAAAGCCCGTCCGGGCCAGGCTCGTCAATATTCAACACTGCGATATGATCCGTGCGGGATCTCGCGGAGATGTTGTATTTGCCGCCACCCGGACACCATCCCTGTCTGGATTCTACCGAGTTGCATGCTGCATACAGCTTTCGCCCTTGGTCGTCTAGCCACATATCCTCACATCCTTCTAAGAGAGGATGCTGGAGGCGAGTGCAGGTCCATGGGAATTCATCAATCGATTGGATCTCTCGGCCGATTCCGATTGTGACAAAAATGATGTTGTGCACGTAGGCTCTGTACAAAATACTAATTGCGAGCACAATCAGGGCCCATAGCCCAGCTCGTTGGCTGAAAATTCCAGTCGCCATTGTGCTCTGGTTGGGATAATGATGTGCCTCTGGTTGAGGAAGTGATGTTGGGACATCCCACTTAGGTGGGGCTATACTTAGTGCTGATGTGAGAGCTAGATTCCACTAAAGCAGTCCATTGACGTTCCAATAGGGATGAAAGTGACAATGCTATACAACATATGCAATGCATATGCTTCGAATATGCCTCCATACCTAATCTACCTAGTATGAACTCCATTGCCGGGGACGACAGTTTCCCGGGAGTGTCCTCGAAGGTTCCAACCTTGGAAGACCCCTGGACCCCACCCCGCCCTATTAATAAGCCGAGGCCCTGGCATCGGAGGTTCGGACAACTTTGAGAAACATCGGATTTCTATTTCTCTTCCTTCATCAACTCTATTATATACACTATACCTCCCTTTTCAACCCTCAAATCTCTTTCTCAATCGCCAAAATGACCTACACTGCCATTGTTATGTACCCCAACAATGAGGACATCCAGTTCGACGATTCCTACTACATCAAAACCCACATGCCACTCGTCGAAAGAACCTGGAAGAAATACGGTCTGATCAGCTGGCGTGTCACCAAGTTTCCCAAGGCGCTTGACGGCTCGCGGTCTCAGTATCTGATCATGGCCACCCTTGAGTGGGAGAACGAGGAGTCCTTGAAGTCTGCTCTGCAGGACCCTGGCAGTGCGGGGGTGTTTGGCGATATCCCCAACTTCAGCAACGTGCAGCCTGTCACTCTGGCTGGTTCTGAGCTCCAAGTTTGATCGGTGGTCGAGTGTGTATGTGGAATCTCATGTTGATGAATGTTTTAGTGCTGAAATTGATCTACAGTATTAAATTCATGTAACGAATCAATGAGATGAGATTGTATTTGTACAGGCCGAGCTTTGAAGCGCCTTGGCATTTCCAATGAGGAGCTGTATATCCTCTCTATCCGATAGCAACGTTTCACATTCAAATTGCATTCCTTGACAAAGTCCTCCCTACGTAACATCGAAAGACCAGACTTATCGGAGATAAACCAATCGCAACATCCCGAGTCGCCTATGCAGCCCATTATGGAGTTAACCCCACTCAATAGCTCTTATCTACATAATGTACCTTCAGGGCTGGATACAACAGGGATTATCCCCTCACTTGGTAACCCCGGTCGATACTTTCCTTTCACCTTCTCTTTCCCCTCAAATTCTATCCTACAGATCATAAAAACATGTCTCGTCCACTAGTAGTCGATGTCCACACCCATGTCTACCCTCCATCGTACATGGCGATGCTGCGCGCTCGCAAGACAGTCCCCTACATCCACGACCCAGCTAGCGGAGACCCGCGCCTGATAATCCTCTCATCAGACGATGACCCATCCATTCCAATTGATGAGCGCGGTCGTCCCGTCGACGCATCCTACTCCGACATCAACGTCAAGCTAACCTTCATGCAACAGCACGGCATTGACTGCAGCGTGATCTCTCTCGCAAATCCCTGGCTAGACTTCCTCGACCCCGCCGAAGCCCAGCGATGGGCTGAGCGGATCAACAACGATCTAGAAGAAACCTGTGCCCAGAACAACAAGTCCACCGACCCGGACAACGCTCCCCCTCTGCAGGGGAGATCGACCTTGTTCGCATTTGCGACTTTACCGCTGAGCGCACCTAGTGCGGATATCATTGTTAAAGAAATCAAAAGACTGAAAACCCTGCCTCACATCCGTGGCGTGATCATGGGGACCTCGGGACTGGGAAATGGTCTTGACGACGAACAGCTCGGTCCTGTCTGGGCTGCTCTGGAGGAAACCCAGTTCCTTCTCTTCTTGCATCCTCATTACGGTCTCCCTGATGAGGCATTTGGTGGTGCTGAGGTAACAAAGCGCTACGGCCATGTCCTCCCGCTGGCTCTGGGATTCCCACTCGAGACGACCATTGCGGTTACCCGCATGCTGCTGTCCTGTGTCTTTGACAAGTTCCCGCGGCTGCAAATCTTGCTGGCACATTCGGGTGGTACTTTGCCTTTTTTGGCGGGGCGCATCGAGAGCTGTATTGTGCATGAACGGAAGTTTGTGCAGAATGGTGGCGATGTTCCTGGTCCACAGAGGAGTGTTTGGGATGTTTTGAAGACAAATATCTTCCTTGATGCTGTCGTTTACGGGACTGCTGGGCTCAAGGCTGCTGTTGCTGCCGGGGGAGGTACTGATCGTCTTATGTTTGGTAAGCCATCTAGTTCTATCGTTGGTATGGTTAGGACTGCATCAATCTAATATATTTCCCAGGTACTGATCATCCTTTCTTCCCGCCTCTGAATGAGGGTGAGAAGAAATGGATCAGTGTGACGACCAACTACAAGGCTATTGATGCGACTTTCGAGTCGGAAAAAGAGGCTGTGGCTGCTGTCTTGGGTGGTAATGCTGCTCGTATTTTGAAACTCGAATAAGCACATATACTATCTAGCATAAATATCGTTATACTGGTCCGCAGATATAATCATATCACTAATAACTGGGGTATAAAGCAATAAAGGGGAACAAACGTAAAACAAATGTAGTACCATATGCACAAACTCCATAGTCTGAGCTTCAGGTTGGAGCAAGCAATGTCCTCAGCACATCCCAACCCACAAGCCGCCACAGCTCCTGTGTAAGCCAATCCGAAAACTTCCTCTGGTCGATCTGTTGGTTATCAAGCACCTGAGGAGGCGGAGTATGCGGACGCCGCAGACCCTCTCGAAACAGACGATCACCAGGCCCAAATACAGCCCGGAGGAGAGTCCTTTGCAACCGATCTTTGGCATTTGTGACAAATTGACGAGTAGCCGATTCCTCGGGAGGTGATTGAAGAGATCCGGCATTGAGCATTCTGTCCAGAAGCCGAACGAGGTACTTGGCTTCCAGCTGTGCCTCATTTGGCATAAGACCCTCGTCAGTCATTGCTTCGAGTCCGTCTGGAAATGTCATCCCGGGGCAGATGCCCATTGGCAGTCGCAGGTCATGGAAAACGTGGAGAGCTAGCATTTTGCCCATGCGATTGAGGACAAGGAAGAGGAACCCTTCCATTACTTTTTGGTCTTCGGTTCGAGTTAGATTGAGGGAGAGTGCCATCGTGCAGAGCAAGTCTGCGAGGCGAGAAGCTATTTCATTCTGGGTAGGTGATCTGTTCTCTTTTGTGCGCTTGTTTTGTTCAACAAGTCGTGTGGCAGACTTCGGGCCTCCATTGGATTCGGTGTTTTTGCTGGCTGGCTCTTGCTTGGAAATTGCAGTGCAATGCAGAGTGAGTGCTGTCATAGTTGATTCGAACAGACCTACAAGGTAGTATACGACTTGACCTTGGTACTGCGTAGCATTCTCGGCCCCGGCCATTTTGTGCAACGCTTTGTGCGTGAGGTGGAAAGCAACTGTCACACCATTCATAACAGCATCCGTATCCGGCATATTGGGCTGCTCGGTTTGGGAAGGTTTCTGCTCCGTCGTTTTGCTCTCGTTCTGGATAGTCTGGATCAGCTTTTGCTCTGCAGATTTGCAGAGGATGACTGCATCGACAGCCAGAGAATTGGCCTCAGAGCTGGTGTTTGCCTTTCTTTGCAGGGCCTTTTGGACGGTATGCAGATGCCTGCTGAGGCATAAGACTGTAATGACATTAGTTATCATCGTGGCTGGTCTGTTCATGGGACCAGATACCATCGTCTTCTTCTCCTGAATCATCGTCATCCATCAATGGGATCCTTTTCTCCATACTCTTTGGTAGCTTTATGCGTTTCCTAGCCATGTTTGAACTATTCGCTTTCTTTCCAACAGGCGCTTTGCGTTTGTTTGCCGGCAAGGTCCTATTGTCATTTGTAGTGCCTTTGACACGCAGTTTGGCAAGAAGGCCCTCAATACGCTGCTTAAGCTCATGGACTTGGTCTTGTAGCTTGCTCTGTGCTGCCTCGGACCGTTCATATGCTTGTTGCCAGAAGGAAACGCTGTCGAAGAACTTGTCCGTCACAACGACTTGGCCCAAATCTTCGGTCTTTTGAATGAACTGTCGAATCTGCAAAATGTATTCTATAATGTATAGTCAATAATCAAAGGGCCTGAACCTATAGAAACTGCATGTCCGCCTCACCTTTCACGCTTTGGCCTGGTGGTTTTCGCTTGACAACAGCCAGAGCTAGGGCTAGTTGAGGCTTGGTTGGAGGTGTAACACTAGGTTTAGACTGTGAAATGGTTGTCATGTTGTCAATGGACTCGAATGGGTCATGGCTTCGGATGAGAGTGCCATTTACTGTGAGAGAGCAGAAACACCAAGGTGCACACGTGCCAAGATTATATATATCTTCATCCTCCTCACAGTCTTAACCACAATAATAGTCAGTGTTTTTTCCCCTATATCTATGACAAAAGCCAGACGAGGTTTTGAGCACCGAATGGTTTACTTGGCTAATTCATTTAGTAAATAATCGATTTCGTGATTTTGCATTGGTGATCTCACAGTATACTAGTTGGCGGCCTGAGGCGAAACGGATCCACCGCCCAAGCTCCGAACTCCTACAAATTTCCGTCTCAACAACAACCTCACTTTCAAGACCTCGAATCTAGGGATATTTTCCTCTTGGGGCCATCGCTGTGCTCTGGATTACCTACCCCCCTAACCCAGCAGGAACAGAGACGAAAACAGAAATATCAAATCCGCCACTTCATCTCTGCAAACCTCTCGGGCGACATCCAGTCGCATAAACCACCAAGATGCCAAACGACGATCTCAAGGCGCACGCCGCCTCAAACCAAGATTTCTACGCTCTGCTAGACATCCAACCAGCCGCTACAGAAACCGAGATCCGCCGCGCATACCGACGCACCGCCCTAAAATACCACCCGGACAAGATCCAAAACCCCACCGCAGCAGATATCGACAAATTCCATTTCCTCCAGATTGCCTACGATGTCCTCTCCGACACCTCAGTGCGGCAGCTCTACGACAATGCGCGGGAAGCGCGGCAGCGCAAACAGCGCGAGCGGGAGATGATGGGAGCGGCGAAACGAAAGATGCGCGAAGACCTAGAAGCGCGGGAGAGGGCAGGCGCCGCGGAAATAGGTGGCGCCGGTATCAAGCAAGGTGTCAAAAGATCATGGGCGATGGACGGTGATGAGGATGCGGAAGAGAAGCTGCAGCGCGAGATTGACAGGATTGCGGAGGATGGGCGACGGAGGCGACGCGAGGCTGAGGAAAAGGCTAAAAAGGCGTTTGAGGACGAACAGAAGAAAATCCAGCGGCAGGAAGAGGAGGCTCGCAGGGCGGCGGATCGGAGTAGCCAGCGCGTGGACCGCTCGAAGGAGGGTGGTGGCGCGCAAGTCCCTGAGCTCGAGCGTGCGGTGAAAGTGCGCTGGGTGCGGGAGGGTCGCGGGCTGGAACTTGATATTGAACAGTTGGCAGTTCTGTTCAAGCCGTTCGGGAAGATCGAGAATACCTTTGCGCTCAAAGATAAACGCCAACGGATCGGGAGAACAAGGAGAAGAAGACTGTTGCGACCGGCGTTGTGGTCTTCACGTCTATTGTGAGCGCTCACACTGCCGTTCTCGACAGCGAGAAGAAACTTCGTCAGCATGCTGGTCAAGATGGCGAATGGGGCCTTATCGAGTCTGTATTCTGGGCCTCCGGCACCCAGCCTGATCTAGGTCCTGATATATCATCCAAGCCCGACCCGGCTGAACCCGCACCTGCACCACGAGGGCCCTCTGCCGACACTTCCAGCAGGCCTCCTAAACCATCATTCAATTTCCAGGGCTTGAAAACAGCACCCCCATCCGACAAAGCACCTTCGTTTGGCTCATTCGCTTCTGCATCTGCTGCGGCAGCTGCTCCAAGTGCAGCGCCATTCAACCCATCCACAAAGTCTCCAGCCGCGCCTAGTCTACAGGAAGTGATGATGATGCGGCTGAAGAACGCACAGCGTGAGAAGGAGCGCAAAGCTCTCGAAGAAGAGCTGATACGAGAAGACGAGGCCGCAGATGCAGCAGAAGCAGCGACAGCAAAAGGCACCTAGCCCTCACGCTTCACAGGAGCTGGTTTCGTTTCCGCATTTTTGAAAAGATCAAGCCTAATTCTACTATTGTATTTAGATTCAAGAGATACCCCAGAGCACGTTGTATATGCAATGTTGAGTTGAATAATAGAGATACAAGAGGTATTTACATCATATCATTTTGTGTTGTGTTGTTGTGTTATATTATACATGAGTGGTGATTAGCCACTTGGGCACTTAGTCTCGGTGCGCTTCCGCTTCGGCTTCCTCTTCCTCTAATTGCTCGACAAATTCCCGGGCCCGTTCGCCCTCTGCTTCAGGCTTACTGGGTTTCTCCTCTTTGCCACCGGAGATGAAATCTCTAAGCCAAGGCGGAACGAAAGCACGGACTCCAACCTCATTAGGCTGTTCGACTTCCGGAGCCCAGGATAGCTTGAAGTGGTGTTCATGAGGACGAGCAGGAGCCTCACCCATGAGCGCAACATCGGTCATGACTTCAAGACGGCACAGCGCAAGGCCAATATTGCCAATGCCATTAAGGAACGTTCCCGCACTGCGGTTTCGGCGAGTAGCGGCACCAGCCTTAACAATATCAGCTTCACCAGAAGGCAAAGTCAATTGGAAAGACGGATCGTATGTGAGGGTATCCGGGGCACTTTTGGCATCCTGACCCAAATCGTAAAGCTGAACCGGCAAAAGACGCTTCCGCGTAACACCACGGTGGTGTGTGCGAATCGTCAATTCCTGGCCGACATAACAGCCCTTGCGAAAATCGATACCACGAGCCATATCCATATTGCACTGCAAAGGCAAAGCCGATCCGCTAATAACCTCCGCCTGGCCCTCCGCGACACCGTGCAAAATACGACGGACGGTGTACGAGTCTAGCGGGACCTCGGACCCAGCCACCTGTGCCTCATCCGGGAAGTAGGTGCGCAGACCGTCCGAGCCAGGCGTGATAATGCGGGATCCGAAGCCAGGGGCACGCGTGTCAATGCACCCGGCAATTTCGGAGGTTGGTGAGAAGGGCGACGGTGATTCCGACTCCAGACTGTATGCAGCCCACCGTTGCGGCTCGGCGTGGTTCTTCCAGGAGGACCAGATTGTGCGCTCGCCTTCCTCCATAGCGCGGAGCTTGAGCTTCGCGCGCAGCTTGTGTTTCTTGAGGTGTTTCAACAGGACCGGGACTTGGTTCTTGTCTATCTCCACTAGCCAGCCTGACTCGGCACCCTGGGCCTCCGCGCCGGGGAGCGGGTAAATGAAGGCATCGTTCAGAACTCGGCCTTGTGAATTGAGGAATGCGGTGTATGCGCCTGTACGTCGAATGCTTCGGTTCGGGTCATTGGCTACTAGCATATTTTGGGTTATCAGGCCCTGGAGGAAGGTTGTGCTGTCGGTGCCGGTGATGGAGATCAATCCGCGGTTTGTGAGTCGGCTGTACCCTGCCGACGGCGGGAAGGGGGCATTTTGGCTCTGTTCGGTACGCTGTGCTGTGGTTGAGAATAGCCTACTATGTGTCAGGCAGCGACCACAGACCGAGGGGCGCGGGCGCATCATCGTTGAGTTGGTGTTGCGGAGCCAATGTGAGTTAATCTATTTCTTTACAAATCACCCGATGACGTTGGGCGGTGGATTATGGCAGAAAGTAAGATTGCAGGCCTAGGTACATACGGAGTACTCCGTACTGACAGGTAGGAGCTACAATTATTGAGGTGTAAGAGTAATTGGTTCCAATATTACACTGTTGCTATGTATGTCACACGTGCCTGGCGAAGGGCCACTGCAAGGCGACCTGGGCAAGGATTCAGCCGAACAAAGAGCTATTTGTTGCCCTTGGCCACTCCCTCCAAGAACTCAAGCAAAAACGCCTTGTTGCTTGGAGAGGAAATCTGTTGACTGTGGGTGTATGCACCGCCATTGGAAGGCGTACCGTGACGAGAAATAGAATCTCCGCTGCTTGGACGATTGCGAGACGAGATCGGGCTGACAAAACCCGAGAATCCTGCCGGCTGCTGGTTGACGGCGGCTCGGGAGTCGAACGGGGTCGCAAAAACAGGTGACGGAGAGACAGGTGTCTTGCTAAAGAGAGACAAAAGTGAAGCTTTCTGCTCAGCAGTTTGACTCGGTCGACGGTCAAAATTGCCCTGTGGGGCCAGGCTCTGGGTATCGGTTTCAGCACCTGGCAAATTCAATTTACGTTCAGTAGCTTCCGTTCGAGGAGCTGTCGCCATCAATGCTTCGTATCCGGACTTTTCGGATCGACGTAGAATCTGGGGTTGGAAATTCTTGATAGGCTCAGGTGCCTCGGGCGACTTTGCAGGCAGAACCGGGGTTGCTTGCGCAACGGGTCTCGACGAGGATACCTCCCGTTTGGCAGAATGAGGTCGCGATAGAATGGTAATCGGCGAGGATAGCTGCTGAGGCTGGGGTTGCTCCCGCCTGTTCGCATGGTTCTTTCGGTACGCTGCACTGTTTGACTTATGCGTTTTGGCAAACGTCTCAAATTGTGGCATGTTCAACGGTCCAGAAACGGTAGCTGAAGTCTGACTTTCTCCTGGAAGACTCTTCGCTGCGCTAGCCTGGGGCGTGAGTTGGTTGTGGTGATCGCGAGGACGCTGAAGAATCTGCTTCTCTGGAGGCGCTGCAGAGGGCACAACAGGATTACCTAACAGCTCTGCTGGTTCAGAACCACGGGCATTTTGAGGGCCTTTTAGCAAACCCAAAAGACTATCCTGATGCTGAGACGTCTTACGCACGTGGGAAGAGGCCTGCACGGGAGCCGCCAACGTGGCTGGACCCGGACCCTTCGGGGTCTTAACCTTGAAGGCTTCCAAGAGTGCCAGGGAATGGCTCGTGAGCTTCGGCGGAGGCAATTTGCTCGCCGGCGGGACAACAGGGCCCCGGGTTTGAGATAACTGAGCGGATTCAGAGAACTCAGGATCTCCTGTCCGTTGAAATGGTGCGGGCATATGGCTCGGATTCGGAACGCCAGGGGCCATAGGAGGCTGATTATGGTGCTGATATTGAGACATGTTGGTGGTTTGCGGGAATTGTGGTATCGCGTGAGGTTTAGGATACCAATTAGGCGCACTCGTCGGGAATGCATTGCCAGTAGGAACCTGTGCGTCATCCAAGGAGTGCTGGATATGAGGTTGAGACGGGATGGTGTGAAATGGCGTTGAGTTCTGCCGCATGAAAGGGGACGGACCCATGTTCTGCTGTTGCTGAGGGAAGCCGGGGAAGAAATTTGGGCCTAAATGAGGCCGTTGTTCTGAAGATTGGATGTTGGACTGAGATACATTAGGTGGCGCCATAGAATTACCGACGGAATCCTGAGGCGACGTCTCTTGATGTCCACGCTGCAACAAGGCAAGAAGCTCATTCGCCTTAGACGGGTCAACAGCAGAAGCCCGAACTGGCTCGTGGCCTGGTGTATGAACTTGCGCTGGTGCGCCGCCGATCTTCAACAGGCGTTTGAGGTGATCTGAAGCATCTTGCGCCGAGGTTACCTCAGGAAGATCGCTTGGAATGGCCATTTGCGCGGGGGGCATCCCTGGAGTGCCATTGGTATGGCCATTTTCATCCATAGAAACATATCCCTCGCCCGTGAAACCTGATTCGCACTAGGCTGGGATCTCGCATCAAGCTTCTTCTGCTGCGCTATCCACTTTTTTAGTGGGCTGAGAAACGGGGCAACCATGTAGAACTTGTTCGCATTCGCGACTGCGAGTCCTTCATCGTGCTGCTTATTTTTCTTTAGCGTTGGCAACTCTGAAAGTTTGTACCACTCAATCTTGCTGATTTCCTTTCGCGTGCGCGGCTCAAAGTAAGTATCACGGAGCACACCTCGGAAGACGTAGAGTCGCATGTGCTGTTCCCTCATCGTAATCTCAATGTATTTGACATCGTCGTCATTCTTAACCAAGTTGGCCTCCCGAACATCGAACCCAGTCTCTTCGTAGACCTCACGAATAGCACAATCAAGATCCTTCTCGCCCTTGTTGATTTTACCACGGGGAAAACTCCAGTTGGCGCCCTTCTTCCAGCCTTTGACTAGAACAACCTCGTCCATATCTTGATTCAGCATGATCGCACCACGGACCGGCACGCGTGTCTTGTAATCAAGGAATTCTTGGAAGGCAGCCAAATGGTGGTAATGGGACCATGACGACATAAGCGGGCAATGTTGGAAAATGCGCATAGCAAATGTCTTCAAGTTCATTGACGGCAGTGCAGGGTCAAGTGGACGAATGAAGTCTTCGTAAAACCATTGTGCCTCTTCGACTTGAAAACATATCCGTTCGACCGACTCAAGCTCCTCGCGCGGGAGGTTGATAATGAAACGGACACACAAATCATCCAGCCCTGTTAGCAACGGGCCACCGGCCTCGGTCAGCAGCCTGTCGTCATTCCAATCAATCAACAACCAGGCACTCACAATCTTCTAACCGCATATTTGTTTCGGTCATATCGGTAAGTAGGCTCTGGCATTTCAAAACCTTGGAGGCTGAGAAATAACTGCTCACTCAATCCGACAGCGCAAACGGTCGAAATAAGCAAGCAACACGGTGGAGGGAACAGCTTCCGGGGAGGGTGGACCAACCCAGGGCTGTGTGGATATGGCGAATGGAATGGGGTAGAGACTAATCTCAGCAAGGTGTGCAGTATGCGAAGGTAGTCAAAGTTCCAATGAGAAAAGAGTTTAAATGAGGCGTTGGGAGGCAGAGCAATGATCGGAGCTGCCCAAGGTGGTGATCGGGTGACTAAGGTAATGTGTGGCGGTGATTATCTAAATTCATGCGCCACATGTAAATGTGGCTGTGTTGCGGGTTCCCAGATTCTCGGGTTATGACGTCTTGTCGCGGAAAACAGTTGATCTCCCTGGAATCCCTTTATTCTTTGGGATTGCTATATTAATCCCACCTGGTTTCAAAGCCAACTATCTTCTTCAACTACTCTTATGTGCCCTTTGTTCTCGCCAAAAATAAGTGAAACGAGCGCCTACTGAAACCCCTGTCTATCCAACCAGGAAAGGCTTAGGGCCTGAAAGGATCAAAGACTATACATAGTCTATTTTAGTTGCCCTTGCTTGACATTCGACTATTTCTTCAGCGCTTCTCCAGGAAGATTCCAACTTCCACAACTACTTTCATTTCCAGTGAAGCACTGTGGTCTAAAACGAACATGTCGAAAGTCCTAGTGTCTCTGATTGGCAAAAAGGTGCTGGGTGAAACCGCCAAGAATCACTTTGGTACTGAGGTGAGTCTACTTGAACAACCGAACATCCATTTGCTCTGCGAATAGAGGCCAGGCTGACCCAGTCTTTCCTATCTACCTAGGACCCCTACTTCGAAGAAGTTCCTGCTTCACGCCTCGGTCGTACATTTGGGAAGAAGACTCAAAAGCGTCGCAAGGCCATCCCGCCGGGCCTCTCTGAGCATGATACCAAGGTCCTGACCAAGGTCAAGCGCAGAGCATACCAGCTGGACTATGCTCTTTGCAACTTGTGCGGAATCCGTTTCGGCTGGGGAAGTGTGATTGGACTTATTCCATTGTGAGTTCCACCGGCATATATTGCACTAGCACTAGGGGACCAATGCTAATAAATGAACCCCAGCATCGGCGACGTTGGCGACGCTGCGCTCGCAATGATGGTTGTGAAATCTTGCGAAGGGATCGAGGGTGGACTACCTCCTGCTTTGCGCATGAAGATGTTGATCAATGTGGTACTCGACTTCATCGTCGGCCTCGTCCCTTTCGTTGGTGATCTTGCCGATGCAGTATACAAAGCGAATACCCGAAATGCTGTCATTCTCGAAGGTCATCTGCGCGAAAAGGGTGCCAAAGCGGCCTCACAGCAGACCAGAAGGAGACAGGAGCCAATAGTCGAAGTCGACAACAGCCTTCCCGATGCATTTGATAGGCAAGAACATGGAGTTGTGGACAACCGTCCACCGGCCTATGACAACGCGAACAACACTGCCCCCCAGCCAGCCAGACAGTCCCGGAGCAAGTCATTTGGCAGATGGTTTGGCGGAGCGAGTCATCCAGAAGATGATTTGGAACGTGGTGGAGCGAGGTAGTGCATGATGCATGAAGATATTGAGATTGTAGTTCCAGATACCCCGTGAGTGTTTGTTGATGATTTCAGGTGATGTTCGCCATTAGTTCATTTAATTTTGTCATGAATCAAGGATATTTCTCTTCAGCAAAGCTCGCCAGGTCGAGACCGCATACATCCGTAGCAGAATTGAGAGCTGTGGTTATCCTCGGCCTGATTTGCAACAGTAACTCCGGAGTTACCCTTCACGTTTCCCAGTAGACTAGCGCAAAGAGCACACGTTGGTGCACCATCAGAAGCGGATTGGTTGAGCTTGTTTGCGGTTCTGGCCACGTTCGCCATGACACCCGGATACTTTGCGCCTTGGTTCTGAACATATCGCAGCATCAACTCGTCAATAGAAAGGTTCTTGGTAAGAACATTTTCCGAGGGTGGTTGGTCGGGTATAACAACATCAGAAAGCTCGGCACAGACACTCTCATATTGGAGCAACTCAGCCTTATACAGATCACGGAGCGGGTACTCGAACCTCACACCCCAGGGAGACATGCCGTCGGATACCTGCCAGGTGAGGGAAGCCCCACGTCCCTTGGCAACACCCGCAAGCGCTTTCGCAGCGAGACGGCTGTCCGAGTCACCCCAAATGATAGATTCACATCCAGACTTTTTTGCAAATTCAACGATCAGTCTGGTCAGCAAAATGGTGTCGACGTCGGTCCTGGAAGTAGGGGTGGAAATGGATGCACGGAAGGCAGCTAAGCGCTCTTCGTTCGACCGGGTGCTGTCGTCTATAAATTTGTGTCCTGCATATTCCTTCATTATACCTTCCATCTCCGGGATATAGTCGAAGATGCTATGAAAGGGTATCCGACTAATAGTGTGCATCGGGAAATTCTTTTGAAGTGCTTCGTAGTTTTGATCAAAGGGAATGCCTGTAGCCGCAACGGTCGAAGGTTCGATGACCAAAATCTTGAAGTCGTACCCTACAGGGCGTCCATTGTCCAGGCGATGTTGTCGATCGGTATTCAAGATATGCAACAAGACCGAGGAGGAAACACCGAGAGAGACAGGGAGAAGCAACTGGGTTTTGGGGCCATCAAGGCCAAAAGCTCTGTAAACGCTCAAGCGGGACTGAACCTTGTGTGCTATAAAGCGCTTATAGCACAAGCTATATAAAAGAGAAGAGTCAGAAACCATGAGCTGGAGGGGTTGTGGACTGTCGACTTGTCGCATACCTGCAAAGTTGCCTCTTGCGCACAGTGAGCTCGACTTCTGCATTCTTGCATTCCATGCATGGCTTGTTCAGTTCTTTTGCTGGCATGATGACTGCTGCAAAGGTGAGCTCTGGACTGGATATTGAAAAAAAGTCGACCAAAGTCGGAAACTAAAAAATAGTGGCGATGCTTAGATAATGGCCACGCGCGGCTTCCCCGGTTTGGGGGCCATCGGGTTAAACAACACCTTAGCCTTACAACCTTTTTAAACACACCTTACCATATTCGGCTCTCCATCTTCTTGCTAGTATTTTTGCTTTGATGCTGTGTGGTCTTAAAGACCTCAACCCGAATTTCGGAGCATAGTCTCGCTTCAACTCTACGGTCGCCATGAAGGGCTGGCTCCAGACCTTGGGCTTGACGGCCCTATTAGCAAGCTATGCGCTTGCGAACGATGCCGAACTGGTATGTTCCTATGTTCCTACACTTCATTCAATTGATTACTGTCAGGGGCTAATTTTGTTCTGCAGAAATCTGATGATGCGCACCGACAACGATGCTCAGGGATGTACAGTCGCAAGGCTTGGGGAGGAGATGTTGACCCCTTCATTTTGGTGAAATTTACGAAGTCGGAATCCCAGGAAAGTGATCCTTTGGCTAGTTTGGTGATCTTTGAATGGTCCGATGAGGGATTGATTGGCCAGTACGGGGCCGATGATGCTGAGGTATGTCTGTCAACTCCATGGAAACAACCGACGTGGCTAATCATTGAGGTTAGGTCAAGGAAACAATCTGCGATGCCTCCAACGTTGAGGCAAATATCTGTACTCAAGAACAGCTCGGCTCTTTTGTTCTCGCTAGCAATGCCACCGACGCCTCGAAAAGCCCCATCATCTCGAAAGCAATCCACCTAAACAATCCCGACGCCGTGAAATACCCAGTCAGAAAGACTGGATTCTACTGCGTGAGCACGTATGCATACTCCGGTCAGGACTACAAAGCGGTGGTTACCTTCCGAAACTCATACGGCGAGCTTCCCGCTGCACAAATCGCAAAGCTTCCATTTTATGGGGCCTTGACGATCGTGTACGCTGTTATTGGAGCGTATGTAACTTCCAGAATTGATGGACCCGATAGGTTTTCGGGTAGATGCTTACGCATAATTTTAGATTCTGGGCCTTCCTTTACGTGCAGAACCGTTATGACATTTGTATGTTGAGTGGCATTCTGCTATCCGAGCCATGCTAACACTGGATAGTGCCCGTCCAAAACTATATCACTGCAATTTTGGTATTCTTGATCGTCGAGCAGCTGATGACCTGGGGATTCTACGGTAAGAGGCAACGACCTATTCCTTGTTTGACTCCATCTGACTTTCCTAGAATACCAAAACCGTCATGGTCTAAATGCCGGCGCAAAGGCACTCATGGTCATTGTGGCAGTACTCAATGCGGGCAGAAATGCTTTCTCTTTCTTCCTCCTCCTAATTGTCTGCATGGGCTACGGCGTGGTCAAGCATTCATTGGGCCGAACCATGATCTACGTTCGCATCTTGGCCATTGGTCACTTCGTGTTCGCGGTCGTCTACTCAGTTGCCAGTCTTTCGATCACCCCCGATAGCGCCGGTCCTCTGGTGCTTCTGATTGTCCTGCCCTTGCCGGAACATTGACGGCTTTCTACGTGTGGACGTTGAATTCCCTAAACGCGACGATGAAGGACCTTATCGATAGAAAGCAAAAGACCAAGGCGATGATGTACAAAAAGCTGTGGTGGTGTATTCTCGGCAGCATCATTGTGATCTTCGGTTTCTTCTTCATCAACTCGTTCGCTTTCGCTGGACGCAGTGACGCCAGCTTTGTGCCCGAGCACTGGAAGGCGAGATGGTTCGTTCTGGATGGTTGGCTAAATCTAGTTTACCTGTTCGATATCGGATTTGTGGCTTATCTATGGCGACCAACTGTCAACAACCGCCGCTTCGCCATGAGTGATGAGGTATGGAAACGTTCCGTAAATAACCACGGGAAAAGTGGAGGTGCTAATATTTCTTACAGCTTGCTCAAGATGACGATGGATTCGAGATTCGATCATTCGGCAGTGGGTTGGATGAAGAAGATGCCTATGATGCTCCCCCGGATTATCCTGGCAGCTCAGCCGCCGAAGGCCGTCGGGATCTCTCCCCTGTTCCTCCCAAGCCCTTCTCCTCCTCGGCACCCCGCCATCGTGAGTCACTCGACGAAGAGACAATATTTGCAGTCGGTGAAGAGGATGGTGAGAGATGGTCCGATGATGAAGAGTCGCCTCGCAATTCAAGCGAGAGACAGAGACTCACCAGCAAAGACAAGGATTAGACTGAACATTCACTCATCGTTTTTTATTGCGGTTGTTATTCTTGATTAGTGTAAAAGCCGATCAGGACCGGACATCTGGTAAATTGATGGGGTTGTCATTTCACTTAATGTACAACCTGCCTCTCTAGGGCAAGGATGCAAGCATGTCATGGCGTTGGTCTTTCACACTTATGTCGAATACTTAGTTCTCCTAGCTCATTTTTAGTTATATTATTGGCTTATACATGTTTCCTAGTTACCTAGGTACTTGATCTCTGTCACTTCTTGGCTTTCCCTTTCCGTCTTACTCAGTGTCGCTTTTTGCTCACTGAGTATAGCCCTGGAGCTGACCTCGGGACTGTTTTGAAAGACAAACAAAATACAAAGGGCCGGGTTTGACTTCATCTCCAGAAACATTGTCTTGTCCGAACAAAAACAGCGCATATGAATATAAACGCAAAATAGTTTTGCGAATGCACATGTTGACCCTTAAACCCCCGTTCTCTTGAGTATTGCATCCCAAGATTTACTTATAATTGCCTTTTCCATATTCCGCTTCGTTTGGAGTAGTCCTTGTAAGAGAGAGGAGGATCCGACGAATGGTCCACGGGTATGTCGTACCCATTATAATAATAAGCAATTTCAACTGGTGTCCAACGGCGCCAAAAGACATCATGTTGGCGGCTAGATCTTCTAGAAGCTCGAAGGCATCGATATAGTTGTCGAACATGGCAACATGCACAGCAGCAAGTCTATCCCTTCTAGTAGGATCGATGTCAGCAGAGGCATGCTTGATAAGGAATTTAATTGTTTTGCTTTGTTTTGCCCAAAATAAACCCTTTGGTCAAAATGCCGTTGAGATTGGCCGACTAGTCTTGAGTACATACCTCTACTAGTCTAGTAACCACCCTAAGATGGCCTCAGTCAGTAGAGGAGAAACTGCTACCATGCATCAGTGTCCATCTGTGTGCGAAATCCCGGGAAACAGCAGTCCAGAACAGGCCTCGGCGAGACTCCAAGTTCGTTTGCGAAAGGGACACATCCTACATGGAGATAAAATGGTACATATATGTATATGTAGTAGTGGTGGTCTGTAGATTGATTGTTATGGGGGAAGCAAGCAACATAATATAGTGCACAACATAGTGTAACGTTGTGAAATCACCGATCAAGCCAGCCTAGAACATCCTATGGCTGTCATCGGAGTACTGGCCACCACGTTCACCGGCACACACATGGTCAACAGCTGCACCACCGCCTCATGCCTGCCCTTTGCAGCCCACCATAAGGGTCCCAGATCTCTAGAGTCCTTGACGTCTACATCCACCTGTCCAGTCTCAAGTAGTAGCCTTACCACAGCCTCATGCCCACCCTGTGCGGCCCACCACAATGGTGTTCGGCCACCAGAGTCCTTTACATCCAGATCCACCTGCCCAGTCTCATGTAAAAGCTTCACCACAGCTTCGTGCCCCCCTTGTGCGGCACGGAGTATCGGAGTGAACCCTTCGCAGTCTTTTGACTCAACATCTATCTCCCCGGTCTCAAGTAACAGTCGTACCACCGCATCATGCCCATACTGAGCAGCACGGGATAATGGCGTGGAACCATCGCAGTCCTTTGCATCCACATCCACCTGTCCGGTCTGAAACAGCAACTCCACCACTGCCTCATGTCCGCCCTGTGCAGCACGGGATAATGGTGTCCGGCCTCCGGAGCTCTTTGCGTTCACATCCACCTGCCCAGTGTCAAGTAACAACTTTACCACCGATTCGTGCCCATACTCTGCAGCCCACCACAATGGCACCATGCCACAACCATCCATCATCCCAATTCTAGCCCCTGCTAGGATGGATTTCCGAGCTGTATCCTCATTCCCATGACGAGCGGCCCATAGCAGTGCCGAATATCTGGAGTTTCGAGCATTGTTTCGATATAGGTATGGATTGATGACTTTGTAGAATTGTTTGTTGGTTTGAGATAATGAGTTGATATCTCTTTCTGCATCCAGGAATGTTACTACTAGTAGCAGTAACTCTGTGGGCAAATGTAGGAGAAATGTTCTAGGAGTTCGCGTAACCGTCTGGGATGCGGCTGCTCCCTTGCATCCTTGCATAATTGTGAAGGTAAGAAGGCTTGGATGCTTGAAAAACGGGCTTCGCTGAAAATCATTAAGATTTCTAGGGCGTTTTCAGGCAGAAACAGATACATTTGTGCTTACTTCTATTGTAGAATTCCCAAACATCTTGGATCCAGTCCTTCAGGTTACATTCTCAGCCATGAGACGCGATTAATTTACTGAAGCCCGGTGGGGATGCAGATGTCAGATGTGGAGACTACACCAGGGAATGCCACGGCCGTGACTTTTATACCCACGATGGCCTATCCAAAGATGGTTAGCCTCCGCCTCCGCTCCCGCACCCGCTCCCGCACGCTGGCCCGCGCCGATCAGCCTTCTCTCCGCTGTCGAAGCCACGGAAGTGTAATAAAGTTAACGGTGCTATAGCTTTGTGATGGTGTCAGATATACGAGGATAGTGGAAGAAGGTAATCAACAGAACAGATGTAATAGGTGATGGTGATCTCTATCTGACTGCCATGAAGCTCACTTCTATATGTTGAAAATCCCAGTTAATTCTCATTAATACTGGCCTTTTTCGTGATGCAACGCTAACCCTAACTCGGCATCAAGAATGCAGATCCCATACACGAAGGATCTGCACTCAGGCTCCTGCCTGAAGAAGCCTGGCTCCCCCGGCTATAGTTATGCAGTTTGATCATGACATTGCTGTCCTCAGTATACAGGTCGTTATCTCACTGCATCAGCGCTTCGGTATTCCAATTGAGCCTGCTTTCAGTCAGTTTTTGCTTCTTCTTGTTGTTGTTTCTCACCGAGTCCTTTCTATTCTACCATAATGGGGGTATACGAAAAAGGAGCATAAATAGATGGTCCTTTCCATGTATGAAGAAGATAGACAAATCAATTATTACTTTTCACAGTATATTGGAATTTTCATATTCATAGTGTTTTTCATACATTATCTTTGATCTCAATTACATACATGCTATACAGATCGTGTTTCTGTATTCAACACTATATAGCTTATGGGACAAGGGAAACAAAGGCATAAAGCCTGCAAAGAGCTAGCAAAAAGAGCTCAGCGGAAGAGGGTCTGGCTCAGCGGAAGAGGGTCTGCAACAAGCTGTATGAAAATACAGTTGGCATGAATGCATCACTTTGTGTAGGGCTGCAAGTCATGTACTCCGTATGCTGTATGCTCTTATGGAGGATGTGCCCTAACCAGCCAAGTTTGTCCGTTTGTTTAACTTCTGATGCTAGACCGACTCTGAGTGGAACCTGTGCAAAAGACTACGCTGATGAACAGTAGATTGAATCTGGGATCAACTTCTTCTGTATCCCTTTATTATGCATAAAGATTGACTAACCGTGACAGGCACATATCCACTCGTGGACAGACCGACATTCAATGTTTATAAGCAGGAACTAGAACAGTAAACATTTCATGTAAAGGAGAAAATATACATATATAAATCTAGAGTCTATTCTAGTCCTAGAATTCCACCGCAGAAACGATCCTGTTCTTCCAGGAATCGGTGGTACAATAGAATATCGAATACACAATGGCTCCGTGAAATCGTATCCAAGTCATATCAACGGTGAGAAGAGCCGTCGTATGAATTGATCAAAGCACAAATTCAATGCCATAACATGTAACCAGATTGATATTGCTGACATTTGTACTGCACGATCATGCTGCATCAACAATACTGGGCAGCAACTCGTGTGTGTAGTTCCACAACGCACCCGCGTGGTGCGAGAGGAAGGCTGCCCCGGTGTACCAAGTGTTCCGGTAACCCTGCAGTCCTTCGAGACTCTCATAGAACCCGTCGCGAATTGCATCGGCGGGAACAGTCAGTTGGAAAGGGGTGTGGCTGTTACAGGCCAAGAAACGAGGGGTTTCAGTACTGGAGACACCAAACTCGTCGCGCAGACGGACGATGGATTTGAGAATATCGGATTGGGCATCCTCCATAGAGACGGAATTTGGCCCGCCGTACCATCCAGCGAAGATCCCGTCAACCGGAGTGGGGTTGAGGTTATACATTCCGGGAAGAGGCGGGATCTTGAAGGTGCTGTCGCTGGAGAGCCGCACATTCTGGAAGCTATAGCCCACAGGCAGACCGGTGTCGGTGACTACGAAGACATACCAGGCGCTGTTGTCGAACTGCGCAAAGATAGACTTCTCCTGCGTGTCCAGGCCCAATGGTTCCATGTTCTCGATCTTGGGCGGCATTGTCACAAGCACCTTGGAGGCGACCACTAGCTTCTTGCCTTTGGGCGTTTGAATGACTAGCTTGACCTTCTCGCCCTCGTTGCGTTGCGCGGCACTCACGGTACTGGAGACCAGGGCATCCGAGCCTAGCTCCTCGAGGGCCTTCTCGTAGATCTCATGGTTGTTCAGTCGAGCGGTAGTGAGAAGCCCCTGCTCCAGCCCTTCCACAAACGGTTGGTCCACGGCTTTGAGCATGTACACAGTTGGCTGTCCCAAAATGTCACCACAGCCCCAGGAGTACTCCCAGATGGTAAACGCAATGTCCTGCAGCGAGTACTTGGTGATGAAATCTCGGAACGGCAGGAGAAGATCCTCGGGGACCATTTCGGGCAGGGCCCAACTGGTGGGTAGATACGGGTATTTGGCCAGCTGCGTACTGTAGGCCGAGAAATCGAAGGACGGCTTGAACTCAGGGAACTGCTCGCCCGTTTGGAAATCCACAAAGGCCTGATGTTTGGCGCCAAAGGTGTACTTGCTCAACGGGATATCGAACCGGGCGAAGAAGTCGCGGACCACTGAGTAATTGGAGTAGCTGTGCACACCGTAGTCGATCTTCTTGCCGGTTTGGGGATCTGTGTAGGTATTCGTGTGGCCGCCCAGAATCGCTTCCTTCTCCACTACCACCACTGTTTGTCCGCGATCTTTGAGGTTGATGGTAGCGTAGGTACCCGTGGATCCTCCCCCAATGATGCACACATCTCGGGTGATCACATCCTCCGGTGCATAGCTGCTGATGTCAAATTGGTTGGCCATCGCGGCAGCCATCGCGGCAGCCACCTGGGTGGCTACTATCCACAATGCCGAACCGAATAACATTTTCACCGAGATCAATGGAAATAGAGAGAAGACTCAATGGTCGAGGTGCTGATGGGGCAAGAAGACATCACGGCAGGATTTATAGGTTCCAGGTACACACCTTCAGTCGGTGAATGAGACGTTAATTTAATCATAACTCGCCCCAGAATAAGCAAATCATACGGTCCGATGCATGTCTTACGTGGCCCGACGAACGTGAGTCTTACTCGGGTCCCTTGGCATCATCCGGACTTTGGCCTCTGAATGGTCCGAGAGTTCCAGACCCTAGATGATGCATATCTGAGGAAAGATGAAATTCGAGTACGGAAGGAAATTAAGGCTTACCTTAGGTTTCGTTACTGACGATCACTGCGGGCCTGACTATTGTGCAACCTCCCTATGTGATGTGTATAAAAGGCCGCTTTTGGTGTCAGATGGTCTTTTCTCCATCGAAATTTCCTTTTCTCAATGGGGCCTGACACTGCCACTCTCCATCTACCGCGCATTCTCTGCCTCCATGGGGGCGGGTCCAACGGCCGAGTCTTCCAGTTTCAATGCCGAGCCTTGATCGCCCAGCTCCAATCGACATTTCGATTCTGTTTTGTTGATGCCCCCTTTCTGTCTGACCCGGGACCCGATGTGGTCCCCACCTATCAGAACCATGGTCCATTTCGACGGTGGCTCCGGTGGCACCCAGATCATCCCGAGGTGGACCATGACACAGCCGCCCGATTCATCCTCCACTCCATTACGACCGCAATTCAGGAGGACGATCGCAGCGGTGCGGAAGGCGAATGGGTCGGTCTGATGGGATTTAGTCAGGGCGCGAAAATCGCCGCCAGTGTGCTCCTCCAGCAACCTCTCCTAGAGTCTGACCGGAAATTGGGCTTTCGCTTCGCGATTCTCCTGGCGGGGTCGGCGCCGTTGGTCTCCTTGGGCCCGCGGGGATTGTACAATCCATATCTGGCGGATGCATCCCAGAGCTCATTGCTTATGCCGGAAGTCCCTAATGTGAAGGGAAGAACGGAGCACCGGATACGATCGGCCACCGTGCATGTCCATGGACTAAAGGACGCGGGTAGACCTCGCCATCAGCAGTTGTTGGAGCAGTACTGTCATGTGGGAAGTGCGAGGTTAGTAGAATGGGACGGAGGGCATCGCGTACCCATCAAGAGGCAGGATGTCGCGGCGGTGGTGGAGACCATTCTGGACGTAGCAAGGGAAACAAACAGGGGGATGCTGATGACACCAGATTACTCGGGTCCCAACCCCATAGCTACATATAGGAAATAAAGGTGTATGAAATATTGTTACGTTGTAGTCAAAAATCTACTTCCTTTCTCTTTCATCCACTATCAATCATAGAAACCATGCCCCCTCCCAGGGGAACCCCGAATATGCTAGAGGGGCCCGGCGACTACGATGTCACGCCCTCGTCCACAGCGACACCTATGCAGCCATCGATCCGCATAATTATGACCTAGCCGGCACCGCCGTTTTCATATCTGGAGGTTCCAAGGGCCTAGGTCGCGGGATGGTTCTCTCGTTCGCCAAAGCCGGCGCATCGTACATCGCGGTAGGGGCACGATCCGACATGTCCCAGCTGGCCGAGGAAGTTGCCGCAGTGGCACTCTCCGCGCACCGACAACCGCCCCATTTCCTTCCCATCAAGATGGACGTAACGGACCAGGACAGTGTGGAGGCTGCCGCCAAAGTGGTGAAGACCGAGTTTGGGCGCTGCGACATTTTGATCAATAATGCTGGAGTTCTGGGGACACTGACCCCAGTGGCGGACTCAGACCCTGTCCACTGGTGGAGCATCTTCGAAATCAATCTGCGGGGATCATACCTACTCTCCCGCACGTTTCTCCCCTGCTCCTGGCTAGTGAGGGGGGCCGGAAGACGGTTATTAACGTCAGTAGCGTGGGGGCGCACCTAATCAGCCCCGCCGCCAGTGCGTACCAGACGTCGAAGTTGGCTCTTCTCCGTCTGTCCCAGTTCTTGGATCGGGAATATGCAAACCAGGGCTTGGTGTCTATCTGTATTCATCCCGGCAATAGTCCCACGGATATCATTGGGGATCCCAAGAATGTTCCTGATCATTTGTTAAATGGTATGTCCCCCCATGACCGGTGAACTCATGAGTGAGGGTGACAATGTAACGTTGAGCTGACCTATCCAGTTCTTACCGATACCCCAGAGCTTTGTGGCGACACTGTAGTCTATCTAGTATCCGAAAGGAGGGAGTGGCTGAGTGGACGGTATGTCAATGTGACTTGGGACATGCCGCAACTTATGGCCAAGAGAGAAGAGATAGAACAGGGGGATAAGTTGAAGGTTAAACTTATCTACTAGAGTAATGTTTACGAAGCATTTTCCTGGACAAAGGTATATCGACCGTGCTCAACTATATCGTTACTTCGGTTGAAATGACAAATAAACAGTAGATAATTTAATGATCAGAATCTTATATCCATTTATATCTCAGATCTTGGCCATAAATGACCACAGTGGCCCTACTGGAGTCTACTTCTGCACCTCCACAATGCTGTAAATACTGCGCGTCTCAAATACCCGGGTCAATCGAAGACCCGCCTTTTCCACCAATTCCCGGAACTGCTGAGGGGTTCTCTCAATCCCATTGATGGTGCCCATGAGACTCATGTCTCTCTGGTGGTGATACCGACTGTAGTACCCATAATTGGCCGGCAAGGGCGATGGAGCATTGTCCATTTCGTCAGACCCATGGGTGGTGTTCATGACCTGATCGCAGATGAGTACACGAGACGTGTCTGACAGGGAATTTTTCAAGGCAACCAGAATCTGGACGCAGTATTCATCAGACCAGTCGTGTCTATCCAAGTTAGCTTTCTGAATTGTTCGCAGGATTGGTGGAGACTTACAAGATTGCACGCAGCCAGTAGACATCGGCGTTCTTGACGGGGTTGGGTTGGAAGAAGTCGTGCGTTTGGAAAGTCACGCTACCGGATTGCACAAGCTGTTGACCATTCTGCGGCCAGAACGTCTCCTCTGCCTGTCGAATGACTTCGGCCCGGTCTTGAACCACGCAGGTAAAATGCGGGTACGAGGTGAGCAGTTGTAAGTCAAAACCGCCTATTACAACACCATTAGTAACTGCTCTCGAAGCCTCACTCGAAACCATCCATACCAACGCCACCCCCAACATCCACCACCGTTGCCCCCTTAGGGAGTTCGTCCCAAGGATAATCTAAATGCATTAGCCTTGACAAACAACTGGGACGAGAAAAGAGGGTTACCAAAAGGAAGAGCTGCTCCGCTGACTTTCCCTCCACCAACCATCGCCAGGCCGAAGTTATCCAGTTCCGGCCGCTTGATCAAGCCATCCAAGTCGGGTTGAAGATGGCTCCAGTTCTGGGGATCCGCAACTCCCGAGTATCCTACACCGTCGTTGGTGATCTGGTCGGGTCTGACCCTCTCCGAGAGCCAGTCCCATCGCGACTTGGGCGTGCCCAGCGCTTCCTGCAACGCCGTTTCGGCGACATCGTACGAAGCCCCCTTAGGACCGAGCAGGAATTTGGGGAACCTTTCAGACGCCGAGTAGACGTCCATGTGACTGCCATTCCCATTCAGGTTAGCGCAAGCAGGGGAATTGATAGCATGATGCCGTACAAGATCAGAATATAGGCACGAAACTCCTCGTTGCCGACCAGCGGAGCAGTGATGCGGTTGTTAGCAAACCGGTCTGTGCCTGTTTGACGATAGATGTGATTGGAACAGAGGCATCGCATAATACGGGCTTTATGAAAAAGAGAATTATGAATTAGCAAGGGATAGAATTGACGGGCTGTAAGGCCTACAAAGCTTGTGAGGCTCAATCCCCGTTCTTTGAGCCAGAATCTGCACGTCCATGCCGGCATTGCCCGCCTCATGCAGGATATCCGGGATGCGTCGCTCCACCGTCACGCCGAGGGCGCGCGATTCCCAGAACTGCGCGGCAACCTCCTGGAGTCGGTTGAAGGGCTCTATAACCATCTCGTTTAGGGCTCCGGAGACAGCCAGAATGGTACGCTGGGCCTGATGAAGACGCTTGCTAGGGAGGAAGCGGGCATTGTCGACACCAGAGGTCTGGCTCGTGTCGTACTGTTCGCGGGACCATTCGTCCGTGACAACTTTGATGCTTTCGCTTAACAATGAGCCAAGTTGAGTGAGCTTAACAACATCGTTAACGGTAGGGGGAAAGCGTTCCATGATGATAAAGAGTGATTTTCTTAGATTCAGCTGGACTGGCCTGATGGAATCCCATTGTGCCCGTTCCTGTTGGCGCATTAAAAGAAATGCTGCAATGCACTCAATTCGTGATATCGAAGATCGGAGTCAGAATCAGCTCTGATATGAAAACCCCGAGTGAGCAGGTCCCATCTTCGTGGGGTCCTTTTCTGACGACTCAGTTCTGGTTGAGGGGATATCTTTGCCAATGGAGCACTTGGGGGCCAAAATAAGCAACCTTGAATCTTACGTAGTAGGCTGCGGCACGTCGCGAAAGGATCCGTTGCAGATTTGGAGGGATGCCTAGTGTACTTTTGTACCAATTTCTAGATGCAGTCTAGTACGATCCAGCGTGGCCATAGGTATTACAGCTATTGGCTTGCCCGTCCTTATTATGACACAAAGCGGGCCGACGCTTGCAACATTGCATGAAAAAGAACATATGGCATTTTCCCACTAGGCCATAACGAAAACCTTTCCAGTTTAGCCTCGGGAGGGCCATATTGTCTGACACGAGACTATATCCGCCAAGAGTGTCACGCTAAGATGGATTTCCCCAAGGGCAATATCGTGAGATTACATTTAGGTAAATTACAAATTACTTACCTAGGTAAATCTTGGAAACAGTATCTCAATTGAATTGAAATTGCCACTTGAACAGGTACAAAGGATGAAGTAGACGTTGATACATATTCTAGATATTAAAAACCAGTCTAGGTGAATCTATCGGTCTGTCGCTGAAGTCTCATATCCAACATCAACCCACATCCCATCAGCGAGTGCATCAGATCTCCGACCGAAGTTGGGTCGATATTATTTACTATCAAGGTGTAACTCGGCGAAGATACTGCGCTAGGAGAAGGTCGATTACACGGGAGAGGGATCGGCTTCGAAAGGGATGGCTTGGAGCAAAACGTGTCCGTGTCCACTCTCGGGGGCAATTCGGACTCGGGAGTCAAGGGTAAGAGGGATGGATCGACCATCTCGGGGTCTGAATAGGGATACTCAGGATCGTTGGGGAAACTCTCCAGATTCATCAGGCCATGGAGATCAGAAAGCTCATGGTGGTGTTGGACGAATGGCTGAATCTCTTCGAGGTTTGTAGAATACTCGGGGTTGTGATGGGAAGTCTTCTGATTCATCAGTTCATCGAGATCAGGAAGCTCATTCTTCTCGAAATTTGAAGAATACTCGGGATAATGATGGGAAGACCCCAGATTCATCAGTTCATCGAGATCAGGAAGCGCACGGTGGAGTTGGGTAGAGGACTGGTCCTCCACAGTATTCTGTAAGCGTCGGCAGACCAACTCATATCTGGCCATAGTTAGTAGCTGCTCAAATGCGGTCTCACGGAGATCCAGATCTCACCGATTTTTGAGGTCAGTCGGCGATCGAAATGGGAACTTGGTCGAAGCGACCAGTCGCCAGGCCCGACCCAGTTCCAAGACCGCACTCAGCAGAGCTTCGTCGTCCTGGGCGGTCCACGGGCTTCGGTCGATACTGGGATCGAGGGAGTGCTGCCAGTGCTTGGCGCATTCTGTTTTGAATCCTTTCATTAGATTTCCCGCCCATGAATATAAAAGAACAATTGTGCGTTCTCGACACACGTACGATCCGCATTGCGGGTACCGACATGCTGGCTGACTTGATTCCACCTAGAATGCTTGAGCAATTCGGTCTCTTGATCCCGAGGGCACTCATTGCCTTACCGGGTCCCATATGCACTGATGGCTTGGAGTAGACTTTGATCTTCCTCCTCAGTCCACGGGCCTTTCCGATACGCATCGGCCATTTTATACCACCGTTTTCGACAATCTTTGTTGTTACGACCCGGCAATTTCGTTGATATCGCCGTCCATGGAATCGGGGATGAAGTATCTTTGGCGATCTTAGCCACTGCATATCTGAGAGTCCTAGATTGGCTCTTACTTTGATAGACTCCGACCTCGGATCGCAGAATCGAATCTTCCTTCCGGGTCCATTTGCGAGGACAACGAGGATCCATGGTTGTGGTGGTTAGAGAGGGGATGGCAAAGCATAGAGAGTCAGCAATGGAAAAGTCCCAGCATACCTAGGTAGGGTTAGGGGGTGATGACGCCACCACGGCGTACATATATACCTTGGTATTGAATACGAGTCCTCAATTTGTAATCTCCGTCGAGACTATGAAGGCCAAGGGTCTCTGAAAATTAGGCGATGTAACTCCATATCTTAGCCCTTCTCTATTGCCACGCGTCTGACATGCAGGTTCCTCGGTCCAGATTCGGTGGAGCCGCATTTTATCCTTGGCCTCGTCAGGACCCGAGTGATGGGTACTTCCCTGAAGGATGAGACATGCAGGGCCTTATCGTCCTACCCCGTTACCGTTGGGGTGGATTGATACATTCAGCATGCGGAGAATATATATCCAGGTAGATCAGTAAGGGTCCGTGGAAAAGGCTTTTATACAATAAACGCGACTCTAAAGTATAGTCAATATGACGTTTCAACGAAACACACAAATCTTTCTATTTGGGCCGCAGACGCTCTCCGCCACCGAAACGTCCTTCACGGAGCTTCGTGAAACGGTACTGGGCGATGCTGATCTGCATTGGATCCTGGACGTCGTCAACGAACTTCCGCTTCACTTTGCCGCATTGGCAAAGGCCCTACCCACAGTCCATACCTTCCCTGGGGCACAGGAATTGCAATGGCTGAAGGACTGGTTCCAAACAGGTTGCTCACGGCATACCGCTGCCCCTTGGCCCAATATCTTGGTGACCCCGCTGGTCGTAACGGGGCACCTGGTTCAGTACCTTCGATCATTAGAGGACACTTCCAGCGTGAGCTCTGAACAGAGGGAGGCTGTGGGAATCTGCACTGGTCTGCTAAGCGCCCTGGTAGCTGCCAGCTCCTCCAGTCGATCCCAGATCCAGTATCATGGGGCGGTTGCAATTCGCCTCGCAATGCTCGTGGGTGCCGTAGTAGATGCCCAGAACTTCGCTGGCGGCCCCGATGACGAGGCCGTCTCACTTTCAGTGGCCTGGGGCCCAAATGAAGCTGAATCACGCGTGAAGAAGCTTCTGGGGCAGTTCCCTGAGGTGAGTCCCTTTCAATAGACAGTCACAGTCGGTGCTAACGCTCTCTACTACTAGGCATATATATCCGTGGTTTATGATGAGAGGCGTGCGACGATAACTGTGTCCAAAAGCAAATCTTCGGAGCTGATTCAGCGGCTGAGAGCCGCAGACATAGTTGCAGCAGAAATTGGACTGAGCGGGCGTTTCCACTGGCCCTCTCATGGGACTATGACCGAACAATGTATCCGATTCTGCGCAACTACTCCTGCATTTCAATTCCCCGGTGCATCGGAGCTCGCATTCCCCGTGCGAGGGACAGTCAACGGCAAATATCTTGCCGACGCAAACCTCCATGAAGTCGCCATTCGCTCAATGCTGGTGGATCGCCCAGATTGGTATCGCACCTTGCTGACAACCTGGTCAGAGGCGCTGACCAGCCCTGCTTCAACGATCACCTTGTTTGGTCCCAAGAGTTGTGTGGCACCGTCTCTGATGTCTCGCATCGGGCCCCATCTCCGGCTCTCGCCCAACCTCCCTCGTCGGATTCATTCTCTCGGCACGGCAGGGGACCGTGACAGTGGCCGTGATAATCGAATTGCCATAATCGGCATGTCGTGTCTTGTCCCGGGGCCAGTAGCCTGGAGGAGTTCTGGGATCTTCTCTGCCAGGGCAAGTCGCAACATATCCCCGTGCCTCCGGGACGCTTTGGCATGCAGTCTACCTGGCGGGGCATGGATGAGAATCGAACATGGTATGGCAATTTTCTCCAAGACTATGATGCATTCGACCACAAGTTCTTCAAGAAGAGTCCCCGTGAAATGGCGTCCGCCGACCCGCAGCATCGCATTATGCTGCAAACTGTGTACCAAGCGGTTGAAAATTCCGGATACTTTGCCCCCACAACTCAGTCACATCGGACCAAGGATTCTAGGATCGGGTGCTACGTTGGCCTGGGTCTGGTCGATTATGAGAACAACATTGCCTGCCATCCCGCCAACGCATACTCGGTTACGGGGAACCTGGGAAGCTTCGCGGCGGGAAAGGTCAGCCATTACTTCGGCTGGACCGGTCCCAGCATGGTTATCAACACGGCCTGTTCCTCCTCCGCGGTGGCGATTCACACAGCATGCCAGGCTATCCTCAGTGGCGAGTGCACTGCCGCCGTGGCCGCAGGCGTCAACACGATGAGCTCCCCGGAATGGTTTCACAATCTGGCGGGTGCGTCCTTCCTGAGTCCCTCAGGACAATGCAAGCCATTTGACGCCAAGGCCGATGGGTACTGCCGAGGCGAAGGGGCGGGTGCCGTGTTCCTCAAACGATATTGTGACGCCGTTCGGGATGGGGATCAAATCCATGGCGTTCTGGCTGCCACAGCCGTATATCAAAACTGCAACTGCACCCCGATAACAGTTCCAGACTCTTCCTCGTTGGCTGAGATGTTTTCTCACGTCACCCGGGCGGCTGGTTTGGATCCTGGCCAGGTATCTGTGGTGGAAGCGCATGGAACAGGCACCCCGGTGGGAGACCCAGCCGAGTATGAAGCCATTCGTCGCGTATTTGGCGGTTCCGTCCGCTCAGATATTCTATCTCTGGGCTCTGTCAAGGGTCTGGTTGGTCATACAGAATCTGCCTCAGGGATTGTGTCTTTGATCAAGGCGCTTTTGATGATTTCCCGCGGGGTCATCCCTCCCCAGGCCAGTTTCAACGTTATCAATCCAGCAATCAAGTCCAATCGTCAAGACCGGATCCAAGTCGACACGCAATGTCGAACTTGGGACGCGAGCTATCGCGCCGTGCTTATCAACAACTACGGCGCGTCAGGCACAAACGCCTCCATGGTGATCACCCAGCCACCGACCCGGAAGCAGCCCAAGTCCGCAACGACACACTACCAAGTCTCGAAGCACCCCTTTTGGTTAAGTGCGCTAGATGATCGAAGTCTGAGAGAGTATTGCTCCAAGCTACTGCACTCGATCCGTAGAGAGGGCAAGGATCAAGATCCACATCAAAATCTGGCGGATGTGGCGTTTCAGGTGTCACGACAGTCCAACCACTCCCTCGCTCGGTCGTTGATATTCCACAGCGCCTCCTGGAGGGGTTGGAGAATACCCTGGTGGAATTTATCAGCGGGCAAGGGACTACCCAATCAGTTGCCCTGCCTCCGCAAAGACCGGTTATTCTGTGCTTCGGGGGCCAGGTCTCGACGTTTGTCGGTCTAGACCGTCAAGTGTACGAGCATACGACCATCCTTCAAAGACATCTCGATGAATGCCATCGGATTTGCCAGCAGATCGGGGTAAGTGGCGGAATCTACCCTGAAATCTTTCAACGGGATACCATTGGCGATGTTGTCAAGCTGCAGACCGTGCTCTTCGCGATGCAGTACTCCTGCGCCAAGAGCTGGATGGACTGTGGCGTCACCGTTGCTGCCGTCGTGGGCCACAGCTTTGGCGAGCTAACGGCGCTCTGTGTATCCGGTATCCTATCACTCGAAGACGCTCTTCGCATGATCAAGGGTCGGGCCCAGTTGATCCAGCAAGGCTGGGGAGCCGACAAAGGCTCCATGATGGCAGTAGAAGCAGACCTGTCGGTGGTTGAGGATCTCCTGGGCGCGGTCAATGCAGCATGCGAGGATGTCGCGGTGGTTGCATGCTACAACGGGCGCCGCAGCTTCACCCTGGCTGGATCGACTAAAGCCATCGACAAGGTGGAGAACCTGCGCTCAAATGACCCGCGGTTCTCTTCCTCGATCAAAGCCAAGAGGCTCCAAGTCACCAATGCTTTCCACTCGACCCTGGTTGAGCCCCTCCTACCCGCGCTTAGGGAGATCGGAAAGAGTATTCACTTTAGAGATGCGGAAATTCCTTTCGAAAGAGCTACCCAGTCGAGGCATGTCGGCCGATTGGCTGCAGACTACGTGGCTGACCACATGCGCCAGCCAGTGTGGTTCAACGATGCCGTCCAGCGACTGTCGCAGCAATATCCGTCAGCCATCTGGCTGGAGGCCGGGTCTAATTCCACAATCACCGTTATGGCCAGTCGAGCGTTGGAATCTCCCAAGACTTCTCATTTCCAGTCCGTGAGCATCACTGGTAAAGGGGGCTTAGAGACTCTGGCCGATGTCACGATAACTCTGTGGAAGGCCGGCCTGAATACACTGTTTTGGCCTCATCACTCGACCCAAACCTCACGCCATTTCCCCCTGCTCCTTCCCCCTTATCAGTTCGAGAAGTCGAGACATTGGCTAGACCTAAAGGGTCCGCTTAAGCAGCAGGCACCACCGTCCACGGTGGAGGCCTCCAGCGACCTGTGGACGCTTTTGGGATATCAAGACCTTGAAAGGCGTCATGCCCGGTTCTTAGTCAACACCGACTCCACAGCCTTTAAGCAGTATGTTACTGGTCACAAAGTGGCTGAAGCAGCACCCCTGTGTCCTAGCATCCTCCAAATCAGCATTGCGGTGGATGCAGTGTCAAGCCTCTGTCCGGAACTCGCCCAGGAGGGGTTCCAGCCCCAGCTAGACAACATGGATAGTAGCGCTCCGATGCCACTCAATGTGTCCCGGAAGGCCTGGCTAGATGCGGAGATGCTCGGCGACGACCGCCGAATCTGGGAATGGAAGATGGTCAGTCAGAGTACCGAAGCCGGATCCAAACCCATGACTCATATCGCTGGACGGCTCACTTTGAGATCCGGGGATGATGAGACCTCCCAGAGCGAATTCAGCCGGTATGAGCGTCTCGTGCGGGCGAGCCGACCCCGCCGTCTGCTCCGGCCCGATATGGACGTAGACGCCTCGTTGCACGGTGACAATATCTACCGCTCCTTCGCGGATACCGTCGAGTACAGCGAGGTCTATAAGGGGGTCGAAAGGATGGTCGGAATGGATGAAGAGTCGGCTGGACGAGTCTCACTGTCCCAGGACCCACGGCGGTGGGTTGACATTGGTCTGGCCGACTCTTTCTGTCAGGTAGCGGGGATCTTTGTGAACTGCATGACTGGGCGATCTGATAAGGAGGTGTATATCTCGGATCGCATCGAGAAGTGGATGAAGTCTCCCAAGAGACTCCCGCAGAGTGCTGCTTCCCAGAAGGCAGTGTGGGAGGTCTATGCCTGTCACAATCGTCCATCTCCCAAGCAGTTCCTCAGTGATGTCTTTGTGTTTGACTCGCTCACCGGCGAGCTGGCTGAGGTCATCCTGGGCATTCGCTACCAACGCGTCTCTAAGGTTGCGCTTGGCAAGGTCATATCGGGTCTTTCTTCGTCCGATACAACACATTCCATCTCAGCGCCTGTATCCAACGGTGGAGCTAACTCCCTTCTATCAACACCTCAGTTGGCCCCGAAGAAAGATGCATCGCGCTCGATGAAGGTCGCAGCCACGGTGAAGGATATTTTAGTCAACCTGTCTGGTTTAGAGCCCACCGAGATCAACGACGATTCCGATCTGATTGAACTCGGCATCGATTCTCTCATGGGAATGGAACTCGCCAGAGAGATTGAACTGGCCTTCAAAATCAGTTTGGACACGGCCGATCTCTTAGAGATCACCAAGTTACGGGAGCTTGTCCAATGCGTGCAAAAGGCCTTGGGGCTTGGAGGAGAGGAAGAGATGAATGGCACTCATGAGTCCACGAATCAAGTTATTGCAGTCAATGGCCACGACGGCATCAACGGAGGACCTCCCCAGGAAGCCACCTCTACCAGGACCTCGAACGGTGCATCCAACGGGAAACTCTCTATCCCAGCACCACCGGGCAATGAAGTATTGACAGAGGCTATCCTGCAATGCTTTGGTCGGATTCGGGCGAATACTGATGACTTCATCGTACAAAACGGACTGGATGGATACATCGATAATATTCTTCCGCTTTCGGATGAACTCTGTGTGGTTCACATCTTGGATGCCTTCGAGCAGCTGGGCTGTCCTATCCGTACCACGCCCGCCGGTAACATCCTGGGTCCAGTGGAGCACCTGCCGCATCACACACAATTCGTACACTGTCTATTTGAGTATTTGGAACAAGCCGGTCTGGTCGAAATCGACGACATTCGGATCAGAAGAACGCTCCGCTCGGCACCAGTCCGGTCAGCCAATGAGATCCTCGAGGAGCTCGTTGAGCGCTCTCCGGTGTTTGAGAGTGATCATCGATTGACCCATTTTGCAGGCGCCAGCTTGGCAGACTGTCTATCTGGCAAGAACGACGGGCTCCAGCTCATTTTCGGCTCTCCAGAGGGAAGGGGATTACTGAGCGGCTTTTATGGCCAGTCGCCCATCAACACCACGTGGATTGGGCAGATTAGGGAGTTTATAATTCAGGTTATTCCCCAACTATCCATAAATGGAGGGCCGATCAAGGTGCTGGAAGTGGGAGCTGGAACGGGAGGGACCACCGCCCAAATGGTGGCACTCTTTGCCGCCCTCAACGTGCCAGTGGAATACACGGTGACGGATATCTCATCTTCGCTGGTAGCAGGGGCCCGCAAGAAGTTCAAAGAGTACTCGTTCTTGAAGTTCCGCGTGCTTGATATCGAAAAGCAACCACCGGCGGACCTGGTGCACAGTCAACACATTGTTCTTTCAACCAATTGCATCCACGCCACCCACGACCTGGTGCAGTCGACCAGAAACATCCACGAGATACTGCATCCTCGCGGATGCCTGATAATGCTCGAGATGACCCGCAGTATGGCCTGGATCGATATTATCTTTGGTCTGTTGGAGGGGTGGTGGCTCTTTAACGACGGACGGCGTCATGCCTTGGCGGATATCGCTCGCTGGGAATCAGCGTTGCATTCGGCTGGATACGGACAAGTCCTCTGTACTGAAGGCAGGCGTCCCGAAACAACTATCCAACGCGTCATTGTCGCCTTGGCCGAGAGGTACCATGCTTCCCCCTGCAGAAACCTCGGGCTGCTGACCTGGTGGCCCGTGAAACAGTTCTTGATGCATACGTCCAACGCTACACCGAGGACTTTCGACTTCCCGATGGCTTTACGGAAGTGACGCAAACCCCCCCAGGAGCAGCGGTCATGCGTGCTCGTCACAGGCGCAACTGGTAGCCTTGGGAGTCAGCTCGTTGCCTGTCTGGCACAAATCCCTGACGTCCACAAAATCTTCTGTCTCAACCGGGCCAGCAGTGTTGATGCGACGCTCCGTCAACATAAGGCCCTGGAATCAAGGGGGGATCAATCTGGAGCCGACCGCGTTGGCAAAATTGACGGTGCTGGAAACCGACCTGTCCAAGCCTCTGCTGGGCCTATCCACTGTAGACTACGACCGAGTGGTAAAAGAGACAACACACATTGTGCACAATGCGTGGCCCATGAGTGTCACTCGGCCTGTTAGTGCCTTTGAATCCCAATTCAGCGGCATGCGCAGCCTGATCCACCTCGCCCGGGACATCGCTACCCGTCTCCAGTCGTCGTTCAAGAAGGTCTCATTCCAATTCATTTCCTCCATTGCCACTGTCGGCTACTTCCCTCTGCTGAGCGGAAATTCCCTTGTTCCAGAGCAGCGGATGACGGTAGACTCGGTGCTTGCCTCAGGATATGGGGAGGCCAAGCTCGTCTGCGAGCACATGTTGGAACAGACGCTCAATCAACACCCCGGCCTGTTCCGGGCCATGACTGTGCGAATAGGACAAATTGCTGGCTCCACCACGAGTGGATACTGGAACCCTACCGAGCATTTATCATTTCTAATTAAATCGTCGCAGACTATCCAGACGCTGCCTGCTTTTACAGGGGTAAGCTCTTGTTACCTTCCGACCCTTACATTACACAGAAAAGCATCTGCTAACAAGTTCCTCCTCTCGATTCATAGGAACTCTCCTGGTGTCCCTCTACGGACGTAGCCACCATACTGTCGGAGCTGCTCCTCGGGGACCACGTCCCCTATCCCATCTATCACGTCGAGAATCCCTCGCGGCAGCCGTGGGATGAAATGATAGGGATTCTGGGCGAGGCGCTCGGCATTCCGGGTACGAACAGGGTTCCTTACGAAGACTGGATAGCATTGGTGAAAAGCCACCCTGGTCCTGTGGGGAGTGATAATCCAGCTGCTTTGATTATTGACTTCTTGGAGACGCATTTTGTGCGGATGTCCTGCGGGGGCCTGGTTCTGGATACGACTCATGCCGCCGAGCACTCCCCAACTCTGGCAAATCAGAGACCGGTGGACTCCCATCTGGTTCAAAATTATATTCGAAGTTGGAAGAAGTTCGGGGTTTTGAAATGATAACAGTGTTCATTTCTACGGAAATGCCAAATCCTCCAGGGAGATATTTCTGAATGTGGGAGTTTGAAATAATAGTTTACAGGGTACATGTCTCCTATGATGTCTCAACTTTTGCCAAGTAACGTTCTACTGGGGTTAGTATAATTCACACATATGTAGTTTGTAACGTGCGCCACGTACCTGCGGCCACCCATCTCATACCCAGATAGCCTAGTAGGTCTTTCAAGGGTCGAATCGACGGCTCCGGATCGACACACCCAGATACCCTGGCGTCGCCAAGACACACCATAGCGGCCTTGTATATGCAATGAGGGAGAAACACGGACAAAGTCATCATATCAACCGGGGGAGAGATTTCCGCGCCGCGCGCAATCTCGTAAACGAGGGACTTGAGAATATTAATCGATGTGCGGATACAATACTCATTGTCGGGGATATTCATGTGAGATCCAACTTCGAGAGTTTCGAGCATGGCACTGGTTAGTAGCGTTGGGATTAGTCACTTGTTTCTGAACTTGTGCTGGGCAGCGTTACCTTCTACATAGCGCCAATGCGCTATCCGATAGAGGATGCGGTGGGTCCGTATCACCGCTTTGGAAGGTCACCAGAAACGAGGTTAGGGATTTGAGAATCTGGACCGCCTCGACGCTATCAAAAAGGGGATTCGATTGGGTCGTATGGATATGAACTAGCACCCGATCCAAGAGCTGGGATGCGTGGGCCAGCCTAGTGAATGAATCCACTTCTACCGTCGCGCAATCTTCAGATTCCTATTTTCGGAGTTATTCTCAGATAGAGTTCGGTGAGTGGTTGACAGCAGCCAGTCGGTCAGTCACTCACAGCGGCTATGGATCGATCACTGTGAGTATTGGGTGCTTGGCCATTCTCCAGCGAGACATATCTACCACGGGCTCTTGCTTCAGTACGAATATCATTTGGTGTGCTTCCTTGGGGGCCAGATCTGACCTATCAGTGATGACAATGCCCCGCCAAGTCTGTCGTGCCTCCTCGACTTTCCGTGGGTCCCGGAAGGCCTTGCGCAGGTCCTCGCAGGTGGCATTGATTCCTAAGGAGACTGCGGCGCGCATATTGGCTGCAGCGGAGATATATGCGGAGGGATACATTGCATGACCAATCTCGAAGACCGTTAGGAGAAGTCGACTCTGCAGCATTTCCAACGAATTCGTCCCCATCGCCTCAAGAAGAGCTACAAAGCTCTTGAGAGAAGCATACATCGATCTGGTCGAGAGAGGAAGCTCTCCCCCCACAGGCCCCTTACAAACGAGGGCCATACATAGGGTCAAGAGGCTTAAGTCGGATGGTGCACTGGCCGTCTGGACGCGTATGTTTGATAACCGGATATTATAAGAGGGCTCCGATATGATAGGGAACCAGGTATGTACAGTCCGGAAATAAAAGGCTGCGGCGGCCTGCACTTGCAGTCTATCGCCCACATTTGATGAGACCTGAGCTTCGAGGGTATGACGCAGGTTGGAAGGGGTCAAGTCGGCCCAATCTGGTACGGGCAACAGACGAGGGGCTTCAGCTGGAAGGAGATAGTCACAATGCTTATTCAATCTAGATTGATCAGCATGCATCGTCTATAATCCTAGGCGACTACGCACCTTTTACAAAGGGTACAGCAGGGAAGGATCTTGTCACATCTCCGTTTCTGTCTCCGGCAGCGAACGCAGGCCTGATCGGCCGACATGGTTGCGGATGCGGGTGCGGGTGCGGGGTGCGCAGCCCTGGAGGTTAGCCACTTAAATAATCAGGCGCGGAGATAAGTGGCATTTCCAAGGTTCTGTACCAAGCCTAATTTGGTTTAGATCCCGCACCCGCATCCGCACCCGCATCTCCACAACTTGAGCGTACCTACCTACGTACCTACGTAGGTAGGTAGGTATGTAGAGGCACATTGATCTTTATATATTACCTAGGTCTCCATAATATGCTGTAAAGGCAGCTCTTCCAGTATCTCCAATAGGTTTCCTTTTCACAGCTATGGGGGAGATTCGCAACGTTGCCATTGCAGGGGTATGTCAAATAATCATTCTCCTGTCGTACTCAGGACTTATAGACTATGTCTAGGCTTCCGGAGCCCTGGGCTCTCCTATCTTTAACGCACTTCTGGAAAGCGAACTCTTCAATGTGACTGTTTTGGCACGCCAGTCGTCTCAAGCACAATTCCCGGCGTCTGTCAAGGTAGTCCGCGTGGATTACAACTCGGTCCCAGACCTGACAGCGGCTCTGACCGGCCAGGATGCCGTTGTCTCCGTCCTGACAACCAGTGCCATGGAGACACAGATCCCACTGATTGAGGCCGCAGTGAAAGCTGGAGTGAGGAGGTTCCTTCCCTCCGAGTTCTGCGCCAACATCGGCAATCCCAAGGCAGCCAGTTTGCCTGTCTACCACTCCAAGCTCGCGATACATGAGGTCATCCAACAACAGGCTCGGGATCATCCTCATTTCACATATACTTTAATTCGCAACGGGCCTTTCCTCGACTGGAGCATGGCCTATGGTTTCTTTTTCAGCCTCGATGGAGGATCGACTCCCTTATACGACGGCGGAGACCGTCCGTTCAGTACAACCACCTTGGCCACAATTGGCCGGGCCGTGGTAGAGGTCCTGCGTCACTCGGAAGAGACACGAAATAGAGCGGTCTTTGTTCAAGACCTCGTCACCACCCAGCGAAAGATGCTGGCTATTGCCCAGAAGGTTGCACCGGATCGCAAATGGACCCCGAGTGATGTGAGCACCGCCGACATGGAGACCATGGCGCGGGACAAATACGCCAACGGGATGATCGATCTGGCAGCCTCGATGGGATTCTTTTGTCGCTCGGTCTTTGGGGAAGGGTACGGGGAGAGTTCCAGGAGGTGGACAATGAACTACTCGGCATACCATTGAAGACGGATGCTGATCTGGAGGAGTTAATCCGGGGAGTACTTTCCGGACAGAAATCTACTTAGTGAGCCTGACTCTGAGTGCCCCCATAAAAGCGGCAGCTAAGATAGGAAAGCCGCACCTGGCAGAGGAAATCTTAGCTACCTACTATGTAGGTACAACCATTCTCAAATGACTCTTTCCCAGCCAATAAGATCCAATATTGCTTTAAGTGTACTTCGTCGTAGCCGCAGGTTATCTGTGGCTAGTACGGGATGAACTTATCCCGAATCCGAATCCAAAACACAAACCCCCTTTTGTCCTTTACGATGTAAACAGCGCCCCACTCTCTGATTACCACTACCTGGTATTTCCTCGTTTCTCTACTACAAATAACTATGGATTTCAATCATCTTGCTGAAAAGAAATACGAACAGAAGGCTGCTGCTTGGTTGAACCTTTGGTTGAGCCGGAGCCCAGAAATTCTGTCTATGCAGCTTGCTAAGAAGCATCGACCTGGTGAAACTATATCTGCGTGCCTATGGAAAAGTGGTGCTTTCAATATATGCTATCTGGTCAGATATGAAAATGGGCCAGATGTCATCGTTCGTTTCGCTGCCCTCGGAAGGGCTATTCTCCGCAGGGAGAAAGTCCAAATTGAAGTTGCAACAATGAAGTATATACGCAAGACCACTTCGATCAATGTTCCTGAAGTGTTCGGCTCCGGTATCTGCTGGGCGGGCCCTTATATTGTCATGCCATTTCTCGAAGGAGTGCCATTATCACAACTCCTCCAAGATCCTTCTTCAGAGGGAAGGCCAGTCCTGAACCCGCAAATAAGTGATCGGAGCTTGAAGCGGGCTTATCGCGAAATGGCCGCGCTTATCCTCGAGCTCTCCAAACATGAATTTGATTCAATCGGTGCGCTTGAGGAAAATGAGAGGGGTTTCTTTGTTGCCAAGCGACCTCTCACCAACATGAATGAGTTAATGGTCTCTGCAGATTTACCCGAAGAAGCCTTCCCCTCGCACACATTCAAGTCGGCCACGGACTACTTCCAAGGGCTTGTTATGCAGCATCTCTCCCATCTTCGACTACAGCAACAAGATGCTGTTAGCAGCGAGGAGGATTGCCGGAGGAAATTCACTGCTCGTTGTTTATTCCTGGATATTACAAAGAAAATCTGCACCGAAGATCCTCAAGGGCCATTTCGACTATACTATGGCGACCTCCGTCCGTCAAATGTCCTAATAGATCTCGATACTTTCCGTATCTCGGGAGTTATCGACTGGGAGTTTACATATGCTGCACCCGCCGAGTTTACATGGGTAGCTCCTTGGTGGCTCTTGTTACATAGCCCGAGGACTGGGAGGGTGATGTCAACCTGTTTTTGACTCGCTATACTCCCAGACTTCGTGTCTTTTTGGAAGTCTTGAGCGACCATGAAAGCAAGTTGATAGAACAGCAACTCCTCTCTGAGTCACAGCGCCTGTCTCCACGGATGAAAGACTCCATGGAGACGGGTTTATTTTGGGTCTGCTTAGCAGCAAGATACAGCTCAATGTTCGATGAAATCTACTGGACATTCATCGACCATCGATACTATGGAACCTTTACTTCTCTTGCTGACCGTATACGGCTTTTGGACCAAGAACAACAGCAAGAAATGAACGAACTTGTGAGGATCAAGACTAACCAGTACACTAAGGATGAAGATTTTGAGGATTACTATCCAATTGATAAGCTACTTGAATTATAATTATGTATTCATCTCGGATTATGTTATGCTTTGGTCCAATAAATGGTGCATCGGCAAATCTACCTGAGACATTGATTCCCACACAGTTTAGAGTCTTTGGTGTAGCACCATGTCCAATTATTTTACCAATAATCTGATATATTTGGCCATATCCGAGATATCATACTAAGACCGTTATGAGAAGTTTCTTTTTGCATGTGTCGTCCAATATTCTTAGTGTTACAACTAGAACATTCGGACGATTTTTGAGTCATCCAGAGCCTCATGTGGAGCCCTAATCTCTTACTTCCTATATAAATTGATTTATTCCAATATTGCTAATAGCAATGTTTCCATGAAAAGGACCTTGGAATGTTTTGCCATAGCAACATTGAACCTTCCGATAAAAGCATTCTTATCGCAACTGCCCCGCAAACACTCAAAACAGCTCCAACTCCCAAAAACCACAGACAACCCCACCACGCATCTCACACCTACATATGCGAGGCAGTATCACCATCCTAAAACATCACATGCATACAACCGGTGTCTAAGCATACACAATGGCACCGGATACACATCCCCACGTCTCCGCAAACCCTTCCTCCACTTCCGACAAAGAAAGCGACAATGACAACGCAAGCACAGACACCGCGAAACCAGAGTCCCAAGCAACAGAACCCAGCTCTAGGACCAGCACAACCCTCTCAGCCCAACTGAATCAAGAATGTAAACATCTACTCTCCCAGATCGATACCTACCAATCCCTCCTCGCGTCCACGCTACGGAACCCACAGCTCGTCGAGGTGCGCCAATTCCGCTCCAGCGTAGCCTCCGAGCTGAAAATGCTAGAGAAGCTAGGCCGGCAGATTGAGGAGGCAATTGGAGACACATCACCAGGATCAGAAACAAGTCGAATGGAAGATGGGGTGACGGTGTCGCGTGACCCCGATTTGGAAATGCGGCTGGTGCATGCGCTTCGCTCGTCGAACTTGCCGTTCTACCAGGCTGTCTGGGGAATCGCGAGCGGGTCTTGTTCTGGGTTGGTTGCGCTGGGGAAAAGGTTTTACTGGGATGGGGAGACGAAGGCGTCGGAGAGGAAGAGTGTTAGTGGGAAGGGGAAGGGGAAGGATGGTCCTGCTCAGCCGGAGAAAAAGCCTAACAGAGATAAGCGCAAGAGTGTGTTTGTGGATATTGTGGCTGATGATGGGGAGGAGTGGGTGAAGGTGTCTACTATATCGGAGAATCGGCTTCTGTTCGAGATGGCGAAGAAGGGCTGGGAGGGTGATAGTGATGATGAGTGGTCTGATGGGGGTAAAGGGCGGACTGTTTTGCAGAATTTTGATGATGATGGGGATGGGGATGATGATGATGATGAGTTGGAGCTTATTAAGTTGGCTCGGGATCTAAGGAAGGCTTCTGATGCTACGCGCGTTAGATATAGACATCCTCGGCTACGGGTTGTTATACCTAAGATCGAAGAGGGAAGTGTTCCTGAAATTGACGCTGTCTTGAACGAGATGCGGAGCTATGGTATTCGGGTTGACTGCCAGGGGAGTCTGCCAGCAGAGACTCGTACCGGGCTAGCCCATCTCCTGCCTCAACCATTCAAAAACTTCACTTCGACTCTGAATGTCGACTGCACTTTACTTCTTGCCTTGGTATCTGACTTGTCTCACATCAAGAACATTCCGCTATCCCCCCCATTTCCATAGAGCCATCGTTCGACAAATAGAAGTGGAGCGGGAAAAACCACTGCTCACTTCGGAGCTCTGGCCGGCTATGGATGGCCGTGGGCTCGTATCCACCACAGAGGCTGCAGTGCGCTTCCAGGAAATCGTCGAAACCATTGGGACAGAGACGGAGAAGAGCCGAACTCGCATGTTGCTGGGAGACCCACCATACGAACAACTTGATCGTGAAGCTATTCTCCAGAAGTTCCAAGAATTGTCTGATTACCAGGTGCCCGCAGATTGGAAACTCCCCATCGAAGTGGTTGAAGCCCAGCGAGTGATCGATGCGGCCAAAACACAGGGTAAACTTCATCCAGTGGTACATGAAGTCGGGAAAGGCCTGTCGGATATCAACCATAGCGTGTTTTTGTACGGTTGGGTAACCGGTTTGACGACCATTTCCAGCAATCGCACAATCGACAAGCAAATCGAAGCCACCATCGAGGAAAATCGGAAAGGCGATGACAGCCTAGAAGGCCCTGACGTTTGGATTTGTGACACAGCACGAAGTTTGGTGGGCAAAGACAAAGATCGAAAAGCATAATCATACAGGTTCGGTCATCTGCTAGACGAGGAGAATAGAAAGCGCTTTTCTTGACCTTGACAATTTGTGAACACGGTGCCATTATTCCGCAGGGCACCCACTCATACAGTGTATTTGTAGACAGTGATTGGCTGAGAGTTTGAGACAAAATCGGAGATCTGGTCATTTTCATCACGTCACCAGATTTTATTTACTTCTCTGAAGATTTGCCGTGGTCGTCGGGGACATAGAAGATAATTTCCTTGTCAGCACTAGCGATCATGTTGTAACGCGGGTTGTACTCCACCATGGCCGCGCAGCTCGGAGCAGACAACCTGGTTGAAGGCTGTAGTGTAAGGTCCCCCCCCGCCAACCTGTCCCAAGTCCCACACGAGCATACCGTGCTGCTCCCCATTGCCTCCAATAACATATCTACCATCGGGGGAGAAACAAGCGTCGCCTTGTCCGAGAGGCTTCCCAGTCGTGGACACTGGAGCAGCACGACCAGACGCCCCACTCTTGCCGGCCAGGAAGGCCTTGAGTGTACCATCAAAGGCATCTAGAACAAAGTGGCCATGATAGTCTGTTCCAACCATCAAATATTTTCCATCGTTGGAGAACTCCAATCGAGTCCATGCTCGTCCCCGCGTCGACGGTGTGAATCTCTCCTCGTATGGCGCTAGGTCGAAGGTGGAGAAGGGCGATTTGTCAAAGTTGCGGAAGTCATAGAGAAGCACTGCAGCTGTTGATTGAGACGCGATTGCAATCACTGTACCTGACGGATCAAAGGTAGCAAGGTATGGGGTCGCAAGGTTAAGCTTGCCCTGCGCATTCCTCGAATTCAGGTCCCACAATGTCACAGTATCATCCTTGGAGCAGGACATGAAGGCGTCGCTTGCAGGGGATTGAGCTAGGCAAGTGACTTGGTCGTTATTGCCGGTGAAATATCGTATGTATCCCTCATTGTGGAGGTCCAGTAACCGCAGGTTATCTGTAAATGGTGAGCTAGGTAGCTAAAGGCAAAGGCCATGCAGTCACATACTATCAATCTTGGTACTCGCATGGAGAACCTGGCGAGAGTGATGGGTGAATCTCGCAAGGTGAACACCGTATTTCTTGCTGGCTACGGATTTGTTGAATTTGCCTTCTTTCACGTCATAAACATGCATACTGTCATCGTTGCCGGCGCCAATTAGAACGTCGCCCTGGTCGTCAAAGTCCAAAGAAGTCACATATTTGGACGGGTCTTTTTTACACGGGTGGAAGCCCTACGTGACAGCCTTGTCAGAGAGTGCCATAATTCCAATATTCATGTGAACCTACCTTGGATGGGCGGAATGTGTCAATAATGTCCGTGATTTTCTGCGACTTGAGGGGAGCTTGGGCGGGCGGACCCTGCTGAGGTGTTGATTGGCCTTCGGTCATGGCGGTGTGGTCGGTGAAAGTGAGAGGTTACTGAGAATATATGTATTATAGGAAGAAATTGGCAGAATGTAAATAAAAACAAAGGTGAAGACAATGTGAGATTGAGGAAAGAGCTGCCTGACAACCTTGGAAGCTCCGAGGTGAAGCTCCGCGACATGGCTTTTTTTGCACGCCTCACCGCCTCACCGCCTCGGCTGACATAAAAACTCTGGGGCCGACGCCGGAGGGCCCTGGCTCAATTGACCAATGAGCGTTTACCCGACTCCCTGTTCGCCGCATGTAAGCTTTTATGTCCACGGTTATCTCAGGGCGCATATTGACTCAACCCCTTCAATATCTGGTCCTAGTTGAAAATATTGTGCATTCCTTCATATTTCTCACCCATACTTCCCGATTGTGACTTGGGCTATACAGCCTCGATAACTTGCACATATCCTGTTGAATCTCCGCTACTGGCCGCACTCATTTCATCCTGCGGGTCCGATCTTCCTCCGCTAACCGACACACCTGAGCAAGCATCACACAGTCAAAGCATCACATATAAGGCAATATGTCTACTACTGGAGGGTAGGTCGTATCTCTGCGCGGGTGTACAAAGCCTACGCTAACAGCAATTGTGGTGGAACAGCGCGTTCATTGCAGGTGGCATTGCAGCATGCGGTGCGGTCACTGTCACCCATAGTTTCGAGACGGTCAAGATCCGGTTGGTTTCCTAATACTCCGGATTTGCCGCCATTATGCTGACAGTTATGTCTGGCTACAAGGCTTCAACTGCAGGGTGAATTGCAGACCAAGAATCAGGCAGTGAAGATGTACAAGGGCCCGTTGCACGGCATCAAAGTCATTTTGCAAAATGAAGGACCCCGGGGTCTGTTCCGGGGTATTGGATCTGCTGTACGTGATCTCCCCTTGAAACCGCATATAGAAGCATACCAAGCTAACATCTGGGTTATGTAGTATATCTACCAGGTCTTGCTTAATGGCTGCCGTCTGGGCTTCTATGAACCTATCCGCTCGAACCTCACAACTGCTGTATACAATGACCCCAAAGTCCAGTCCCTCGCTGCCAATGTCATCGCAGGAGCTGCTTCAGGTGTTATTGGTGCCGCAGCAGGGTCGCCTTTCTTCCTTGTGAAGACCCGTCTTCAGTCCTACTCACCGCTCCTCCCCGTCGGCACCCAGCACAACTATAAGAACTCGTTTGATGGCCTTAGCAAGATCTACAAGGGTGAGGGAATCAAGGGCATCTATCGTGGTGTCGGTGCTGCTATGATCCGCACGAGTTTCGGTAGTGCCGTGCAGCTCCCCACATACTTCTTTGCCAAGCGCCGTCTGACCCGCCACCTGGGTATGGAGGAGGGTCCTGCTTTGCATCTGGCCAGTAGCGCAGCTTCTGGCTTCGTTGTGTGCTGCTTCATGCACCCCCCTGGTATGTTATCTCGAACACGTGCTATATGTTCTTCGCTGACTTCTCTCTAGACACGATCATGGCTCGTATGTACAATCAGACAGGTAACCTGTACGGTGGTGTGTTTGATTGCTTGCTCAAGACTATCCGCACCGAGGGTCCCCTTGCCATTTACAAGGGCTTCTTCGCCCATCTCGCCCGCATCCTTCCCCACACTGTAAGTGACAGGAGTTGAGCATTGGTCTGGCATTCATGAACTAATCCCGCCTCTAGATCTTGACTCTGAGTCTGGCCGAGCAGACTAACAAGCTGATGCGCCGTGTCGAGGACCGGATCCTGCCCGACTCCTTCCGTGAAGGAATCTAAGCAACCTATGGGATATATTTTGAAGGGATCTTTCTCGTGAGATCCATTACCAATATCTGCATTGCCTGGCTGGGGTTTCTTTTCGAATGTTCCGTGCTGCACAATTGCTTTTGATTGGGCATATATATGGCGTTTGGTAGAGTAACCTGTTGATTTCAGAATTAGAGGGTCTGTACATACTGTTGTTCACATATCGCAAGCATTGGAAATATTTTGGATATGTCTCCTGGCATTACTCGTATTTGGCCTCACAATCGGTTTCCCCGGCACAGATCGCGAAACACGAAAACGCGCTAGCACGTGGTGATGCAAGGCACTTCCCTGCTGCTCCCAGTAGTCCACTAGACTAGTGGTATGTGGAACCGGTGCACCCCGAGCTCAAACTTAGCAGGTGGATATATCTTGATGGGGACTTGCAAGGGATTACTCGCCACATTGCATTCAACCCTTGGAAACAGTGTCAATATACCGTATACATATGTAACATAGACGACCTTGTTCCTTGTCACTCCGCAGATATATCCGAATGCAACTTGAAAACGTAAATTAGTCCAACAAAGACCCCTAACGTTAAAATACTGCGTGGCTGCCTAGGTGTGACGCAGCTAAGACGATCGGCACTTTCTGTTTCCCTTGCGGGTCCACTCCCAGAAGTTTCCTGATGGGGTAAAAGGAAAAGAGATCCTTCATTCATGGGACTTGACAGGAGCTGCCACATGTTACTCGCCTTGTTTATGCTATGGACTACGTATACATTTATTGTCGAGACTAACGGACGAAAACAACATTTGAACCCTTGGAGCATGTTAACACAGCAGATGGAACGCGTGTGGGGAGCTGAACACACCCTTACGCCATGGAAATTATGGAAATTGAGCTATAAATTGGCGAATGAGATGCTAATGCCTAGATCTAGACCAATAACGTAACCAATTACATCCGTAAATCCGGTTGTTTTCCCAGTCGCGTCGCGTTTTTTTGTGGATTCTCTGGCTTATCTGATCGTGATCAATAGTGGGGACCGAAAATTGGACACGCGTGAGAGTCGATGTCTTAGGTTGTACTCCGTAGGCTTATGGAGGTAGTAGCGTGGTAATTGCCGTATTCAATGTTGGATATTGGTGTTCATTATTATCAGAATAGAGTGTCAAGGATTCGAGAGTGATATAGATACAGATGTAGATAAGATCGGAATCTACAGAATCTACATAAAAAAAGTACAAAACTCCATGACATGCACAAGAATGGAGCTGGAATGGAGCACGGCCAAGGACTATCCTTTCGGATGTTGCTGGGACCCCAGTGGCATGAGAAAAGAATCGCCCAATTAGGAAAGAAGGGCTGGGGGAAAAACCTTGGAAGACGCGCCGAATGTTACCTAATCAGTGCGCGCTGTCACGTGCGACGTGACTTAGCCCGTCGCGCTAAAGAGAAATCGGCAGTACTTAATCGAGTTTCTCTTCCCTCGTTCAACTCCAAATTTCCCATCCCACTCTCAAAGCTTCCGTCTCATTATTACTTGCCGTCCTTTTGTTCAAGAATTGTTTCTGTGATATTACATTCCTCACACACTTGTTCCAATGGCTGCTCAAGTCACTCCCTCCAAGCAGGTTCGTGATGTCACGCTTCTTGCCTCTTGCCTCTTCGCGTCAAGACGCGTCGTGAAGTTCGTTTGAGCTAACATTTCCTCTTTCTTAGGCTGCTTCCTCCCTCGAGAACCTCAAGATGAGCGACTCCCCTGTTAAGAAGCTCGACTTCCAGTCGGGTGGCAAGGAGAACGCGTCTCTCAAGCCTGTCGACACCCCCATTGAGAAGCCTACCGAGAAGGCCCTCGAGAACAAGCCTCTTACTATCAAGGAAATTGAAGCCACAGAGCCCCTCCTCCAGGAGAACCCTCACCGTTTTGTCATGTTCCCTATCAAGTACCATGAGGTAAGTCACGTCGACGCGTTTCACGCGTAAAGTGGATATCGCGAAGGATGTCCTGCCAGCATGAACATTGAAGCTAACCATACCTCTCATTTTCACAGATCTGGCAAATGTACAAGAAGGCCGAAGCCTCATTCTGGACCGCTGAGGAGATTGATCTCTCTAAGGATCTTCACGACTGGCACAACCGCCTGAACGACGATGAGCGTTACTTCATCTCCCACGTCCTGGCCTTCTTCGCGGCCTCTGACGGTATTGTCAATGAGAACCTTGTTGAGCGTTTCAGTGCAGAGGTCCAGGTCCCCGAGGCCCGTTGCTTCTACGGCTTCCAGATCATGATGGAGAACATCCACTCCGAGACCTACTCCCTGCTCATCGACACCTATATCAAGGAGCCCAAGCAGCGTACCTACCTCTTTGATGCCATTGACACTAGTAAGTGCTTCTCACATTGACTTTATGACGTTCAATTGTCTAACGTGGCATTTAGTTCCCTGCATTACCAAGAAGGCCAACTGGGCCATCCGCTGGATCAACGACCGTGAGTCAACCTTCGCTTCGCGTCTGGTTGCCTTCGCCGCCGTCGAGGGTATCTTCTTCTCTGGCTCTTTCGCCTCCATCTTCTGGCTGAAGAAGCGCGGCCTGATGCCTGGTCTCACTTTCTCCAACGAGCTGATCTCTCGTGACGAGGGTCTCCACACTGACTTCGCTTGTCTGCTGTTCTCCCACATGAACCACCGCCCCGACCCCAAGGTTGTTGAGGAAATCATTGTCGAGGCCGTTGGCATCGAGCAGGAGTTCCTCACTGACGCTCTTCCCTGTGCTCTGCTTGGCATGAACTCCAAGCTGATGTGCCAGTACATTGAGTTCGTCGCTGACCGCCTGCTGGTGGCCCTCGGCAACAAGAAGTACTACAACGCTACCAATCCCTTCGACTTCATGGAGTCCATCTCTCTGGCCGGCAAGACCAACTTCTTCGAGAAGCGTGTCGGTGACTACCAGAAGGCTGGTGTCATGGCCAGCACCAAGCAGGAGGTCAACGCAGAGGGTGAGAAGGTCGTCAGCGGCGGTCTCAACTTCGATGAAGACTTCTAGACGATGCCCTTCTCTCTTCCCTCTTGTGTTGTTTTATACCCTCTCCCCTTTCACGTGATATTATGCTTTTCTTATTCTGTTTATTTTATTGATTGATGCAATTTTCGTTTGAAGGCTCGCATGGGAATGGCGTTTACTTGTTTTTTCCTGGTCTATCCTGGACTGGCGTCCATGGATTAACGGCGGATTCTCTGTATCTAGATCTTCGAATCACTTCTCCAATGTGTCTGGATATGTTTGTAGGTGTAGATAACGCCAAAGACCCTTTTAAATACACGTCATCAATTGACCGGTCTCTGTTGAAACTCCACTTAATCCACAAGAACATCCGTCGATTGCATAGCCAGCCCGAACTCAGAAGCCGGTATCTCAGTCCCGATATCAAAAGACCTCACTCCCACATCTATGAATGCATCATAAAAAGTAACAAGCGAAAAGAAGCATAAGAAACAATTCAATGAATCCCATTCAAAAGAACCCAGTTAATTTACCGCTTCCCCTTCCCACCCTTCTTCTTCCCCTTCGCACTCTGACCCTGACCTTGAGCTTGACCCTGCGCCTTACCAGCAACCGGCGCGATCTCCTCAGCAGGAGCAGGAGCAGGAGCATCAGTCATCTCCACATCCGCGCCGGCAGCAGGCACCGCAGCCGATAACCCCAAACCCGCTACATCAGCGCCGGCAGCCAGCTTGCCCAGACTCGTAATCAGACGGCCGACTTCCTGCGCCTTGTTTGTACGGTAGTGCAGACAGATCCCGGTGGTTGGGTTGAATGTTTTCAGAGTGAGGGTTGCGGTTGCGGCGGATGGGGGTGCGGGTGTGGTGGAAGGAGCATCGGTGGGTTTGGCGGCGTCTTTTCGGACTTGCGATTTGTGGGCTCGCTTTAGGTTTCCTCGTCGGTTTGTGGGGAAGTTGTATTTTGTTACTATCCGGGTCTGGGGGGATTGGTTGTTAGTTTGGTGGGTTTGGGTTTGGGACTGGGGTTTGCGGTTTCATTGTTGCCCGCTGTGGGGGACGCGGTGTGGAAGATTGCATGACGTTGGGATGGGAGGTGCTGGTGGAGTGCTTACTGTGTCTGGGTACGCTTGTAATAACTGCGCTGACTGCTCCAGGTAGGCCTGGGAGGTGGGTAGGTAGGGCATTTTGGAGTGGTGGTGAGCGTCTGTAGAGCTCGCGGTTTTGGGTTGAGAGGTGTGGTGGGATGCGCAGGTTGGTGGGTGGCTCTTTTGGTGTCGCGGGGAATGCTCAGAATGGAACGTCGCAGATCAAAAGGAGGTACCTGCTGATATCTAAGGCTCGAGGGAGGAATTGGTTGGGAGAGTTGGTGGATGAAGAGAGTGTGGAGGTGTTATCAGTGTGCTGGCGGCTTTTTCCATGTCTTGGCATCAATATGGTTCAACTCCGCAATTTATACTTGCAAAATTCTAGATGGCCTTCCCTGAATGGGATACGTCCCAATCATGGTTATTTATTCTACTATGTCAAGGCTCATTACTTGGGGTCTACTTAAATGCATTTATTGGCGCTAAACAGGAGTGAGGGCCAAGGCTCTACCCTCAACCACCTCTACTTCAGTAGGCAACCGATCTGGACATATACAAACAAAATGATGATGAAAATTCCCTACAAGCCATACAGTGCATATGCGAGGGATATCTTAGGTACATACACAACGTATGCTCCAAAGATAGAAAAAGACGGAACCTCATCACAACATAAGGTTTACAAGGTCCGCGACCATTTCGAGTATCATGACTCACATAACTGGACCATTCCAGCTAATGGATGGAAAGTTAGTGACGTGTAGAAAGTTATATCATCTTCTTCTAAAGCTGTTTCATCAAAAAATCATCCTATTCCACCAACAATCGCCGTAATATCTTTCGCGTAATATCTCGAAAGATATCTCGAAAGACCACCAAAAAGACTACCAAAAAAGACACCCCAAGGACGTAGAATCGACTATTCTTGTCATATTTAGTTACTATCAATTACATTCTAGGGGATTTTCCAAAGTATTGACTGTGACATGAGCAAAGGACAGCCTGTGTAGCACTGCAGGGGACTTAGGACTACATCTGTACTAAGTTCACCTAGGACTTTCGAACTTCCTGCAGGAGTTGTGGACCATTGTGGCAATTCAACATGTATCATAGTACTTTTATTGATATTTGTACTTTCAATATGATAAACTCTACAGGTTTGCAGATCTTTGCTGAAGCTTGTAGAGTTGAAGGTTTGGGGGAACTTCAACCTTTTGAGGCATCCAGACACTGTGAAGGCGACAAAAGGCTATCAATAAACTACAGAGTCTCTAAAAAAAAGAAGTCATAGATGCATGAGTCACAAGAAGCATTCAAGAACACTCTAGGAGATACAACAAACTATTAGAAACAACAGGAATCTGAATCTTCTCGTATTTCACAAGGCGTAGTTAGGTATATAACCACCTAGACATCTCCATTCCTGGTAGCAGAAGCCTTCTACCAAACTTCCAACTAGCATAACACACTCCCAAACAACTCCCAAACACAACCACGCCCACAACCAACATGGTCTACCGCGTAATGGTCTTCTCACCACGCAAGACAACCATCACACACGAGGAATTCAAAACCCGCTACGAGCAGCACATGCGCATGATAGCAGATATCTGCGGCGACGCAGCACCCCCTCTCGCACACGCGGTCATATCTGCAGCACGACGTGAGATCCAATCCGATACTGCTGGCGGGAAGCATTGACGAGACGTACGATGCCGTTGTCACCATGTCCTTTGGGGACGAGGCTGCATGGGGCAGGTTCTGTTGTGCGTTGAATACGCCGGAGGCTAAGGCGATGATTGAGACTGATGAGGCGGGGTTTTGGGATCGGGAGAGGATGAAGGTTATGGTTGTTGAGGATGTCAGGAAGTTGGAAAAGTAGGGGTTGTGTCATCTTTGGGATAAGGGATACATGAATACCTAACTGTTCTCCGGCATCGCTATGTTTGTATTATTCTCTTTGGAGGCTTATTTCGCAGTCTGAGTGGGAATGCGAGGGAAGTATAGTCAGGAACAGGAAGCAAGGAACCATGCCATACTTGGATAACTCTACAATGTGTCTACCACATAGTCTTTTCAAGGATATTTCCATCTCTTGTCTCTCATTGCATCTGATATTGTACATGCCCTATTGTCGAGGCCTAACAAAATGTACACATTAAACAAAACATATCGACATCATAACAACGTAAAACAAACAAAAGCCAACACACCCTCCAATAGGTATCTGATGCCGGAACAAAAACGCCAAACCCTATCATACATCGCGGAAATCATAGATCGTAGAGACCGTAGATCATACATGCATCCACGTCCATAAATGAAAGAAGAAGACTCAAGAAACAGGCCGATGACACTCCGAACAAATAAGCTTCTGTTTCCCATCCCTCCCTTTAACACTGCGGAAACTCGTCCCACGGCAATTATCACACTTGAGCACATCTTCCTCTGCATCACCCGTCGAAGAGGTATAGTCACTGCTCAGAAAACTACCTCCTGAAACACTCATCTTGCGCTCGCGCGGGATCCTCCCCGGACTGAGCAAATCATTAGATTTCCGGGACTGCATGGCCAGCGCATCGTGCGTGATCTTATTCCAGTACGCGTAGCTGTGGTCGCCCTGTAGCCAGAGCGGGTTGTCTTGTGCTTTGCCGCTAGTTACGATGTCTGCAGATGAGATGGGTTTCGACGGTTGGGTTTTCGAGTTTGAGGCGGTTGCATGGCCGTTGTTTCCATTTGCCCGGCTCACGTCTTCGCTTGTGCGGTTGCTGTCCGGCCGGGGTCGACGTGGTGACGGGGGTGGGGATGTAGTGAAGACGGATAGTGATTCGTTGGGGCCGAGACTTGAAGGTCGGGAGGAGGCCAGTCTGGAAACTGCTGGGCGGTGTTGGGGGGAGGGGGTGCGGGTTCGGAAGCCCGCGCGGGAGCCTTCGGTGCTGGAGCGGCCGTGGCGTATGACCGAGTTGCGCCATGAGACGATGCGCTCGGAGGGGGTTTTGTGGGAAGATTCCTTTCCGATTGAGGAGGCGATGCTGCGGCGTGCGGAGCTGGAGCGTTTGAGGATCCGTCGTGAGATGGTGGAGTTGGCGTCCCAGTTCTCGTAGCGTCTTTTTTGATACGCGCAGTCTTGTCGGAGGACTTTGATCTTGCCGGAGTAGTCGGCGATCACGATTATCTCTCCATCTGGGTGCTTGGATCGTGCGAGGTACGAGGGTGATTCGTGGGCCATTCTGCTGACGATGGATAGGCGAGGTGCTGATGCAGAGCGCTTGTGGGGGTTTCCATTATCTCTGCCTGGGCTTGTTTTCTTTGATGGTTCTGTCAACTCCGGGCCCATCAGGGCTACCGGGGGTGGGTTGCAGATATCGTAGATTGGATCTTCTGATAGTGCCAGGAGCTGTTTCGTTGGAATCGGGGCCATGATTGCGGCCGTTACCATGGCAGACTGTGTCTCGAATACCTCCACAGCCTGTTTTTCAGAATCTCGTTGCACAGACCCAATTGGCCACACGTATGCCCTGCGATCCTCACTTCCACATATGATGTACTTGCCATCATTGGTGAACGTGGCTCTGATTTGGCTACAGGTGTTCTCGTTACCGCGGAATTTGGCCTCCAATGATCGATCGTTGAAGTTGTACAACCTGATGCGGGAGTCGTTGCTGGTAACCAGTAATTTGATATCACGCTCAGTATGGTCCTTAGCATCGTCCTTCGGAACTGTCATCGTATCGATTCCAGTGATTTTACTACCCTTAGCGTTGCGCCCACGGGCCGATCGTACATGGATCTGGGCTGACACTTTTAGTCCCTCGGTGTCATAGATGTTAAGCATGCCATTCAAGCATCCGGCAATGGAATATCGGCCATCTGGAGTGAATGCCACTGCGGTAATCATATCGGGCACAGCAGTCACAAAAGCCACACTCTTATCTGGGATACTCCACAGCCGCAGTTTCGTATCGAGAGATCCAGCAAGGAAGAATCGATCGTCACGCGGGTGAAATTGGATCGAAGTCACAAAATCACTGTGCTGGAAACAGCAGAGACATTCCGGTCGAGAGATATGCCATAGTCGCACTGTCTTGTCCATTGATGACGAGAGAAGGAAGTTGTTCTGGCTCGCAGGTCAGCATGGCCGTTTCCCATCGAGTTGAATGCTTTGAGCATGCATACTTTACTCCAGCTCAGGTCTAGTATACTTCCCGTGTGTCCTTCATACACCTGAACGGGCACCGGCTGGAATACAGGCGCCTTCAGGCCGGAAGTATCTTGTGCGTCTACTGGTGTTGCCTCTTCGTCCCCATTGGCATCCTCGCGCTCCTCCGGTGTAGCGATAACAGTCCATACTCGGACCTTCCGGTCCTGGCCAGCGGCCGCGAGATATTTACCATCCTTAGAGAACATCAGTGCCCAGACAGCCTTCCCAGTGTGATCGCCATTCTGCGGCGAGGCCGAGGACGTAGATACCCGTCTATCTGCGGGTTTGGGCGATGGGCCGCTGCCCTGCAGTTCCTGGGCCAGAAACATACGGTTGAACGTCTTATCCTTTTTGTAATGGGCTCGCACCTTCAAATATTTGGACGGAGCAGGATGTCGAGGTATGAATCCAATTGGATGCGAAGTGTCCACGGACATGCGGTGCGCCTCAGATTCCGAGGTCTCATCTTCTGCCTCCGATGGCTGATCTTTTTTCTTGGTTCCAATGATTCGGCTGAGGAAGGAAACGCCTTTTCTGTAGTCGAGAAGAACAAATCACAGGTCAGTCGCTGGTAATATAATGTATATGTTGCCGGGAGAATCCTGGGGATGGATCTTCTCAAGTGGACTATGCGGGGGAGGCGCAAAGAAAACCCCGGCACACAAGTGTCGGCGACACAAACCATCGGCGTGACTGGTGTTTCCAAGGCAGGCTGACACATTTTAAAAACTCACTTCTTCTCTTTGGGAGGTTTTGAAGGCAATGCATCTCCCCGTGTCGGGCTTGGCTCTGGCTGGCTGTAGTCGGAGCCGACGGCCTCTGCTTCGTATGATGCTCTTCCCAGCAATTTCAGGGGAATGGATTTTTGGGTATTGGTGCGTTGGATGATGTGCTACAGTGGTGACGGAGCACGGCCCTCCTGTCAGCGCTGCTCCTGCATCTCCGTATCTGCATCTCAAATGCGGGTTGCACAAAGCAAAACAAGCACATGATCGGACCGAGGGAAGGGCCAATTCGGTGTTGCAGGTTTGCGTGAGAGCTGAGAGCTTACCTGCGATAACGGATCTATAGCACTTGACTCGGTCTTCTCGTGAGGGGTATTCGAGGTTGAATCTCGTAAAGAGCTACCAATGACCGAGCGTCTGGAATTCCGAGCATCTTGCAGACTGTGAGTCGAACCCGAGGGGACATCCGATGTGGCCGAACCTGATAGTTCAGTCAGTATTTTTTGGGTGATCATGTTTTGTTCTTTTTGGCGCGTGATAGGGACAGCCCAGAACCAGTGGCCAGTGGCGCATTGGAGTTATGCAGGCCAGACCAGATTCAAATTTCAAACTCCGGTTTGGAAATTCATCAAGATTCGGGGTTCATAGTCCAAAATCAGAATGCGACTTACCGGGGAATGTCGAGGTGCGGAGGGGGGTCGAATCGGTTATCGCGGGGCTCGTCGCGACTCGTAGTTGTAGATTGTTTCCCTCCGCCATGTGTGTAGTCGCATGGGGGGTAAGAGGTAATACACAAGTAGAAATGTACAGTGTTCGCAAAGACTTGAAGAAATATAAAAAAAAAGAAAGAAAAGTAAAGTAAAGCGGCAAAGACCGGATAACCGCGTTGGATGACATCAAATTGGGGCGATGAAGGTGGAGACTTGGACCCTCCGTTGCTTGTCATTTGCTTAATGAGGAATTTTATATAGAAGTATATACTAGAAGTATATAAAATGGATAGAATATAGACAGAATATAAACAGAATATAGATATGCAATAGATAAAATTACATTAAATGCGCGATTGAAGCTTTCTCGCTCGGTCCTTTGCAATATCGCACATACCCTACAAAAGTCAGTACATAAAACTATACCCTCCATAAGAGAACATTACCTGAATGGTCTCTTCAATCTCTTTTTCCACATTGGCACGGTCAATGCGTTGGCGCATTTCAACCATAATCACGTCCCGACTGCGCCCATTGACAAATGTACTATATATCTCAAGTCAATATTACAACTTGTACACAACGCAAGAAACGTGGACCTACACAAACCGCAACCCCGGAAACTTCTCCTCGTATTCCGCATTCAGTGCTCGTAATTTCTCAGCCTGTTCCTCTGCACCTTCATTCAATTGGGCCTGTTCCTTTTTGCTCAGCTCGCTCAGATGCTCCGGGTTGGCTGGGGCTCTGCCAAGACGCGGATGCGATCCCAGAATACCAAAGAGCACGTCTCGGTCGGTAGGTGAGTTTGGGGCTGAAAGTGCAGACATGCGACCCCCTACAGCATCGATGAGATTGGTGTATGAAGAGAAGGTCTGGTTGGCCAGCACAGGGATCATCAGTTGGTGGAGCTCTGGGGAGGGTTCGAAGAGGGTATCGAGCACCCGAAGCTGGGCCTCTTGGGGTAGGGAAGGGATCGTCGATAGAGGGGGAAGGTCGGTCATGGTGTAGGTTATTGTATATGAGGATGAATATGAATATGAAGGGGATTCATTGCAATTAAGTATGGGAGTACCTAGGTAGCAAGTAGATATCTGAGTTCCCGCTTTCGGAGGACGCCGAGGCGGAGAACAGCGGGAATACCTACTAGTACTATGTACCTACCTAGGTAGGTAGTAGGTAGAATTATGTATAGCTTCAAGTTATGTCTCTATGTCTCTACGTAACTATTGACTATTTGACTATTATATATAACTATTTATATTCTAGTGTGTTTCATATGTTTAATTTAGCCTATTTACTTCATACTTGACATACAACATACAACATCCACTATCATTCCACAAAATGTACACTACATGTACTTATAGAATTCAATAACTTCTAGACTTATTATAATAACTTTATAAACATTTGAAAGCAATTAAAGCAAAAAGCAATTGAAGATATTTTTAAATTGGGATAATCCAAGGTGGAGAACATGTTCCCCTGAGAAGTTCGCCTAAACCCAACTTTGTCATGAAACAGCCAAATCTGCCACTTTGGCCTTGATTGGGTGATCTTTAAGATCCGATCAACCTTTATCCTTTACCCGCTTTCTGGGGGGCCACTTTTTCATTCTCTTTCATTTACTTTCGGCTTTGCGCCTCCTTTATTATGCGGCTCACGCCATGTCTTTGAATGGGCTCGATAGTGCCCCCGTCGTGGAAGCCTACCAGAGTGCCCTGGCCGACGCGGGTGGGTGGTGAGTAACCCCCCTTTCGAACGTTACAACTCGTCCTCTGTACAGATACATAAATTGACATGTCCACTGACACCCCTATGTTTCAGGTTTCTACTACACTATGTTGCCAGAGATGAAGTTGCCCTCCACGAACGAGGCAACGGCGGGGTGCCCGAAATCCGGAATGCCATTGACGGCTACGAGGAATGCTCGCCGCTCTATGGCTTCCTTCAATACCGGCGCAGAAAAGTGATCATCCGCTACATGCCGGAGGGGTTGTCTCGGCTCATACTAGGTATGCCCATCCACGCCTTTGCATGCATTGGTCTAGTCTAACCTGTCCCCAGCCCGAAGCAATGTCCAATTCCAGTCCGTGACCGATAAGTTCAGCCCAAACGACACCGTACTTCCTCTGTCGAAAGCCTCCGATCTCACCGAAAGCGCCTTGTCCTCCGCGTGTCTCCTTCATACCGCTTCGACTTCGATCACCTCTTCTTCAAGTTCTCTTCGACGCCGCCGGCTGATGGAAATCACGGAAGATGCCGAGGAAAATGGCACAAAGGATGAAGATCCGAAACCAGTCCCACCTCCCCAGTCGGAGGCCCGCCGTACTCCAAGGAGCGTCAAGTCGGAAGCTACCCTAGTGCCGTCGCCCATTGAACCCCCCGTGGAACCGGAACTACCTCCAACATCACCAGAAAGCGAAAAAGCGTCAGTCGACCTTATGCCACCCCCGTCCCGGGCGAGCTCCAGAGCCACAATCTCTCGGGGGGAGTCCCATCGAACCACAATCAGCAACGATGTCCCCCAAGTCCGTAAAATCAACTCGTTCTCGCTCCAGTTCTAGGTACCGGGCTATCTTGGATGAATTCCCCCGTCCTTCAGAAGAGGCCCGGTTGTCCACACAATCCTCCCGCCCCTCAATTCGAGATTTGGAACGGGCTGCGGGATACACCCCAAAGGTTAAGCTGGGACCTCGGCCGTCCGTAGATAGCAGTGGAAGACCCCGCACAGCAGGCAGTACTCGAAATGCAGACCAACGCCCTGTTGCGTCCCTGCCGACGAATATGCGATCTTCTTCCGTGCGGAAGCAAAACGGTGATGCGCCCCGCCCTCGATCTCAGGGGAGCACTTTCGCAACCAAACCCACTAGTCGTGTGCCGCCAGTCCCACCTTTGCTGGTCCCACCCCCTTCTATTCCTATTTCGAGACCTCAACTTTCCCCTGGGGCCAAATCTCTTGGAGCATTGTCGACCTCCTCGGGATTGACCCCTGAGAAAGAACGTTTGATGAAGGCTCTGCAGCAAAGAAGGAAGAATATGGCCAAGCGTGCGGAGGAAACGAAGATGAAGCAGGTCTCTGAGGAAAGGGAGCTCAAACCAGTTAAGGATATTGCCGAGGATCCGGATGACGATAAAGAGAATCTCATTCAGATCCACTATCCTGATTCTGAGATGCTGCTGTCGGAGCCTGAGACAATTCAACAAGACCAACCGGAGTTACCTTCGGCCAATTCAGTGCCTCCTGAGCCCGCCCCTGAGCTTGTTCCCGAGTCTAGACTTGAACCCGCCTTCGAACCCGTTCATGATCCCATTCCTGAACTTGCCCCCGAACCCGTTCCTGAGACCACTGTTGACTCCGCTCCTGAGCCTGCCGTCGAGGCAGTTGCTGAGCAAATTCCTGAACTTGCTTCTGAGCCTGCTGGTCCAACTTCCGAAGCTGTCCTCGAACCAGTAGCCGACCCGATTGTCGAGTCTGCTGTGACACTTGAGCCAGAGCAGCATTCTGAGCCCCTTGAGACTGAATCAGAGCCGATCTCTGATCCTTCTCCTGCCAAAGCTGAGGATATGCCATCCTTACCTGCGGGAATAAGTGCTACACCTTCAGAGACTGTCAAGGCAGGAACACTGCAGCCACCCCCTGAGGATGAGACACGCACTGAGCACGAGGACTCCGCAATCCCTGCTGTCGCCCCACCTACCTTTAATCCTGACGCTCCACTTCAAAATGAGCCTTCGGATGCCCCCCGACCTGATTCAGAGGGCGTCCCCGGAACACAATCAGAAATTTCCCCAGTTGCACATGTGCCAACTGACGAGCCTTCTGAGGTACCTATCTCAGCAGAGGTTCTTCAGGCGGTTCCCCTCCCCTCCGCCCCCTCTATTACCCCTCCAGAGAGCACCGGCACGGAAACCCCAACCGCCCCCGCTCTTGTTTCAGGCGAGCAGGACGAGGCGACTCCTGATCACCCAATTCCCAAGAAAGCCGAGCCTCTTACCCTGGATCAGCGGCGCAAGATCCGCCTGGAGCCTATTCAAGTGCCTACCGTGGAGTTCTCGGACGACGACAACCTCCTTTCCGACGATTCATTCATGGAGGAATTGACCTCAGCTACTGTCCAAGAGGCCAGACCGGTATCTGTGAAATCTCCCAACGGCGCCGATCACGCCTGGAGGAATTCACGTGCCGTCTCGAGCCCGTTCTCTATGGGATCGTCATCGGGTATGCAAAATCTCGCCGTTGGCCGGTCCATTTCTAGTTCTCACGCTGAAAATGGCCCGCCTACACCGGTACTCATGGCCAAGAAGATCAACGTCTCCTCTGGAATTTCCAGTCGTATCAAGGCTCTTGAAAAGTTTTCGAGCCGCGAAGGCACTCCCTCGGGTGCGAGTCCGGCTATCAGTGGGCCATCAGCCTCCTCGTCTTTCGAGAACCTTCGCAAACGCGCATCTACCTCGGTGCCCAGTGGGAACCATGAAAGCACACCATCCAGTACGATGCATTCTGCTCACGTCCCCGACGGCTTTTCCCGTGCGCCGAGCTTGAGTCGGCACAACCGTCAGGTGTCTGTGGATGCTACACGCCCTGCCAACTCTGTTTCCGTGACGGCCCGGATCGTGCGCGATGCAGATATCTCTCCCGGGTCTTCTGGAGTCGAGCCCTCGGAGTCCGATGTTGTCAAACTCCAGGCTAGCCCTTTGACTGTGGAGCATGAGACAGCTGAGGCACCACTCCCTCAGGTCTCGCCCATTGAGCCTGCCAGCCGTTCCCAGGACCGAAGCACGTCAATTTCATCTACAACGTCTAGTCGCCAAGCGACGTCTCGCCCTGACAGCCATCTCGGAAGCCGCCCCTCTCTCCCCTCGCGCTCTAGGACTGACGACAGCGTTCAATCCGCCTCTTCCACATCTGAAGATAAGAAAATATCTCGGACCTCGCGACTCATGCGCCGCGTGTCATCGATCACATCCAACTCACGCCGGAGCATTATTGGAGCCCTTAGCTCACCAGTCAAGGAAGAGGAGGATGTTCCCACCACAAATGGGTCTAGTAAGGCTCTGGGATCTGGTAGCTCGCGTACTTCTGAGCCCGTTGACATTGGCGAGGTGAACGTCCAGTTCCCAGAAACTCTACTATGGAAACGTCGGGTCATGCGCATCGATGAAGAGGGATACGTTGTTCTCACACCTAGCACCAATGATGCCACCACCCGGAACATGACTAAACGCTACCATCTCAGCGAGTTCCGCACTCCTTGTCTTCCTGATGAAGACATGCAGGAACTGCCCAACAGCATCTTGCTCGATTTCTTGGATGGAAATACGCTCCAATGTGCTTGTGAATCTAGACAGGGACAAGCTTCTGCTCTTCAGAGTAAGTATCCATTGCATTTTCCTCATTGGAGAATTAGCAGCTAATTATCTACAGCTCTCGTCGAGGCTCACAGTGCCTACCAGCAATAGTCCTCAAATTTGGTCAGAGACAGGACTCACGCCGATAGATAGTCCTGTCTTCCCTTTTCATTCTCTTCTGGCCTTCATCGCCCACCTTTTCTTTGCCTTTCCCAACTACAAGCATCTTGCTGAACCTCCTTCGACATCTATTTCTTATCTCTTCTACAATCCTCTCTGTATCCCTATATCTTTTCTCTCTCTTACCTCTCAATTTGGTGCGTATGTGTTGTGATATATGTGGCGTGTTCTTGGTATACCCCTCCGAGTCAAAAGAGCTTCTCTTTCCCTTTCTTTTCCTTTCCCCCTTTCCCAATACCAATCTACTGTTCTTCGCCATGTACAGACAGACAGTATTTCTTTGCCCCTCCTTTTGCTTGCTTTTCTTAATTGACCTTGTCCTTGCATACACACTCCATGTCCTCGGATCGAGTGTTGGTGTTCTACTCAATGCACTGTGTTCTCTTCTCTTGATTTCTAGAAGTTCTATATTGTAATCTTTCTTCTGGTTGCTGTCTTCGTGCGTACTAAAGTTGAACGGCGTACCTGAAAAGATTATTTGATTCTCTATTCTATTCTAGCCAAGAGGATGGAGGAAAACGGATAGAGAATATATCTCAATTGTGCTATTTCAAGCTCCATGGGCTTCTACCTACTTTGGGCGGGGGTATCAAGTGGAAGAAATAAAAAGCCCAATTTGAAAGAATCATCAGCAAAGCGTAGTGTCCATCAAACCTCTAGGGCTGCTGTGCATATCTAGCAAATTCGTTCCGTAGGAGATCTGTATCCTTCGAACACCCAGCAACTGTTTTTCCAGCGGCGTTGAGTAAAGCTTGAAAGGTGCGGGTATCTGTCGGTAGAGAGAATCGTTAGGCTGGGTGTTCTTGACATCTGCGAAAAGGTAACTTGGTAACATACCCGAGAGGAGAGCTCTCTAAGTGTGTGGCGCTGTGTTCCAATCCCTTCACCTGGCTCCATTGTGTTGTAATCATCAAAATCCAGGGATGTAAGGTTCTGATTGTTCAACCGTGTTTCCGATTTCAGTTTCGATTTCCGATGAATGTCGTGGCACATAACGATCGTTAATCTCAGGATGAACAGATCAGACGTAGCCATTCGCAAGGTCTTCAAGCTCCTGATCTTCATCATCCTCTTCGTCCTCGTCGTTCTGCTCTTCTAATCCCTCGGTCTCTGGAATGGATGTCTGTTCATCCGGGGGATGATCACCGTTCTGAGCCGTGCCATTTTCTTTACCTGAAGAATAGAACTCCGGGAATGCAGTGCGCATTTGCACCACATGTGCATCAATGACGTATTGCATGAGGTTGTTGACGGGGAAGGAAGAATGCATGCGTTTCTCTGATTCCATCAGCTCGACCTTCATCTGCGTCTCCCACTCGTGCTCTCCGGCATGGTCTCCAATAAGCTTCTTGCGCTCGATTCTATCGGTGGTCGAAATCACCTTCTCGCATCCGGGCATGCGGCATGTCCAGGTAGCGGATGTCTCGTCGGTGGGTTCTTCAATTTCCTGTGACGTATCTGGAGTTTGATCTCGCTCTGGAGTCGGAATTTGACGCGATGGCGACGAAGATAGGGGATGAGACGAGAGGGACTGGGGTTTGTCTTTTTTGATATTGTCCTTGAACAGGCTCTTCATAAGAGAGGAGCCGGGGCCGCTCGAAGAGGCGGACAAGAACGAGCGAGTCCGAGGCTTTGTAGCTGAGAATGGATCTCTGATTAATTCATGGCCGCGGGTTTTGCTGGGTGTTTCGATCTCCATATCGTCCATATCGTCGATTCCATCGGGGTCCTCTTGGTCTTCCTCGTTGTTGGATTCGACCGTCTGCTGGTTTGTAGAAGCATTGCGGTTTCGCTTGCCTGTGACTTTATTGGAGACTGTGTGGACTTTTGGACGTAGCACAGACTTCTGAGTCCGGCCGTACCGCTCATCGTCGCTGGAGTCTTCCTGCGAATCCAGGGGGGTTAGGAGTGCAGCTGGTAGAGGGGCTGACTGCGTGGATGCATGTGTGAGTTCCCTATGGATGACATAGCGAGGCCACCTAAAGTCCTCTTCATCCATCATTTCCAGCACAGCGTCTGCCCTGATGGCAATAATTTTCTGGGCATCTTCCTTGCTAAAAGAGAACCGTTCTGCCAAACGTTCTCCTAGGAGGTCAATATGCAAGCGACGCTTTGCCAAGTGACCTTCTTCTCTGAGGTCCTTGAGCAACTGATAGATGGCATCGGCTTGTGATTTTGAGATTGCTGCAGGCTGATGTCGAGGAGTCACCACTTCTGGTTCGTCTTGGGGTTCACTTTCGCTTTCCTCGGAGGGCGAAAGCTCCTCTATCAGCCTATTGTAGTCATCCTAGACTTGTTGTCAGTATGCACGTAGGTTATTGTAAACAAGGTTGCTTCTTTACTTACGTTAAATTGGCGACGCAGATGGACGAAGACATTTGTCTTCTTCCATTCCACATCTGCATCGCCTTGGATCATGCAGCGAAGCAAAAAGGTAGCGTGTGTCGCAAAGACCTCAGCTGACTGTTCTCGGGTCTCACATGAGCCATATGTGTGGTAGGTGTACTGAGGGTGGATGAATATTAGGCCTTTTGTATAGCGCATTATCCAAAATTGAAAGACTCACTTGTTCACAGAGACTCCTAAAAGAGGGATTGATCTGTCTCTTTCCCTGCTGATGCTTATCGACCAGGAAATACAGCAAGTCAATGGCCTGGACCATGCGATTGTATGTGGGTGTGAAACCCTTGGCGGGCGAAATGATGTCGTACCAGCCCGCCTTACCAGCAACCCAGAGCTCAATACTCTTATCTTCAGTCTGACCGTAGGCATAGTGTGTGACTTCGTCAATAATAATGCGCTTAGGGGGGGTTATCCGGGTTGAGCACTGGTGAGCGAATGACTGGTCAGCTAGCTGCTTGATAAACGCGCATTGATAACGAGCTTGTAACTGCAACGATACACACCTAAGTGTTCCTGGTCCTCACGAAGCGGCTCTAAGCAGCCGATCACCTGCACTGGGTTCTGTTCTGTGGCGTCCAGTAGATTGGCATAGAGCATCTTCCCGGGCTTTAGGACCTTCACATCGGTAAGACCGAACTCCCACCAATCGTTCTCATCAGTGATAGAGGGATCGGTGGGAGCTAGGACGGTTTCTTCGCGGGATGTCATGGTGGCATTGGCATGGTGGGTGTCGATGATAATGTATGTAGAAGTGTTGATAGGGAAGTGAGATAAGTAACTGAGGATATGAGAACGAGACGAAGGTGACTGGGAATCTGTTGTCAACAGTCGAGGTCATCGATCAGTAAATTACAGATACAACGAGTTACCGGCAATTCATTACGTCGGGTGTATCTGCCTGATTTATCGGGAATGTATATGTTTATACATCACGTGTAGACTGCATAATTACATAAGATGAAATTTAAGGTTACAGTGGTCCACGGGTCCACGGGTGAGATCTAAACTAAACTCCGATCTGGATATTCGGATTCTACCTAGGTACCTAAGTAAGAGGCTACCAGCATATGTACATTTGTAATGCACTTACATATCTATGTACTGATACGTACCAGAATGCTGCATGTTAATCTGGCAGGACACTGCTAGGCACGCCACTTCTAGAGGACAGATCTCGGTTGCAAGGTTGGAGCCGCTATATGAAGTTTGTTGAGGCATGACGGAGCCCATCCCACCTTTCAAGAGGTGGGTAAAGTATCTTCATAGGGTTCTGGGGTTGTGTGCAGGGTGGAGATCCCATATGGAAGAGCTATATGATGATTAAGGGCCGTCGAGACCCATGGATGTGTACTAAATCTCGGTGCGAGACGCGGGTAACCCTTTCTGAGAGTTACCTCAATTCATGTTTCTCGGGTATCACCTAAAAATTCGACCGAAATATTCCCTCTTAAGGGTTGGAGGGGTTGTCGACACTGGTGTAGAGTTTTAGGGCCCATCTATTTTTCTTTTCGAGGGCTTGGCTGTCTGATCTCTTAGCCCACAAAATTGACTAGTAGGGTATTATCTTCTGAAATGGATGGTAGTCAATCCTTAGATCTAGTCCGAGTTAGGAGGGGATTTCTTAACTATGTTCGAGAACGGTACCATGACGAATGATATAAGTTTAGGCGCTAATAATATTCTTGCCGGTGTCGCATTGAGAATGAAAAAGTCAATGGTCCATGTTTCAATCTCAGAATTTCTAGTAATGTCATATGCATCGGTTGAGGACCAAGCATCGGTGGTTGTTAACTGGCCCTGGCTACTGCACTCTAACAGCCGCGGAACGTGTTGGCTGGCCACAGCTACCGGGTGAAGCTTATGCATTTATTTATTGTACAAATCAGAATATTCCATCGCTGCAAGAAATCCATGGATGAACCTCGAGCTAATGTAATGTAGCATAGTATAGTATGGCAGGGTGTAGGGCTTTTTGAAACCATCATGACGGTGGACAGTGGGGTCTTGAAGTGCCCTAATAATAAGTAGGAGTTCAGTTATCATCTCGGCTTTCAAATTATTTTTGTTATATTTCTCTCTGCTATGAGAAGAACTAGAACCTACAAGGATATCAAAAAACATCAAAGATGCCTTAACAATGTCTTCAGATTGCACTTGAAAAGGAGAATAATATTACCGAGGCCTTTCATTTATATAGTACCGTAATATCTGTAGATATCTCTTGTTAATGGTTTATAAACCTGTATATCAATTGTATTAGAATGGTCCCAAAGAACTGCCGTAAAGGCGGGAGCCGAATCTCTACAAAATAACATTTTTTCCATCTAGGATTGCCTCCCATCTCTCCAGATGCCATTCCCTCCAGGTTTTCGCCTTTTTCGTAAAACAATGTCTGGCGAGAAGATCCTCGAAGGCGTATTCGGTGAGCTTAAGTTGTGCTAAAGCAAAGACTTCGATCTAACTTCTCCGATAGCCGTCCACAAGCCCCAGGGCGTTACCTCCGCCGACGTGATCCGCACTCTGCAGAAACACTTCAACCCATCCAAGACATTCAAACCATGGTTAGAAGAAGAACGCGCACGCCGCGACCGTGAGAGTAAATTCCAGCGCAAACGCCGTCGCCACCGACGCCTCGAAGTCAAGATCGGCCACGGCGGAACCTTGGACCCGCTCGCGACAGGCGTGCTCATCACCGGAATCGGCAAGGGCACAAAGTCCCTCCAGGACTTCCTGGCCTGCACCAAAAGCTACGAAACCATTGTGACCTTCGGCGCGGAGACGGACACCTACGACCGCCTAGGAAAAATCGTGCGCCGCGCGCCCTACGAACATGTGACGCGCGAAGCAGTCGAGAAGGCTCTCGAACAATTCCGCGGGAACATCATGCAGAAGCCGCCCATCTTCTCTGCTTTGCGCGTAAATGGAAAGAAGCTGTATGAGTATGCGCGCGAGGGCAAGGTGCCGCCAGTTGAGATCCAGCACCGGCCCGTTGAGGTATTGAACATGGAGGTTGTGGAGTGGTACGAGCCCGGCACGCACGAGTATAAATGGCCCGAGGAGGAGATGACTGGTGATGAAAAGGCTGTCGCTGAGCAGCTTCTTGATCAGGAAGCCTCTGTGCCTGCGCCATCCGCCGAGGGTGACGCTACGACCAAAGTGCCCGAAGCTTCTTCTACCAAGCGCAAGTCACCACCCCCGGCGGATGAGGTGAAGGATGATGGCGCGGAGGCTGCTAAGAAGCAAAAGGTGTCGGAGACCGAGGAGACCGAGGCCGCGCCTGCAGCACCTGAGCCTACTGCCCCCGAACCTGCAACCGCAGAGGTCCCTGCTGTACCTGCAGAGGATCCCAAGCCCCAGCCTCCGGCAGTTAAGATCAAGATGACTGTCACGTCGGGCTTCTATGTCCGCTCACTGGCGCATGATCTGGGCAAAGCTGTTGGTAGCTGTGCTCTGATGAGCGAGCTGGTGCGTAGTCGTCAAGGTGACTATGAACTCTCCCCTGACAGGGTTCTGGAATACGAGGACCTTGACGCCGGCGAAGAGGTCTGGGGACCGAAGGTGGAGAAGTTCTTGACAGAGTGGGAGGAGAAGAGAGCAGCCAAAGCTGAAGCTGAAGCAGCCCAATAGACTATAGTGCCTATAAAATGATATAGCATTTGTATATAGACTTGCTATCTGTAATATCAACTCTTATTGTATAATATCCCGCCTTTTATCCGTAAGATACTTCAGTGTGTAGCATATAATACCTACAACTCGCAACTTTTCGTTCTTTTAAGCTCACCTCTTGTCGCTTGTATAATCCGGCTATAACTACAAAGTCTCACATTGGCATGTCAAAGAGATAATAAATCAAAACTGCCATTTTTTGGTTATCCAGACCCAAGCGAGAAAAAATAATTACATGATGCACGATACAAATGCAATGTGACAACATAACCCATCACGTTAAAACGATTAGTTGCGTCCCTTGGCTTGGACTCTCTTGCTCTTGCCGGGTCGCTTTGCGCCAGCCTTCATCTTCTTAGCGGAGAAGTTGCTCAGGTCACCGCTGGACTTGGCATCACCGCTCTTAGCATGGCGCTTCTTGCCTCCGAATCCGAACTTGGCATCCTTCTTCTGGCGCTTCGAGTTACCGGGACCATCACCACGGCTACGCTTCTTCTCGGGCTGGCTAGCCTCGTCAATGGCAATGTCGAACATATCATTGGAGTCGTCGGTAGGGGCAGAGCCGTCAGCCTTGCGCTCTGTGTGGGAAAATCAGGTTAGCGACTGCAAGATTCACAAAGATATCAAGAGCAAAAGAAAGTGAAAACATACTCTTCTTCAAGGTGTTGATCTTCTCCAACATCTCACGCTTCTCCTTGTGTCTCTGCTGCAACTTGGAGTTCTGGACCTGCTTGCCGAACTTCTTCAGATCACGCTGGCGGCGCGCCTCAGCAGAAGCCTTCTTTGAGGCAGCCTCTTCGTAAAGCTTCTTCTTGATCAAGTTCATGTGCTCGTCGTTCTTCACCATCTCCGCGAAGTAATCGCCCGGCCGCGTGAAGGGAATGCCCTCCTTCTTCAGCAGACCACGGGCCTGTGTAGCAGCAGCCTGGCAGACCTTGTAGAAGGCCAATTCACGGTTCAGATCGTCATGGACGTCTTCGATCTCGATGGGCTCTTTCGAGACTAGGGAGTTGTGCTCTGAGAATGGAGTGTTGGGGCCGATGAAGGAAATGCGCTTGAGGGCGGAGAGGATAGCGGCAGAGTTGTTGATCGTCAAACGCTGGTGAGGAACCACATCCTCGCGCTCATCTTCTTCGAGATCGGAGAGTGGGATATCTTCTTCCTCTTCCTCTTCCTCTTCCTCCTCATCTTCCATCTCCTCGTCCTGGTCGACCTCTTCCTCTTCTTCCTTCTCCTCCTTCTCCTCCTCAATGATCTTGTCCTCGGGGGCGGCAACAGCAGCCTTCTTAGCCTTCTTCTTTTCGGCGGCCTTGATCAATTTCTTCTGCTTCTCGGCGTCGAAATCGCGGCCCTTGTGGGCATCGAGAGCCTGGAGTAACTTGCTGCGCTTTACCATTGTGGGTTTGTGTTAAAATACAAAGAGAAAATTGTATTTTGTGTGAAGTGAAAGGAATTGAAAAGAGGAAAGCAACTTGGTATCAAACCCGCATCAGAGAATCCACGGGATTTTTTTGAAATTGCGCCAGTCCTGATCGGGCTAGCGCCGCCGATAAGACTACGCTAGTCCACACATAGCAATATCCCGGAAATACATATGACCCGACCTCTTATCAGTCCACCGCCCTGTCAACCGTCTCCTGTCTGATACTCCAAACAGTCTGTACAGCGAGTGCATAGTCTCACAATGGTCGATGATTCCAAGTCTCCTTCTCCAGACAAGCTAGAGAGCTCACCACCTGAGGGCGAGTCTCTTCTATCACAACCGGTATATACCTTCTGCGAACTCCGAACCCCACTTATTGCTCTTACTAAATAAAGCCCTCAGAACTCTGATGCCCAAGGCCAGCTCGCTGCAGCTGTGGATGATCTGCTCAATGAACTCCAATCCAAATTTGATAAAGTCTCTACGGAGATGTTTGGGAAACGTGAGTCCATGCTACAATATCCTCTACCATCGATGCCGACACATCTTCATACTTGCGACTGCGAACTAACCTATGTGTATATGCAGTGGATGACATGACCAAGCGCCTTGATGAGCTAGAGGCATCTCTAGCTGCATCCTCGGGGGTGGTGCCCCAAGTCCGGCAACATAAATGAACACGCTTTGCCCATAATCTGAATTTGGGCATTGTTTTTCGCATGGCGTTTTTGGAAAGAGCGCAATAAGCTGCATTTTTTTGGGCTGTCCAGCTCTGCTGAACCCCTGTACCAATAGCCAAACACATACTTTATTTATGGCATACATGATGCTTTCTGGGGTGTGCATTGACCGGCCATGTAACTGGCCTGTGTCTGGTTCTGATACTTATGCTTTTACGATTTCATAGATACCCTACAATCAAACGAGGATGCTCGTACTGAAGAAGTGTGTTTCTTTATTCACTTGCATATGCAAGATCTAGTTCATCTATCACATAGACATTTTTGAAAGGGTAAGCCTCAAAGTTGGTACTCAATTCGTACAATATACAGCATCAAGCCAATATTTTCGTATACAATTCAATACATTTCCGTCGACCTCATGCTTTCTAGGAGTCACTGTCCTCAATCTAGAATCACAGTGACTAGAGCCTTAAGCCAAAATCCAAGAGGGAAAAATACAAACATCCAAAAATAATAATGACGAGAACTTAAAGCTCATCGTGCTTCTCCTCGCCAACAAAGCGACGGAGAATGTTGCTGCGAGAGAGAATGTCATCCAACTTCTCGGGGCCGAGTTACCCTTGGCCAGGACCTTCTGGAGGCGAGTGAGCTCCTTGGCAGCATAGCCCTCGTTCTTGCTCAGCTTATCCGCGGCCTTGACATAGTACTCAGCGTACTTGTCCTGCAGACCCTCGGCGGCCTTCTTAACCTCAGCGACCAGGTTGTCAAACTTCTGCGCCGCGACGTTCTTGGTAACGATTTCGTCCAGAACGGCGATGGTGCCTGCCAAGCTGTCAAGACCGCCACCGACGGCACGGTGGGTACCAGCCTTCTCGTTGACGAACTTAACAAAGGCCTCCTCGGAGCGTGCGCCGGAGTACGTCTCGGCCTCGGTGGAGCCCTTGGGGAAGAACTTGATGGTAGGGAATCCGGTGATACCCTGTTCCTTGGACAAGGCACGGGAATTCTCAGCTTCGGCGTCGACCTTGGCAATAACAACGTTGGGCTCGAGGGCGAAGTCCTTAGCGAGGGTTTCCCAGGTAGGAGCGAGGGTCTTGCAGTCTGGACAAAGGACGAATAATTAGTAAAAAAGAAACCATGCCACCTCGGCCAAACCAGTAGACCAGAGGCGGTTCAATTAGGGAATCAACTCACGTCCACACCACGGCGCGGTGAAAGCGACCAGCACATCCTTATCGCCACCAACAACGGTCTTGAAAGAAGCGTCGTTCAGCATCTCAACCTTGCTAGCCTCCTTCTGCGCGCTACGAGGCTTGATTCCGGTCTTCTCGGTGATGAAGGCGGACAGGCTCTCGAGATCACGACCGCCCTTGTACTCCTCAGGCTTATCGCTCTTTCCATCGAACCACTTGACAGTAGGGAAGCCCTGGATACCGAAGCGCTTGCCCAACGAGCGGTTCTCGTCGGCGTCAACCTTGGCGATGGTGACCTTGTCTTCGGCGAAGGCGAAAGTCTGCCCGAGCTCTTCGTAAATTGGGGCGAGGGTCTTGCAGTGGCCACACCAGGGGGCGAAGAATTCGACCAGCGCGGGCTTGCCGGTCAGGACGACATCGTCGAAGTTGGATGGGAGTAGGTCTTTCACTGCGGAGTTGCTTGCAGTGGCGACGCCGCTGAGGGCTGAGAGGGCTCCAAGGAGCAGGAAGCTTAAGCGTGCCATTGTGTATAGGGATATGGGTGTGAGTGTACTCTTGGGGAAAGTATGAGTTCACAATAAATCGGGGTGACGGAGTTAAAGCTCCGGAGGCGATGACAAACAAAGCCGAAGAGGCCACTTGGTGACTCCACCGCTCCGCAGATCATCCATCTACTTTCAAGGTTGACATCTACTCATCTTCTATGTTCTGTTTTTTATGTTGTAGCTATTCTGCTCTAGGGTAATATCGAACTTCTTGTTCATTTTCTTGATTTTTTTTTCCCTTGTGTCTGTTGCTACCTGGGTAGTTAGTAATACACTGGAGAATCTGGTATCGCATGTCCTTCGGCAACATCGGAGCTGTTGGCATAAACTTCAATTCCAAGCTGTGCTTGTTAACCCAGAATCCCCGTGGTGGTTGGTCAGTGTCGTTGGCAGAGCTTGTCCATATCATCGTCTCTCTGCCAGCCATTTGTTTGCATCTTCCCAGAACTTGGCTTCCTTGAACTCCTTGCCCGTGCTCTGTGTGCCTGCGTAGACCTGTTTTGAAAGTCAGCTTTTCGTCAACATTCAACACGAGGCAATACGAACCGCATCCCACAGCTTGAATGCCAACTCCAGGTTTCCAATAAAGCTCTCGCTGTGTTGGAACCATTCCTTGCCCTTCGCCTTCACATCCGCGCGAGCCTCGGGCGATGTCGGATTTGCTTGTAGAGGTAGGTCGTCGAGGTAAGTCCGGACCGCAATTCCGAGTCCACAGTCGTTATCATCAATAAACGGAAGCCTAGGAGAATAGGTTAGAACGCTAATCCAGATCCAGCATAGCTAGTCTAGGAAGAACATACTTGATAGCCATCTCGGTCCAGTCGTTGCGGTCCCGGTCAGCGTCACCACTGAGCAGCAGACCAGCCAGTACCACCTCGACCAGATTCCTCAGTGCAGAGCGCACCTGGGAAATCAAAGAGCGGTAGCAAAGGAGTTGACGGCTCAGAGGTCCAGAGTATCCAATGCTCTTGTGCTGAAGCTTGGCAACGCATGCAACACGCGAAACCAGCATATTGAAGGTCTTGTCGTCTTCTGACCCTCGCATGGGACCACCAGATACATGTGAAAACCAGTTCTTGGTGTTGAGGAGACCCAAGCGGATCATCTCAATAGCAACGAATATAGATTCCTCGAGGTTGTCCGCGGGCTCGATACCTGATAGTGCCTGCACTAGACACTGGCCCCACGGAGTGAGCTTGTGCTTGTCGTCCACGTATCCACGAAGTTGCAGGAAGCGCCACATAACATTAGATAAGATGTCCTCCTGTGATGAAAGGGCCTTTGGGAGCTGTCAGTTATTGAAAGCAACGTCAAATCTATGAGTAAACTTACAGGTGTTTCTCTATTAGCAAATGACTTGGATGTAAAGTCGGAGTCGCTTAAGCTCTGGACAGCAAACTTGAAGGATCCGCGAGGCGCCTGAAGCTTCTTGATACTTTCAGGGAATTGGTCTCCGTGGATCTTCCAGGAATGGATGGTTTCCTTGACTGACGGGATGCCCTTGAGGTTGATCGTCCTCTCTGAGTTCTCATCGAACCACGGGCGAATCCGAATGACTTTGGTTTGGTAGAATCGATGAAGCGAGTTCGCTAGAAGGCAAATAGACTGAGTGCGAAGGGGTGTCAAGATGTCACCCACGAGTTGGCGGTAAATCTCGGTGTCTTCGGTACCCAGCGGTAACGGGATGCGAACCTCGCCAGTTGTGAGGAAGTTGGGTACGTCAGCTCCAATAATACCTTTAGAGAGATAGAAGTACAGCTCCTCTGGGAGGCGCTGCCCAATAAGCTCATGCATATCCGATGAGGTATTCTCTGGATCCATAGGACCGACTCGACCTTCCACGTCAATGTAGACATGGTGCTTGACAATCATATACGCTCGCTTATACAGATCTGCGTATTGAAGCTCCTGCATACGGCGATCCTCTTCAAACTGGGCACACAGTGTCAATGCACTGCGTCCAGCTGCGTTGAACATCGGCAGCGCATCACGAATGGTGGGGCTTTTCCCGGGTAAGCAGGGTTCTCAAAAAGTGGGAGGGAGCGCAAGAAGGGGGAACCCAGTAGTAAACAAAATTCCAGAAATTGTTCATTTGAAAGTCGACCCAGTTCCTCTTGGCATGTTTGCTTCGTGATCCAGAAGAATTGCGCGGGCTCGATGTCGATACGGGTGACCAGCTTGTCAATGTCAAACAAGAGGGCTTCGGAGGGGGCAAAAACGGCATCGACCACGGGATTGCTACCACGGGCGAGATAAGAGAGCTGTACAGAGAAACTAGTTAGCACCTAATAATCCAATCATGGCGCATAGGGTAGCCACTCACCTGAGCCGCGGCACTGTATGGCGCTACGATGAATTCCACTCCGTTCTGGGTCAAAATACGTTGCAGGTACTTGAAGAGGGTCTCCGGGGGCGGGGTGCCTGAGGGGTTGGTTGTGTCAGCGCTTGTTGGGAAGCTTCGCTGGGCCCAATGATAATGGTAAAAGCTCCACGGGTCCGTCACTGGGGAAAGATTGAAATAAGGATAGTGAGTGGTCATACCAGCACTGCTGAAGGCATCGACCACCTGGTCAGCCTGTTGCTGGTCGTAAAGTTCCCAAGCTTGTTCGAATGAGCGCGACGATGCGGGCTGGGTACGGTGCTCTTTCTTGCCGAATTCCAATCCATTGAAGACGAAGATCGTGGCAACGCCAAGGTTGCTGAAAGTCTGCAATTCCTTCTCGATACTAGCCCTCAAGGCGAACGGGAATCCGCCTAGTGCGCCCAAGAGCGCTTCCCGGGTTGACTGGTTCACGAGGTGTTGGTTGATGTAGTGCGCCGCATCGATGCCAACAACGGCACCCTTCAGTGCTGAGAGGGGTAGGGACTGGGTACGGCCAACGGCCCATTCATCAAGAGGACGGACTAGTCATGGAGATATGAGGTTAGCTGATGCGATTGTGGATTGTGGAGCTGTGCTATTGCGTACTCGGCATGGTTCTGGAGCTGTCTGTCACGGGCTGAAAGCACGGCAACGCCGGGCATCAAAGCCCGAAGATGGGGGAACAAGAGGGTAAATCAAAGGTAAGAGCAGATCAAAAGCTCTGAGTCCAGGAATATGATGAATCGGAGCTGGGATTGTTTGGGTTATTGAAATGGGGGAGAGCGAGATCACGAGGGGGGGAAAGGCGGAGTTGGAGTTGGCCCTTTTGTTTTTTTGCCTTTAATATGTCACATCTTGGGATTTCGCTTGTTTCAACCACTTCTTGGAGGGTTTTGGTCTTCTATCTGATTTGTATTTGATTTAGCTATTCCATGTTCAGCTCCTGCCTGAACTCAGGTTCTTGTTTATCTATTCTCTATAGAAGAATGTACGATTTATAATGAAGTCATCTCCAAATATGTGTTTAAATAGAAACAGAGTAGTCCCACAAACCCACAAACCCACAATGTTATGGAGTATATAACAAAATTATGCAAATGTCTAGGGAATACTTACCTTTTTTGCTAAGGATGGTCAAGCATTCATCCATAGATTTAGAAGATCTAAATCAAGCACGTAGTGGTAGACATATGGTGAAGCGGGGGCAATGACACATTGGCGGGGTTCCAAGTCCATTCAGAGCTCGGAATTGACCCAAACTGACTGGGGCTATTAAACGACAAGTCTACCATGCCCCTTGAAGATACGCGACAATCAACTACATCATCCAGCTAATATCTACACTGGTTATGCAGAACGATATCCCTGGTTATGCAGAAGTTCTGTCTTCGCGGAGTACCTCCTCTGCTGAAGAAAATCTCCCGCTCCAACAACCCAGAGTAATATCACCCTGAAAGACATGAGACACATCAGGAAATTGCAAATTCCGAAATCGGGTTTCGACTTCAGCATCTGCAGCACGTCGCTGCTGCGCTCGCGTAAGGATTTGGATATCAGATGGAGCAATGTCCCGGAACTCAACAGGATAGAGTTCGGCATACGGGGCCTTCCCAGTAACAAGTTCAAACAAAGTAGAACCCAGAGCAAAAAGATCGGATAGTACTGTATTCGGTTGTGCATAGTCCCTTGGCAAACAATGGGTTGCCTTCTCATACCCAAGGGCAGGGTGCTCGGGGTACTGGGATGAGTTAAAATCACCTAGGCGTATTTTTAATTCATCATCGACGAAGTACTGGCGCAAGGCAAGGTCTGAGTGAATCACTCCATAACGATGAATAACTTCCACAGCCTCAATAAGTTGCCGGAACCATTTTGATTGAAGCTCAGCAGAAACCTCATTCTTCTGACAAAAGTCAGAGAGATCGCCTTTCGGATAGTACTTGATGTCAACAAAATCGGTCCTTCCCTGAGAAGTGCACTGAGCAATACGAGGGTGATCGTCCATCATTTTGTAGATAGTCGCCTCGCGTATGATGGATTCCATATCATCTTCGCTGTGACTGCGGGATGCTTTTCTGATGGTTTTACCGTCAACCAGGTAAACCTCAGCAAATACACTAATCGTAAGAAGCTTCTGATTGCTCGCTTGTTCAATGACTGGGCGATGTTCCAAGGTAGTTATCTGATATTTACTTTATGAATCAGTTAATGGAAAATATCACTGCTAGCTCCAATCACTAGGCTCACACCATGAGATTCCTCAGTAATTCGAGATTCATGGACTCGGGAGCCGACAAGGGTAGCCATTGTAAGGGCCAGTGACAAGAAAACTTTCTGCTGATGTCTAGGGAGGGCAACACCTAAGGACAAACAGCCCCAGGTTACGCTAAACCGCATTTAGTAATTCACTATCACTGAATACGCGATAGGCCCAATCACATGTGTATTAATAGTAGTTTCAAAGCCATCCTCAACTCTATATTTACTCTATATTTACTCCAACCTTGTTAAACCCTAACTTCAGATTCCTATCTACCTCAAAATGGCAGACACCACAGTTCCAATTGAGCTTCCTGTCATTGACATCTCTAATCCCCATGACCCCGCCGTGGGGAAGGCCATGCTGGATGCCGCTGCAAAGTATGGCTTTCTATATGTCAATAGCAAAGGAACCGATTTCACCACGGAGGATGTGGACCATGCATTCGGATTGGTAAGATTTGCACTTTGATTAATTGACAATTATGTGCACAGCATCTAACCATCCCTATAGTCAAAGAAGTTCTTTTTGTCTCCCGTACAGGAGAAGGAGACATGTCGGATCCAGCAGAATGTGTGTAACAATACTTGAATTCAAACGAACATATTCAATCTAACTCCGATATGCATAGAACCGTGGCTGGTCCGGAATGCATACAGAAACCCTCGACCCCAAGAACCAGCGGGTAAGTCATCACTCTAACTCGCCAGTTCCCAGGCATAGAGTACGAAGGCTAACGTTTGATATGGCAAATAGACGGGTGACTTCAAAGAGTATGAACCAATCATTCTCCAAACCTTGAAAGACTCCCAACCAGAACTAACCACCCAACTAGAGCCATGAACTTCGGCGACTTCAAAGACGGCAAAGCCCAGCAGCCTCTGCCACCGTCACTAAGCCCCCACGAAGCAGAGATCAACGGCTTCGCCGAGCTCTGCAACAAGACATGTACTCGAATCCTGACTTTGCTAGCCCTAGGCCTAGAGGTACGTAACCAACCCCATATCCAACCAACCAGATCTACACACCCACTTCCATCACCACTCTATCTATACGAATATATATACCAACAACCAACGCAGATCCAAGAAGACTTCTTCACAACCCGACACGACCCGAGCACAGGCTCGACAGGCAGCATCCTACGGTACCTGTACTACCCTTCGATCTTCTCGCCGTCAACAGCAGCCTACAAGCACGACAAGGACGTGCGAGCCGGCGCGCACTCCGACTACGGCAGCATAACGCTTCTGTTCCAGCGGCCCGGCCAGCCAGGACTAGAGATCTTGACTCCAGAGGGCAGCTGGGCGCCCGTGCCTATCGTGCCCGGGCCCGCAGCCGAGGCCGAGATGTATCCGTTCCCGCCTATTTTGGTGAATATCGGCGACTTGCTGAGTTATTGGACGGATGGGTTGTTGAAGTCAACTGTGCATCGTGTTGTCTTCCCGCTTGCTGAACAGCAGAGCCCGAATCCGCAGGATCGGTATACGCTCGTTTATTTCTGTCATCCTGTTGATCACACGGAGCTGGTGCCTGTTCCTAGTGGAATTGTTGCTGCGCATCGGGAGCGGTCTGGGGGTGTTCCTGCTGATGGGAGGGTTGGGTTTGGAGGTGGTGCGGGGAATTTGGTGCCTGGGAAGAGGCCTTTGACAGCACATGAACATCTTATGTCAAGATTGGAGGCTACGTATGGGTTTACTAAGGATGAGTGAAGGTGAGGTGGTGCTCTGCCAAGCCTGAATTACCGACTACATGTAGCTTACGAGTCATTGAGTAGATGTGAACAGCTGTTCGTGAGACTGGGAATAAATCGTAAAACGCCGGGCCCTTGTGGCATAGTGCAAACACAAAAAAAAAAGACAGGTCCTCCGGACATAAATCAGAATCATAGATGGGAAGCGCACCAGAATGAAATGCTCCAGATGACCATAACACGGCCCAAGTTGTCGGCAATGATGATCTATTGACATAGGAAACTCGTGGCAGCGCAATTAGTTATGAGAGAAAACATAATGGGCCGAGGAAAAAAAAGTAAAACAGAATAAAAGGCAAAGGGAATATTGCCTCTGACGAGGAGGTAGAGTGAGATATACAGTCATGAGAAATGGTCAAATGTGGATATGAGCAATGGAAAAAGGGCTCGCAAATGATAGCCCAACGTCAATGAATCAAGATATGAAGGCAAGCTGTGCGAGAAAGGGAATATGAAAAGGCTAGACATGTAAGAGGTATCTTCGGGTCGAAATGGAAACGCCGCCAGATTTTGAAATGCCATGCGCGAGAGGAACAGAATCGAAGGGAGACGCAAGACGGATATGGCGCTATGCGAGTCGGTATGCATGGAAAATCAAAACGAAACACCACTGGGGTCATCGGATCGTATCAAGGGGTCGTATGGCACCAGTGCCGGTGGTATACCCACGCGGATTTCTGGCAATCTTTGCTGCAGTACTTGGTGCGACGGCACCGCCGGCACTTGGCGAACTGACGCTGGAACTCTTCCCACTTGCCACACTTGTAATAAGCGCATTGCCGGATGCCACCTCTCGCCTCATCCTTACGGCAGAGGTTTCTCATGACCACGCAGGCCCAGTATTGCATATCCTTGGAGTGGTGTCGAACAGTAAACTTCTCCACTAGGGGGAAAATGTTAACATCATCGGGAAGCAAGTACTCGTCTTCCTCCTCGCACATATCAACTGGCGAAGAGGGGCCGGCATTCTCATCCAAAAGATGGAGCTCGTGATCAATTTTCAGCTTGGGGACAAGGTGGGATGCCTGGAAGTATGATCGGAGGTTGCAGTATTTGGAGACATATGCCAGTAGCTGAAGAGACATCAGGACGTCCTCATCACGGGGCATGGCTGTCAAGACACCCTGGCCTGCGGGACGGTCACGAAGGTACAAAGTGTAGGAGCTAGGAGCGAGAGTAGGAGAATTAGGGTTGTTGGTGGTTTGGGTAGGAGAGAGGGCGAGTCCGCCGTTGGCCTGTGGGGTGCCGTTATTAATGATACTGCCGTCGACAGTCGAACGATGAGTGATGTTGAAAGTCTCCACCTCCGGGCCGCCTTCCTCAGAGGGGTCATTGACGGTCAGATCATGGTTGTTAGAGACATCGTCTAGCATCGTTGTTTCCCGCTCATCAACACTGTCAAGTTCCATCCGGTTGGGGAGTCCAACAATGGTTTCGGCGGGCTGGCCCATAGCGCTATCATCTCCCATGGTCGAATCTTCGCCGTTGGCATCATCCGATTCACCGGACGCCGACTGCTGCTGGCGGATCAAAGGACGTTGGCGGGCAGCAATGGTTTGGGTAAGGCTGCGAGGTTGTGAATGGAGGGGGCCGCTTGGTGTGGTCGGAGAGTCGGGCTGCGAGACGATCCCAGTCTGCAGACCGGGAAGCATGCTAGGAAGGCGCTCGGCGTCACGCACGGGACGCAATCCGAATCCATCCGTGGTGTCCATGGAGGGAACAGCTGTGGCAAGAGGTTGGATTGACCGTAGCCGATTGCTAGCCCGTGGGAACCGCCCATCGTTAAGGCGGTGGGTATGGGCTTCTTGGCCAAATGTACTGCGCTCCGGGGGGGGACGTCATAGGGACACGGGAGGAGATGTAATATCCATCGCATCGGAGTCGTTAGGCTGGCTGTCTTGGTAGAAAGGCTGTGGGATTTCGATACTCGCTGGAGGGGCTTGTCGACGCGGTTGATGTAACTCGACCTGTGGGTGTGACTCGGTCTGGATATCTGCATCCATAGGAGTGGGACGGGGGAGACGTCTCGGTTGCTGATGGGCTTTGACTGTTTGGAAGACGCCTGTTTCTCGGAATCGAGATCGTTGCGCGATCGCACCTTATCGATCACCTTGATGTAATTGCTCAGAATGGTCGCAATGACGGGGACCATGTCAGCCTCCACCACTCTTGTCCTCACACCCTCGGAGCCCCGTACGCCAATGTTGACAACACATTGGAAGGCAAGGCTCCATTTCCACATTTCTAGCAAATCCTTGCTCCGACCGCCTTCCTTGAGGATGCATACAAGTCGCTCGATGCCGCCATCGACGGTAAGGATATCTCGAATCCGGGCGGAGGAGGTTGTGAGGTATGCAAGATGGTTGAGAGAGTTGATGAGCGGTAAAGTCGATGTGCAATCAAGGGCACGGCGGTCATAGAGGGTGGTGGTGATATTGACCGCGGCCTTATTCACATTGGGGATACTGAAATTGACTTCCCGCATGATGAATGAACGACAACGGGATTGTGACGAAAGAGCGAAAGATTAAGTGTTGGATCGATCGATGCAGGATGACATCCAGAGAGCAAATGCAAAAAAAAAAAGATGACCTTGATGTGGAATTCAGCCCAAATAGGATGATGCCCACTGCGGATTAGGAATTCGCGCTGAGAGAATCAATCCAAAGACATCTGAATGAAGGAAGTGATGGAGGTTTGGGAGATTGGAGAGATGAAATACCCAATAACCAGAAGGGGGCCAAAGGGTAAACCAAGACTCAGACTCAGACTCAGAGAGGCTGAGACTTAAGAAACGAAAGAGAGACCAAATGCAATATGCAATGAGACGATAGATACGTCTACACAGAAGTATTCGATGGATGATGATGGAGGGGGAAGTGGAAGAGAAGAAGGCTTTTGCGAAGGCAAAAGCGGAGAGCGTCAGGTGCCTCCTTAATATTACCAAATATGGGTTGTACCCGACTTTTTTTGTATTTTGGCGCCACCTTGGGGGTTTACCCTTCTCCCTTTTTTTATCCCTTATTTTTGTAGGAGTACGAAGTATTGATCTTGAATGTTTTTCTCTTATTCTATCACATTTCATCACATTTTCTATTTTCTATATGTACAATATCTTCATCTTCTGTCCTCGACCCCCTCTGTCACATTGGGTACCGACCTCGGACTTGCCACTTGACAAAGATCAAAATTGCATATTATTCTTCACATACCATTACTTGTCACAGGATCAGTTGATCTCTGTCAGATCGAAATATGTACAACATGATGTTGTATGTACAATATACGGAGTATGCCTTATGCCTCGAGAGTCTCCAGGTTATGCCGCTTGAACGGCACCAGAGGCTGTAGATCTTGAGCAGTGACCATCACAATCCACCAATGACCCCGAGGAACTATTTGAATAGCTTCGGCCTTTTATCCTGACTAGAAGAAGTTCGGTCCGAACTTCTCCACAGACGGAGCAACCGTTTGTAATTGTTCTTCCTATAATTCCCTTGACAAGTGTGATTCGACACCAGAAATGAGCTGTGTTACAACTAAATTTCGTAGACGTCAACAGTTTAAAATGACTAAATGACCGAGACTCAAGATCAAAACAAATGTTTCTTAAATGCCTATTGTACTTTGTACGTTACAGATGTTTATTGTATATCTCCCCAAAAAGTAGGAAAGTAGGATATATATTCCGTCAACTACTACATATGTAATCCTATAACATACAACCTTTACTCCAACTGGGTTTCATGGAAACGGCTCGTGAAACAGAATCTAGAAAATATCCCGTCTGGCCTTGACTTCCTGACCCCTGATGGCTACATAATGTGTAATATTATCGTTGGAGAGTATCCCATCACCTTTCTGATACTTCCAAGGTTCCTGACGCCATTTCGTCAGCCCTGAACAGGGTAGTTTATTTTGAGAATGGGTTTAAACTTGGCAATCGTGAGCTGTTTACCGAGGACCAATCGAATATCCCCGCACAAGGTGATAGCATTGGCCCCCAAGTGCCTCTATCACATCTTGACAGGGTTTACACGCGCTTACAACAGTGTGGCGCACAGACGTACTAAGATTAGAACACCAGGGCTGCGAACTGCCGAAGGGAATCCATATCCGCGTGTTTGCACCTCGAATCTTTTTTTGAGGTTTCAAGTTTTTTCGTTTTATCCTGGGACCTTGAGAAATCTAGCAGACAATAGCGGCTACATCGGTTAAGGGAGGAATAATTCATTATACCTAGACCCTTGCCCAAGATCGTCAAGCCCGCCAACTAGTTCGGTTCTACTTCGTAACGGTCCTCGACATTTGGTGCTGAGCCTCATTGTATTCAACAGTTAGTTCTCAATCCATCATCGGTAGCGGTCATTCGAAGGTTCGACTTGACAAAGGTGCTTATGCTGTATGTGCACTTTCGGGGGTTCGTTAGTACTGCCGAGCTCCACTCGTGTCTTATGCATACTCTGTACAGAGCACATTCATCTTCATTCTGACAGTCTTGCTTATAGAAAAGGGTCTATCGTATATAGCCCCTTTTGTATAAACACGCCGAAGAGATGGTCATGCAAAAGAAGCCTTGCAATTTTCCAATATCAACGAGTGGACTGTGTCAGGATTTGATTCTTTCCCCTGAGATATAATGCATTGTCCAGAGTATTTTGTGACGTGTCTTCCAACATCCGTTGACATGCAAATTTCTTATTTCATAGCCGGCGAGTACAACTATATCTGAGACATCGTTCTGTCGAGCCACGGGTATCTGTGTGTAAGGAGTTAAAACCGCGAGTTGAATTGCCCACAGCCATGTACAACGCGCGTGATATTGACATACCTTATCCGCTTCCCAAGAAAGAGAAAAAGGTCGGAACTTGCTAGGCATTTAAGTACTAGGGGTCTGGAGCTGGTTGTCGTCAGCAGAGCCCTATGGTTGGCAGGGAACCGTTTCTGAGATAAGCACCATCATGCCGTTCTCAAATCGGAAGATTCAGCGCAGGGATTGTGGTGTATCGTGTGATATGACGCAAACTATAACTGGTTCTGCTTGAGTCGGGCTGAAGCTCATCCCTGAAGCTGAGGGCGTGGGAATGTGGGAATGGTGACACAGATATTGTCCCTCGTACTTTTGCTTTCTTCGTCCACGGGTGCTTAGTTACAATTCTGTATAGTTTTGTATAGTTTTGTATACCTAGGTAATTCCTCGCTGAGAATATAAGTCAGGACATGACTGCCAGGATATCAATGGCATACAGTGAGACCCGATTCAGACTCCTTTTATGACTCAAACAATCTATTAGACTTCGATCATCTTGATCATGTCGGCGTTGGCGGGTGCCTTGCAGCCCCGAGCTGAGACGAGTTCACCTCTCTGCTCGGTTTGGATCACGACTGTACGTACATACTAACCCATGCCAGGCCGACAGGTAATCATGGCTTTGAGACCAATGGATTCTTACCAAAAGAGGAGGTTCGCGATCCCACTATACTGGCACAATTGCCTATTCGTGCTTTAATATACATATGTATGTTGTAATTACGGAGTAATCTCATTGCTAATCTCCGATGATGGGCATCTGCACGACAGACGCTAGACGCCATATTGAAGATCCCGAGTGGATATCTTGGCAGGACCTGTCCAAGTATGCATGTAGAATGTAGAGCACATGGCCATTGCTTTACAGGAACATCTTTACCCTACATACGGAGTATGTATACGACGTAGATGACAAACGTATATCCAATGGATGCAGAGCGAAATATGATATTGAGCTGTTTTTTTCAAGTTGAATTTGGAAAATAATGATCGTCAAGATGATGAGCAAAAGAAAGCCAAATACTCCCGGGCCGGAGTAAAAAAAAGGGGCCAGACAATGGATTTTCCTGCGGTGGAGGCGCCTGGGCAGATGCCGGATTGTTTGACCCAGAGAGAAAAAAAAACATCCCTGCTCTTCAATTATTTCATTTAGATGAAATGCACTTGGCAATGTCCGGTAAACGGTTGGACCCGCCAGGACGGGTGCTGAAGCCGAACGGCACAACGTTTGAATGTAGGGTTAATACTACCTAGGTACTGTATGCCTTATTAACTGACACTAGTCGAAGCTGATTGACGCCATTATACTCCAAATATATCTCCAGAATTATATCGAATATACTATAGTGGCTTAGAACATTTTAATAGCCAATAGCTCGGGACGGAGTATTGAAGACCAAGACAATGGGTCAGCCACAGGGCCGTGCGCATGCACGAACACTCCAAGAGGTGTGAAGCTCGGACCTGTACGGAGTACGGAGTAGGGATATTGTTTAAGCATGCATATGTACCTAGGTATATTGGAAGGAGATCGGGCTAAGACATGGATATATGAGCTCCAGTGTAAGCATTTAGGCTCATGTATGGAATATAGTGTCATCTTCTTAATATAGGGTCTCAATAGGGAAAATAAACTAGTATTATACCCAGAGCGGACATGCAGGATAGTCCAATCTCCGTTAGCTCCCTAAAAATTACCTCTATGTAAACGGAAAGGGGGATGCAAGGGAGTTAATTTAGCTCGTGAAGAATGTATGGGCGTACTGCGCTTGATATGTGAGAGTCATTATACTCCGTACACCTGAGTTACCTTGTTCAGAGCCGCGGTTAAATGTCCATAAAATCAAGATTATTTGCCGTTACTGATTTACGACTGTGTCTTCAGTCTTGGGGCTAGTGGTCCTAACACAGCCGATCCTCAACGCCACAATTTTCCATCTTCTCCTGAGCCTTCAACTCAGGAGGGGATAAAATTTTTTTTTTTGCCTATACAGATATGTAAAAGTACATAAGTACCTACCTAGTTAGGCATGTGCACGTCAGCTTTAGTTCGAATATCAACAAAAGTAAAGAAACCGGCATCAGGTACCCGGAGAAAGCAATATGTGTGTATTGAGGGTGTATTGTAGCCAACCAGAAGATACAGGATTCCAACTCCACTTATGGAGATTTGGGAAAACAAAGAACTGCAGGATTCAAAATCAGTCAAAGACCCTGGACTACATATATGTAATATATAGATGAAATTATGTATGGAGTACTCAGATATGTAACAATTTTATTTGCAATACCATTAAAAAAAAACCAAGAAAGTACTTCTGACCTCATACAAATTGATAGCAAGCCAAGGTATCCTTCTTATTTTCACGGTTGGTTATTACCACTAGTAATACGCTGACCTCCCTCTCCTCGGCCTTCACCCCCTGTTCCTCTCTCTCACTCTTTTCTTTGGTGTTCCTTTTGTTCCTGTTGGCTCTTTTCGCCATTTCTTCTTATTCTTCTTTATTTACCATATTATGATCCAAGCCTGAGGCGCTTTAACTCGGTTCCGCCTTTCGATTATCTCCCTGTTTCTTCGCTCCACTCCCATTAAGCCCCCTCTCTACCCTCCCCCTCTACCAATCTTTCCGATCTCCCATCACAATTGTACTTCTCCGGGTACCCTTTCGACAAAA